AGAAAGAAGCGACAGACAGACCTGCACCATGACGGATCTTCCAAGTCTCATAGCTTGTCCACAATACTGGAAATCCGTCCGCCGTGAAGAAAACAACGCAACTACTCGCGACTTCAACTTAAGAACATCAGGGGGGACAATGGAATAACATGGATGCGGTGATTGATAAAAAACAACTTCATAAGAAATGTTTAAAAGCAGACCACCGAGAGAGCACTTGATTAAATGATTCTTACCACGGATTATGATCTTCAAATCATTAACTAAAGACCAGAAAACAATTAGAAGGAAGAGCTCTATTAAAAAAAATTTCAGTTGAAGAAAACGAGGCCTTAGATAAAGTAAATTTAAGTTAGGGACCAGAAGTAAAAGAAACACAAGTAGTATTTGGGCACGATAATTACCAAAAGAGCAATGTAAAACAGCAGCAAATAACTACGCTAAAATACACACAAAAAGCGCCTTGAAATAATTACTTGATCTCCAGGACGGAAGTTGGATGTACTGGCACTTCTTGTATTGCACGAGTTGCCAGGCTCATCACAGATTCTAGATGGCGTGGAACTATTTCCATTAACAAACCATTGTATTTCGAATGATACATTTGTCCACGATGGAAAATTAAACGTACAAGTAAGTGTCACCATCTCCTCTTCGTCGTCAACGTATGCAATAGATGGAACCGGAACTAGAGCAAATGGGAAATCTATTTTTTGCGAAACTGAAAAAAAAAAACAAAAGGAAAAACGTTAAAATCATTCTTAAATGGTTCGACTTTTCATTGATCTTCGCGAGAAAAACGAAAACAGAAGTTTTGTGAAATGGCTGGGTCTTTAAAGTTCGACTCATCTTCACTGCTCAGCACCACAATACTAGCATACTTTGGAATAATGATAATAGTTATAATAGGTAATAGTAACAATGATAATGACAATGAAAATGGAAGTAACATAACGGTAGCAGTTAAAGTAATAGTCCATGACAGAGATAGTGATTGTTGGAATGGTAAAGAGTTATTGATGATATAAATGATTTTGATGATGATGATAATAATGACGACAATGATGCTGATTGAAAAAATAATGATGGGATTAATGGTGATGATGATGACACGTAAATAAACAACACTTATTGATGATAGGGAAACGTTCAAAGAAAGGTTTTACAACTGTAGGATACATTCTCACCTCTACAGTCTGGAAACAAGCCAAACTGACCTCTAGGACATGGAACCCTTGTTCCTGTTTTGGATTTGAAAAGAAGCGGTGATAACATTTCCTTTAAGGTTAAAAAAAATAAAGGAAGCGGCAACAAAAAATTCAAAAAGCGATAAGGAAGAGTATGAATAAATGCTTAAGGTTTTCTCCAAGAAAGAAATGATTAACATTTTGTGTATTCGATTGCATAATTACTGGCTTTTTTAATTTATTCCTTTTTGGGTCAAAATAGTTGTTAAATAAATCAAAACTTAAACAAGAGAATAAAACTAATCTGTCGGAGAGTTAACGTCACCACGCTCGCCACGAGCTCTATCATTTCATGGTCTTATTGAGGCTTTGATCTCTTCCTTTTGCTCTCTCTCGGCTTGAGATAAAGTAATTTAAGGTTACCTTGATAAGGCTTTATTATAACAATAAATTTAATAAGAAAAAACATATATGTACGAATATCAGTTCAATTCATATTAAGTTGGATCAAAAGAAAAATTGATAACATACCGGCACAGTAGCCCATAGCGCATCCATGAGGCGGACGGAGATGATACACGTAGTAATCGGAGCAATTTTTGACTTTAATTGGAATAGCTGTTAGGCAACCTTGGAAAAGTCCGTTGAAGTTTACGCATGCGAAGCGATCCACAACGTTGTCTGCTACCGATGGATGTACACCACGCATCCATATCGGAGCAACAGTGCCGCAATGATGTGGATTTACTATATGTTCAGGAAGATTTCCTCCAACCTCGTTTATGAATTTGTACCAACCAACTTTAAGCTTTTCGTCACAGATTGGCGAATCACCCGGTTGAATTTGGTAGCCTGCACTCCGATAGGGATCGTCTATCACTTGGTGATTTAGACACGGATCTAAGCTTCGACAAACAGACAACAATGTTAGTAACACCACAAAAGTTTGCATCTCGCAAATTTCGCTCATTTCTTCTAAAGGCCACAAGACACCTTAGTCTCGTTATCGATGTCACAAAATGAAGGTTCGTTTGTGCTGAAAGCGCTTTTTGCTTTACAATACTGACATTTACCTTTCGACTTCCCTTTTCCGGATAAAGAAGCTTCCTGGTCGACATGCCACTCAAATGCCCACTCACAGAGCTGTGAGAGTGACCAAAAACACGGAAGACGATGAAGAAAAAAATAATGCAGGCACCAACGATAGCTTTCGCGGTCATTAGAGAGGGTTCTGAATCTATGACGAATATTTCTCATTGGTGATAATGCTATTATCTTATGTATGCGGGAATATGTGTTGATGGTCGACTTCCTTTAACTGAAAATCGGTAGAATCTTATTACACAATATGTATAGAGATATAAAAGACAGTCTACCAGCATATGCATGAAATGATAAAATTAAGTAATTACTAATTATCTAAATTTATAAATTTCAGTCAAGCAATTCAAAACGTCTAGTAAATGACGTATTCTGTTTGGAAACTTTGCTCCTTGAATAGGCGAAGTGATGACGGCCTGAAAATCCTCAACATAGCGATGATATAACGATTGTTTATGCAATCTTGTAAAGTTCCTATGCTTGTATAAATAATCAAATCATGCAAATTAGTGAAACTTGGCGGTAGCTAATCGACTGGAACCAAAATTAATCCTTTTCAACTCGTTTCAGACAGGAGGTTAGCTTTCATCACGTAAGGTTCTCGGCACAACCCGGCGAATTCCATACTTGTGGTTTCATTGAAAGACAGACACGTAGAAACGTAGAAATCGCTTCATTCATGGAAAATAAAGTTAAATGTTAAAACGCTCAACTCTGACATGGGTGTGTGTGTTCGTATGCTGAATAAACGGAGAGAATGATTTTTTTAATCAGTAATATGCTGCAATGCTCCGTCATGTGTCATCGTTGGTAATCTAAATATTGTCGTGCGATTGAAGATACGAGCAGTGACATTAAATTTAGTAATATTTGCATGGTATGATTGGGGGCATTATGACTTATCGATAAGAGATCGAACGCTGTGTATTACTTAAATTCACTTAGTCAAATCACTGGATGAAAGCTTAGTAGAACGCAACTCTATCCAGATGCATGGTGGCGGGTGTTATGATACAAAACTATTAGCGATTGGGCTTCCTCGTTTCGGAAGTCCGACCTTCATTTGTTTTTGGATTATATCAAGAAAGTAAGAAATATATATATATATATAAATCATATCTCATAATCCTCATCATATCGACCATGCACGATTTCATTCATGCTGTCACGTTTTAGCCCCCTCCAGCTGAGATTGATTGATTACTTGAGAGTGATTGTTTTACTGTCAAACAGGAAAGTATAATCTTCTTACTTTCCTGTTTGACATACTTTCCTGTTTGACAGTAAAACAATCACTCTCAAGTAATCAATCAATCTCAGCTGGAGGGGGCTAAAACGTGACAGCATGAATGAAATCGTGCATGGTCGATATGATGAGGATTATGAGATATGATTTACTCTTTCACGTAACCTTTCAAAGTTTTGAGAGCATCCTGCGGGTAAGTTTGTTGTGCATCTCAGAGTGTTAGTTTAGAATGCCCATTGCGTTGATCTTGTGCTGGTAAAAACAACCTTTTGCTATAAATAGAACTCGTTTAACTAAACCATAACAATAACTGTTCATGTTCCTAGGGTACCATGATAGACAAAAGCCTAATGACTAATCACAGTCTACAATTATGTTTGATGAAAGATATTTTCCTATAATTAGTCTCTGTTGATGTAAACGTTGCGTGTTGGAATTTGAAGCACAATTATCCATGAGACAGGGAAATAATTTCTTCAAAGGGAAATTCAAAGGTAATGCAAACATGTCACACACTCAACTCTGATATAATAGCGTGTTTGTGATCGCACGTTGAATATTTTCAACGTGCCATATTTCAGCGTACCATATTTTCAACATATGGTTTCGAAACTTTCCCCATTACTAAAGGAAAAAGTTATGGTTAAATTGTGTTTTGGAATTATCAAAATTTGCGTACGGCAGCTTAAGTTCACTTTAGCCGTATATGGATTTGGGTGAGAAACGGCAAAATAGCAGGCCAAAACAAATTAAGTCATGGGTCTAATTATAGGAAGCCCCTTTCTTCCGCTTAATTAACAAAACTTCCGTTGTTGCTTCAACAGTAGTAAAAGCGAATTTTTTAAAGTCTGTTTCTAGCACACAAAAATGCAAATTTTCTTTCATCATATTCATGTACGATCCTCTTACAGTTTTGCTGATGAGGGAGACGACGCTTTTTAATGGTTTTCGTCTCACCTACGTCGCCTGTACGTGATCGACTAAAATTTAAGAATTTATATCACATCACTTGATCCGATGGGTTCCAGGCTCGCTTACTCTTAAAAATTAACCATTTCATAATATCTATAAGCGCCACTGCAAATTCACTAATCGGAAGAAAATTCGCGAGGCGCAGTAAAAAACTTTGAACACAAAGTTTTGATCATCTTTGACATAATTTCTAAGTAATAAAAACAAAGATAATGGTATTCAAGAATGGAAATTGTTTTCACTACAGTGATAAACAGGAACAAGCGTAGCCTAAAGAAAGCTTCGGAGGACTTCAAGAACTCCCAACAGCAGGAGGCAGAATAACATCGAAGACAGTAATAATATTTCTCCCACTAGTTGCGAACAAAACTGCTTTTCAGATTGTTGATCTGGTAACACCGAAGTTGAAACTCGACGATCTGGCTGCCGCTCGCTTGCTCTGCTTACTTACTTGCTCTGCTAACAAATATATTTGCGTCCAATGGTTCTCGTAATTCTATCATTTTCATGCAACAGATCACCTGAAGCCTAACTTCCCACTACTGAAATAAAAGCGCCTATTGTAATGTTTTCAGCCATACAACTATAAGCTGTAATTAAGAAGCAGATTTCCTTCGCTGCATTTCTGTGAAAATAATTGTAATTCCACTTTATTTTAGCGAGTGATGACTTAGAAAACTTTGAAATTACAAATCTCTCATATCTCTTGAAATTTTTGTATCAGTCAGCTTTGAAATGCTCTCGAAATAATTTTGGTTAGCGATGTATACCTAGCTTCGGCAAGCTCTACCGAGAGTTGTGACACATCGTAGTCAAGTAGTTAATAAGAAATGGGACTGTTGCGAGTACGGTTCAGCGCTACGAAGGAGAAAGGCATGCATCAAACAAAGATTTCGACTAAGACTGAAAAAGACGGTTTCTGGCCTGCGATGCCCAAGTCAATATTAGAACTATATATTATTACTGAATCTTTAGTCTGTTGCATTTGTGCTCTGTTTTCTATCGCGAAATCTATGCCAAGAATGGGTAGCTGTATTCGTTTCGTTGCTGTAGAGTAATTCCCTTTGCAAACCAAAAGCTAACTTGAGGCGAAAGAATCAGCTGTATAGCGATGCACGGCGTTTTTCGCTAAGAAGTCATCGGGCAGTTTCATTGCAAGCTGTTCCTTTTCTCAGAGATTGCAAAGGCAGAGGCTTTCGTCGAGCCGGTCAAACGGAAAACGAGCGAGTTTATAGTCATCTGATTCAATTTAATCGCAAATGGAGATTTTAATAGCTAGAGAAAAACTTCTTTAGCTTAAGTGCAGCATTGTAATATGACCCATTTCGCTCATGGCAAACAACTGACATCAGTATTGTAAATGAATATTTATATATAACTTTGGCTGGGCTGAAGAGTATCGTTCGTTCTACCGAGGACTTCGTTTTATAGAGGTTTGTTACTGATCGAGGTTCCACTGTAGCCCAATGGGAAAATAGAGAATGTTAAAAAGGAATTACATAAATGGATAAATGGGTGAATGGATGAAGGGATAAAAGAATCAAAAGTAAAGACCCTTCGAAGGGAAGCCGTCATGACTAAGGTTGTAGTCACTTCCGGGTATGCGCGGTGAGATTGCGTGACTTATCTTGCATGCGTTGGGGACATGCAGATGACAGCGGATCGTAATGCAATCAAAGATGGCGGCAGTTGGTAGCGAAACTGCGCAAGGTTTACAACAACTTTTCATAGACATTTCTCTGAAGTTTAGTTCTGTAGAATCAGGAAATGTTGTTAAAATTTTAAAAAACAATTACGGAGGGAAATTCGATTTGCTGGGTAATCGTGATCTGTTGGAAAGTTTACATCTTCTTAAGAAGCATGGGTATGTTTCTGAGAACAACCTCAAACTAATCGAAGATGTTATTGCCCCGAAATCGAACAATGAGGAAATCATTAAAAAGTTTATAGAACATTTCAAGGCCTCCCGTTCGGTAACAGCTGATCCAGAGAAGGAATTGCTTGGACGGAGCGAAGAAATCAAGAGAATTAACAAAAAATTGGAATCGAAAGATACCGGAGTACTAAACTTGTTTGGATCGTCTGGTATAGGAAAGACAAAGCTTGCCAATGAGGTTTGCTTGCAGTGGCAAGGAATTTATCGTGTTTTTGATTTAAGAGAAGCAAAGGATATGAGAGCGATCTATTACAACATGCTGCATTCTCTTGAACTAGTAGTCCCAGTTGGTAATGTTGATCAAAATTATGTAGTCACCAAAATTCTAGAGAAGGTTGAAGAGTTGGAAAGAGAGGAACATGCTGTTCTGTTTATGCTGGACAATGCAGACCACTTTACCGCAGGAAAAGACGAAGGGAAAAACTTGGAAACTACTTTCATGGAACTTTAGCAAAGCTCTCAGAAAGCAAAGGAAAACGATCTCCTTTAAAGCTTTTACTCACCTCTAAGACCGAGTTAAGAGGTCCCAGCGCCAGTAGGGGAGTTAACACAATGAACCAAGGCACGTCCAGATAGTGAAAGGCTTTAATCGCAACAGGGGAACTAGACTCCGAACGAGTAACAAACAATAAGGCAGACGCGACGAGAAGGAAAACCGTCAAAAGGGCATGCTCAACCCAGATACCGCTGACCGGTACTGGCGTGACTTCTTTCTTCTTTTTTTTTTTTTTTTTTTTTTAAGGAGAAACAAGAACTAAAAACAAGTTAACATACACTTAAGACTAACTAACAAATTGACACGCGCGGGCGAGTCAAAGTTCAGAGTTTAAAGATCGGTGTTCAAAGTTCAGTGTCATAATCTGCAAAACGAGAAGGAGGACGGCGGGTGCGCGATGATCTCCGTAGGGCAGGCGGAGAAGGCACCGCTGAGGCGGCTGCATACCCACTGGGGAAGGATCAGGGCAGGGCGACTGTGTAGCGAAATCATCCATGGTATGGTCAACGGGAGAGGCAGGGGCTGGACTGTAAGACTGAGGGTTGACAACTGGTGGGTGTGTGGAAGCTGCGATGGCCTCAGGGATGGCAGGCAAAGAGGGGGAGGTGAGTCGTTGTAGTAGGACCATCTTCGTCGTCGGAATCAGAGTAGTGTTTGCGTAGGGTCGGAGAGGCACGGAAGGGATCACCCAAGTCAGATGGGACCTTGAAGCACTCAGATAGCTTGACATGGTACGATGAACTTCGCAACTGGGATCCAATGAACTTTTTGATGTTGCAGAATGGAGGATCAATGGTTACAACGAGATAGCGGTCACGAGCACGAGACTTGTTGAGGTCAGAATGAAGGTACACAAGATCACCAATATCGATCAGGGGGGTAGGACGCCTTGACTGACCAGGAGCTTTGGAACGTTCACTGAGGGGATGGTTGGAGAGACGCTGTTCATGCTGGAGGGAAATTATGTGGTCATCTGCGAGGGGTAACTGCTTGTTTGAGAACTGATCCCGCTGGGTCCACATTTCTCGAGAGGAAAGCCCTCTTGAACGGATACGTGAGTTTAAGGCTGAAGTGGCTACGGCGAGGGTGAGGGGAGAGACAGAACTACCGAGAGGCTCCTGACGTAACAGCTCATTCTCCAATTCCTGGACCGCTCTCTCTGCAACGGGGTTCTTGTTGGGATTTTTGGCATGGCCAAGCTCAATTGTGATTCTGTGTTTCTGTAAGAGTGAATCATTGACAAGGGCCTTGAATCCGGGAGCGGGGTCGGTGCGGATCACAGCAGGTGGACCATCCATTGGGCGCATTTCCACGCAAAGCTTTATAATGGCATCACGCAAAGTTTGGTGGCGTTCGTTCTCAAGAAAGAGACTGGACGTGTAAGAGGTCACTGTTTCACGGAGTACAAAGATAAGTTGGCGAGAACGTTTTATGACATCTGCCGCAAAGGACTGCCCAACAGTTTCAGGTGGAGGCGAAGTGGACTGGTCAATTCGTGCTGTTGGTGATCTCTGAATTGCTGCACAGGAGTGGCATCCATCGGAAACACGGGAGACTGCCTTGTCCAGGTCGAGGGCGAACAGATAACGCTTGGCAAACCATTTTTAACTGGTGACAAGAAGGGTGGCTGAGCTGAATGTGAAGGGCTGTCAAGAGGCCATCCAAGGCCTGGCGAGGGACAATGATACACTCTCTGGTCGGTGACAAGGGATCATGACGTTGGACGACGAGCAGGCCATCACTTGCGATTGAGGCGACCTGCAAATAGCGTTTGACGTCCTTTATGTTTGAGAGCTTCTTGGAAGGTCTTGTGCCTTGGACAAGGTGTGCGTGCGTGCGGCGTAGGTCTGGGCACTCAGACTGTATGGCCAACCAGGCCGGACGGCTGGTGAAAGGGAGGCGGGCATTGCCTTGGAGGATGTCCTGGACAGTCGCGGCTCGGACAACAGAATCTCTGGTTGAGGCGATAAACAGGCAAATCTGACAGGTTTCATTCTCACAAGGAGCAGCATTTCGACTCGCGAAGTCTGACTGGAGGATAGAGGCGCCGGAGACGTGTCGCACTGAGGCCTGGTAGCGGCTGACAACTGACAGGAAAGTAGATACGCGAGGACTTGCGGAGAACTCGCCGCGGCATAGCTTCTCATAAGCCTGGACGCATGGCTTACTGTCCGTTAGGATACAGGCTTTATTGGATGACTGGATGAGGTATGGACTGAAGTGCTTTGTAGCCGCAGCGATGGAGAGGGCTTCTACTTCGCACGGAAGCCACGTTGTCTGAGTGCCCCGCAGCTTAGCGCTGAAAAAACCGGCGATGTGTAGCTTGTTGTTGCGCGTCACATAGAGGGTGGCGCCTATTCCTGGGTCCTTGACTGCGCCATCGGTGACGACCCATAGTTGGTCCTCAGGTCTAGGTAAGGTGATAGAGAGGGCTGAGGATAGAGCCTTCTGAGCGTTATGGAATGCAGCCCTGAGACTATCAGACCAGGTGATGGATTCTTGTGAAGTACGTCCAGCCGTGACGGCATCCAGCGGGGTTAGATAACTAGAGCACCGTGGGATAACACGAGACAGGACTTTGTACGCACCAATGAACGATCTCAAACGACCAACAGTGTTTGGCACAGGGTACGTGGCGAGGGTGTTGAGGCGGTGGGCACTGGCAGACAGGGTACCGGCGGACCAAATCCAACCAAGGATAGTGGTTGACTTGGGGTTGATTATGGTCTTGTGGGCTGACAAACGCAGGTTGCATTTGTGAAGAGCTTGCAGGACCCTCTTCCAGTTGTGTAGTAACTCTAGAGGGTGTTGCCCCGCAGTATAAATCATCGGCGATCTTGGCCACGACTCCATCTTGAAGTAAGGGGCCTAGAACACGGCACATAACCTCCTCTAGAGCAGTCTCTGAGCCAGGCATTCCCATAGCGGAGCGGGCATACACCCGGACGCCTTTAAAGGGGGTGGCGACACCGCAGTACTTCATGGACTCTTTGGCTAAAGGGATCTGGTAGAAAGCACTTGTAAGGTCAGTGACAATTATGTGTGACCATTGGGCGATGAGCCGTAATGTGGAGTCAACATCGGGTAGCAAGGATGGTTGTGGTTTGCTGTATCTGCCCACATCAGAAAAGGCGGTGACGAGACGGGAACCACCATTAGGCTTCTTTACAAGGAAAGATGGATTGAGGTATTCAATGGTGATACCCACATCTTCGGGGCTCAAAAACAGGGATGACTTGGCAGAAGTGTTCGTGGCGCTTGAGAGTGCGGGGTACGCTTGATAGGTTAGGAATCCGTATGGCTCGGGCAACGCTGGAAACGACACCAGGTTGTGGCCACAACTGGGATGGCTTCAGATTGTGTGCACTGGGTGCGTCGATGCGAGGCTCTAGTGCGTACTCCGAGTCAGAAGGTGCATCGTCTGGTAGACGTACTTCCATGAACTCTCCAGGCCACACTGTCTGGGATGGAGCGGGGGCACGTAGGACAAATGCTCTACGTGCGGTTGCATGAGGGTTAGGTGGGGATTTGGACCCATACGTGTAGACTGAGCCATTGCCTAGTAGTACCTCTCTCTTAGCGGGTCGGACAGCGATGTCATTCGTCTCCATAAAGGGGGTACCGGCAAGTACCTCAACATCAAGATTCTCAACTACGAGACCTTCAAACGCGAAGTTTGTGTGGTCCCGGGTGAAGGTGGTACGAATTTCTCCTATCACCTGGAGCTGAGACGAGCCATCAGCCTGTTGGACGGACTGGGCACTTGAGATTATCGGACAGCCGAGGTGTATCATATTTCCAGTTGCACCGCTGTCGAGGGTGACGCGCACGACTCGATGATCATGAAAGACGTCCATGTAAGGGGACTGGCGGGTCTGCACACGGTAGGCCACCATGTCCGGGCCTGGCAATGTTGTGTCAGGGTCTGGTGAATCAGAATCAGGACTGGTCTCAATTTCTTGGTCATTGTCAAGGATGCCGGCGATCTGTCGTGCTTTCACCATGAAACGCCTGTCACTGTCGGGGAGGAAGGTACACTGACTGAGGAAGTGGTTTGTCATAGAACGGCCGGCCTGTTTACATAGAGGACAGACCTTGTCTTGGCGGAGTTGTCTGGGACGGGCTCTAGGAACACCCCTGTTACTCTGACGAGGGCGACGAAAATTGTCTGCAACAGCAGCACGTAGGATTCTGGCATCATCCGACGTGTGGATTTCCTCGAGTAAGGAATTGAGGGCCTGCGAGATCTCAGGTTTGATCGAGGCAAGAGTACGGGATCTCAACTCTGTACCATAACGCTGCTTAACCATTCGTGGGAGACTGGGGTGAATGAGGCGTAACCAAGTGAGGACCAAAAAGTTTTCGAGTGTAGGGGTTAATTCCTCATCCTCCTGCACTGCTTGGCCATTGTGGGTTAAGCCGTTGGCACGTAGCAATGAATCTTCTACGAATGCTGTGAGGCGCTGGTACAGATCTTCGGGGCGCTCATCAGCAGCTAGGTGTATTTCGGAAAAGTCAATGAACTGAGCCCCGGTGACTTGGAAACCAAAGTGCTGTCTGATGGTTTGCCAGATGAACTCGAGGGATGTAGAGTTTTTCACCAGAGTATTTCGAGAGATAATTGGACAATAGTTGGCGATCTGTCCCAACATCAGCTCGAGGAAGTTAACCTTTGGCGGGCTGTCAGGCGACGAGCTAATGGCACTGATTCGCCATCGTTGTGGAGACCTCGAAGCGGCTGACCCCTGGTCTTTTTTAACCATGTGAATCCATCTGCGAGGAAGGGGCGAAGTTGCTGTCCAAAGAAAGAGTGTAAATGAGGTTTTGCTTCCAGTTTTCAAAGGAATTGATAGATTCCACTTTGGAGAGGCACCACTGCCTCGGTGCACGGTGTGTTGCAGCCATATTTCACGTTTAGGGCTCTGGAACGTGTTGACACGGCGAAGGATACACTGTTTTGGCTCACGTGGACGAGGCGAAAAATAGCCTTCTTCGGCGAAAATATGGCCTGGGTAGAACCGAACACTGCCACCACGCCAGTAGGGGAGTTAACACAATGAACCAAGGCACGTCCAGATAGTGAAAGGCTTTAATCGCAACAGGGGAACTAGACTCCGAACGAGTAACAAACAATAAGGCAGACGCGACGAGAAGGAAAACCGTCAAAAGGGCATGCTCAACCCAGATACCGCTGACCGGTACTGGCGCAGTAATGTGAATAATTTTAAAGTGAGTACTTTAAAAAGGGTTTTTTCAGAAAAACTTATTATTCCTGAGAGAATGACTGATGTTAAACCACAGCAGAAAGACGACTTAATGAGCATTGCAAAAGGATTCCCTCTAATTCTAAAAGGACTAAGAGCTATTTTGCGACAAGAACGAAAATCTCCAGTAGAACTTATTGCAGAAGTTGCCCGTGCTATGAAAAAATCAAAAGTGGAGGAGGACACTGGAGGAAGGCCTGTTAGTTTTGAAGAAGAAGGTGTAGATGTTAATCAGATGTCTGCAGTCAGTTTAATGTTTGAAACACTTTCCACAGAAAGGTTAAAGTTATCTGCAGTGGTGATTTCCTTGTTTCATGGGCCTTTCTCTGTGCAAACAGCTGCCAAAGTTCTTGGTATTGACCCGCCAGAGGCTATTGTTCAGTTAGAGGGTCTTGTAGCCAGCCAAATAATTTCTGTTGTTGATGAGGAAGCAAAAGAAAGGAAGTATGATATTCACTCACTCTTACAGAAGTATGCTAACAGTATCAAAGATCATGAAAACTTTTGTGCTCCTTACTTGGAGGCCAAAGGCCGCTTCTATGAACTCTTCATTTCCAGGATGAAGAAAATTGCAGAACTCATTGAGCCAGATTATGTCAAAGCTTTCCACTTGTTTGAGACAAACAAAGGGAACTATGAGTTCACCATTGAGATCTCATTACAACCAGAGTATTTCTGTCTACCAGGTGAACTCCATGAGAGTGCTTTGATTAGTTCACTTCTCATTGCAATGCTGAATGGTAAACAACTTATTAAGGTGTTTCATTGCTGGGCAAATATGTGTGAAGATGATGGAAGATCAGGTGAGCATTACTTCTTAGTTTTTTTATGATTCTCTATAACTTTCCCAAAGTTTTGTTCATATTCAGTTCCAGTAATATCCTTAACAAACTCAAGGTGGGTCATAGAAATTTCAGAGAGAGAAGAGGCTGTGATTAACCCTTTAACTGACCCATGCTCTTAATGTTAATTCTCCTCTTGAGCTGCTACAAATTTCTTCAGTCTGTAAATTAGTTATGAGAATTTGGTGTTAGATCAAAATAACAACTTCAACCTGATAAGTTTGATTATTCTCATGATTGCTGGATTATGTGTGGATATTATAGGGTCAAGACACATGTAAATCAATTTTGGGAGTTTGGGTTACTGGTAATGGTTTCAAGTTTATGTCTGCTTTGGATATAGGTTCTCTCGCACGAGCTCAGTTCAAGTCCTGGGAAGCAAGCCAAGTTGCTAATATTGATGGAACTGAGAAAGCCTCTGAAGTATTAAGGTCAGCCTTATGTTCATTGGAGAGAGTTGAAGATAAATCCAGTGATTTTTTTAAACTCACCAAGGGGCTTTACCTACGTGTTAAAGGTGAAATCCTTTGGAGGAATAGAGACAATGAGAGAGCACTTGTAAGTCTGAAATTGGCCTTAACTTTCTCTGAACCACTTCTAAAGGAGCATACTGATATTGCAAGGTGCTACAATGCTATTGGAAACAGCTTTTTTGCTCTGAATCAGCCCAGGAAAGCACTTGAGTTCTTTAAAAAAGCCTACAAGGTACAAAAGAAATTAGCATCTGAGAACCACTTTGATGTGCCAATGTACAAGAATCAGATTGGAACTGCATATGAAGGCCTTAAAGATTATGAAAAGGCAGAGAAATGTTACAGAGATGCACTGAGTCTTCTGGAGGAACTTAAACTTGCAGGTTATTGGGATGAGGCACTTTTCCAAAGAAATCTGGCTAATGCACTTATGTTTCAAAAGAAATATGAAGATGCAATTTTTCCATCAGAAAGGGCTTATAGTATAAGGATGAAGCTTCTCGGAAAGCACCCACAGACTGTGCGTAGCATTTATCAACGAGGGGTCCTTCAGGCCAGTCTTGGACATCTAAATGAAGCATTGCAGCTGTTTCTTGAAGGATGGGAGATGGAGAAGACACTTGGTGTAGGAAACCACAGTGAGGTGTGGCGAAAGATTATCACTGGCGTGGAAGATATGTGTAGCTGGACAAACAAAAGAAGAAAGAAGAAGTCATTTAGAAGAGAGGCCTTAAAGTTTTGTCAATATTTATGGGAAGAACAGAAAGCTTCTCAACAATTCACCTTCAATGAGTTTAACAAAGACATTATTGAAGCCTTGAAGGACCTCTCTAGTGACACAGCAGATGTACATTTTATAGAGAGTGAGGAGCTTTGGTTCTTAAGAGGGATGTGCAAAGAATACAAGGAGATGTCACAGGTAGGAGGGTAATTACAGTACAAATTTATTCCTTTCAAGTACATTTACCTGGCTGCTAAACATTTTCTACTGCCTGTCTGATTTCTATCATAAAAAAATTCCCTGCATTTACATGTATATTTTTAGTCTGCAGTCTCCTTTGATACTGCAACGCTTCTCCGAAAACAAGCTAATCATAGAAATCACACAACCCCTGTTGGGGTTGATCCATAGAATGTAGCTGAACAGGAGAAAAGTGTGTGTTGAATTTTTTTCTCTTCAGCATGATAGTATAACAAACATAGAAGAAATAACTGGATAGGTATTTTACAAAAGCTGGTTTTAAACTCACTTTGAGGGCTGATTCTGCATCTTTCCTACTCTGTCTAACACATCGGATGTCATGTGAAAGTCTAGGGCTGGATTAATCTGAAAAGGATGTCCATTGAAGTAATGGAAACTTGAACCTCATTTTAATTACTGTGTTTTGCTTGTTTAGACTCTGATTCAGACAGATGAATTTCTAGAGGCAATCATAAGACCTGAAGGTAAGGAGATACATTTACAGTGTATTTCTTAAGGTTAAATTAATATGAAACAACTCTGCTTTAGAGCTACAAACATTGTAGAGTCAAGATTATCTCCCTTTTAGGTTTGCTTTTCAGTGAAATTTGTACTTCATAGTCCTTTTTTGTGTAATCTTTATTTATTTTATTAAATGAAATGTTACTGTATGTGCACATAGCTGAACAATCCATTCTTGATTGGGACAAAGGGGCAAAGGATGTGATTACAAAAGAAAAGGAAGAAAACAAAACTGTGGTAGAATCTGTTCAAGAGAAAGCAAATAGGACTGTGTTAGGGACTGGAGCCAGATCTGATGAGGAGATGGTTGCCAGCTCTGGAGAAGACCTTGGGGGAGGAAACAAGAAGACAGGTGTATCTCTGGCGGAAACAGTAGCTGAAGTTCCTCAAGCTGAAGGCGAAGGTGTTAGGTAATGTTGAATTGGTCAGAACTTGATTTTTAGATTGTGAAACCTTTTTTCGGTCTGTCTTTGTTGATAGGAAAACAGAGTTAAGTCACATGATATACATGTACATAGTGTATGAACCAAACAATGTTTGCATTCAATTTGACTGTCTTTTTTCTTTTCAATTTTGGATTAATTTTTTTGATACCTTATTTGAAATCAGTGTGCTTTAAAAAAAAAGATTAAAACATGCCTTACTGGAATAATGACTGCAGAGTCTTGGAAAACTCTTACATGTTGCATAAGCATTAATTGCCTTAACTTGTGTTATACTTGGCTTCCAAATAACTGGAGGACTTCACTTGTAGAACAATTTGTTTTAGTTACGTACTAATATCCTTTTCATTATAATGGACATGTCTAAGCAAATGATAGTTAAACATACATGAAAAAATTACTCCATTCTGATTGGTTAAGATAAATGTAGTTTTCAGGTGATTCAAAGCAGGAGAGGGTTTACTTAGTGTGAAGAAGTAAAAGAACAATTTCTTGAACTGTTTAGTCAGACTTTGAACTTTTTTGGGCCTTAAAGATGTGAAAATATCATTGTATATAATTGTTTTGATCGTAGGCAGTTGTTTTGACCAAATGCGCAATGTCCCTTGCAGGGTTTGAATAAATTATTTTTGCACTTAAAGGGCACTTTGCTTCTATATAATTATTATAAGTTATCTTGTATTTTTTCTATCTTGTATATTATTAATACTAAATCACATGATTTTTATTGTGTGATTTGGAATAAATAAGCACTTGTAAATTTTTTCAAAGACCACAAATTGCAATTGCTCCTACAGGCTCGTGCAATTTTGTTAGTCTTTGAGAAAATTTACAAGTGCTTATTTATTCCAAATTGCACTTGAAATCATGTGATTACCTATACTAAAACATAAAACTATTCCTCTTTGTACCAAAATGGATGCCAAGCACCGACTTAACTTCTCTTCTTGAATTTTACAGAATCCCTGTACCAACACTTGACACGCATTGTATTTTGAAAGACTCAGCATTTGAATATAACAAGGCTTTAGAGGAGAGAAAAGTGGAACTGCCATGGCAAAATGAAGAAAAGGTAGAAATTTTAAGGCTAATAATTAAATTTTGCAATTTATGTCTATTAAAGGAAATTTGGGTTTTTTGAAGTTACAGACCACAAACCACAAGTCACATTCAAATAGCAGTTCTGCTGGAATTCCATCCCTTCCTGGAGCTTTACCATCCTGTGTTGAGCTGATAGCTGCCATTGGTTCATTGAGATTTCGTGGTTCATCCAGACTTGATGCAACTGGTCGTTGCACAATCGCCTCTTTAGTCTCCTCAGCAGGATCTCCGGTGTTGTTTTAAGTTGTTGGTCGAAATGGTCTGCAAATCTGTCCAAGATCTTGTTTTTCCCTTGCAAAACCGATTCATCATCTGGAGCCTTTAGCTGGATCAATCCTCTTGGTTTGGGGCCATAGATTTCTCTCAGACCTGTGAAGAATGTTTTCATGTCCTTCATGTCCACTGCAGTTTGGAATTCCTCCTCTTTTTATTTTTTTTCCACCCTATGGACTTAGTCTCTCTCTCTGATGTACTTCTGTAGCTCACTCTGAGCCTTTGAACTTTCTTCTTCTTTGGCCTTGTGTTACACTGTAGACTTTCCTGTCTAGCTATATTCCTCGCTTCGAATAGTTTCTTCAAATGTTTATCATGGTCATCAAACCAATCTTAACGTTTCTACTCAGGGTGGCCCAGAACATCACTCACAGTCTGATACACCATATCCTTCAGCGTTGCCCATTTCTCTTCTATGTCTTTCTCTGAGTTGTTGCTCTCCCAGTCTTTCAAGTTTTCGTCCATTTTCTGTGTGAGTTCTTCCTGCTTCTTTTGGCCTTTCAGTACACAAGTGTCGAGCTTCCGAGGTGGATTCCCACCCGTCCTGCAGTGCTGTTTTCGTCTACAAACCTTTAATCTAGTTTTTAGCATAACACGATCAGTACCACAGTCTGCTCCTCTCATCTCTCTGTCTTACTGTGATGTAGTCTTGTGTATGCCCTTGTGCCTGAATAGGGTGTTGGTTACCACAAGGTTGTACTCTGAAAGTGGTGTAAGTAGAAGTTCTCCGTCAGTATTGCACTTGCCTACTCCATGACTGCCCAGCACTCCTTTCCATTTCTCAGTGTCTGAACTAACTCTAGCATTAAAATCCCCAACGAGTATCAGCCTGTCATCAGACGGTACACGCCTGATCGTCTCAGGTGGGTCAATGTAGAACTCTTCCTCCGCCACGTCCGTGTTGGTCATTGTTGGGGCATACACGCTGATGAAGATGGTATACATCATCCGCTGTAGTGGGAGTCTCATAGTCATTATCCTGTCGTTGATTGGCACTAGTTCCTCGAGCATGTCGAGTACACCCAAACCGCAACGATTTGTCTACGGTCGTTGACAAATCGACGCACCGGATGTAGAATTGTGCGTAACCATACCGGAAGTGAAGGGTGAAAAGCAATGTTTGAAAATGAGTAGCATGGTATGCTGGAAGTCGAATCGTGTGTTAACATACCGGAAGTCGGGGGGCGTCAGTAATGTGTGAAAATGAGTAGGATGAAAAGAGAAAATAACAACAGGAACCTTGCACGTTCTTAAATCGTGAAACGGCCGGAAGTCCATCGTCAGAATATTAAAAATTCTTCCTTTTTAAAGCGTTAAACAGGGGCATGAAATGTTGACTAATCGATACGTTTCTTGCGGGTCGACTCGAATCGTCATTAGTAAACTCGACCCGTCTCACCGGAAGTCGATTCGCAAAAGAAGACAATACATACTTTAGCGTTAAATTGAGGTATTTAATGTTGACGGATCGACTAGACTCGTCATTAGTAAAGTTGATTCGTCACCGGAAGTCGATTCGTAGAAGTAAGCATTAAATTGGGGTATTCGATGTTGACGAATCGACACGATTCGCACGGGTCAAGTCGACTCGTCATTAGCAAAGTCGATCCGTCTCACCGGAAGTGGATTCGCAAAAGATTTGTCATGTGATTACTTCGTTTCTAAGTGTTTTGTTTTGAAAACGACAACTTCGGAGACGTGCAATCTGAATATGGCTGGCTTTTACGAAGATCGTGTTCGTTTATTTCGTCTTTTCACAGTCCTTCATTTTGTAGGAAAGAGCTTTTTAAACTTATTTGGTTGTACATCGGTTGTTAAGAAGTATGTCTCTGTATTTCCCGAACTTGGCGATGTTGAGGTTCATCTCGCGGAATATTTTCTAAGTGTCTTGCAAATCGACTTCCGTTATGACGGGTCGACATCAACTGCGTCGAGTCATTCGATTCGACAACATCTCCAACCCCCCTTCGTAGTTACTCGCAGAATATTTTCAAATTGTCTTGGAAATCGACTTCCGGTATGACGGGTCGACATCAACTGTGACGAGTCATTCGATTCGGCAAAATCTGCAACCCCCTTTCGTGGCCACCTGCTGAATATTTTCTAAGTCTTACAAATCGACTTCTGGTGTGACTGGTCAACTTTAGCTGAGACGAGTCGTTCGACTCGATTCCAATCGAGTCGATTTGACAACATGTTCAACCCTATTTAGTAGCTACTTGCGGAATATTTACTAAGTGTCATGTAAATCGACTTCTTGTGTGACGGGTCGACTTTAACTGAGACGAGTCGTTCGATTCGAGTCGAATCGAGTCGATTCGACAACATTTTCAACAACCCTTGACAGTTACTTGCAAATTGACTTCCGGTATGCGTTTCCATTTAATAAGAGATGGTTGATCAGATTTCCGGTGTAACGAGATGCATTAACCGCGAATCGACTTCCGGTAAAACGATTCGCAAACTGCCTTTGACGAATCGTAACGGTTTGGTGTATTGGACAACCCTCCGGTTCCTCATCAAGCTTTGCTGCTATCTCCTTTCTAACTGGAAAGCCTACTCCTGCTTCTCTCCTTTCTTGAGTCGGTATCCCACTCCAAAAGAAAATGTACCCATGATCTTCCAAGTTGTCATATCCAGGCAATCTTATTTCACCAAGTCAGCTATTAACTGTTCATTTCCAAGGCCACAAGCGCAGTCTATCTTTCTGGGCGCTGTAATTTTGGTCTGTCCATCAAAGCGCGTACATTTCATTACGTATAAGGCGGCTGTATTCCTCTTCTTCCTCCTGCCTGCCCCTAACATACTTTTCGCTGCCTGTTGGAGTGTAACAGATCAGCGCAGACCTTGCTAACCCGGCCGACCTCCAAGCCGGTATGAGTTGTTTTCTGAGTGACAATTTCATGAAACTGCTTGCAAAGTATTTAAGTACAAAGTATTTAGTATCTCTGCCCTTTGTGTAGTGCATATCGAAATGCACCGACTGGGAAAAGTCCACCACGCACCTTACGACAGATGTGTTTTCTCACCCCGTGTAACTGAGAGTGGTCCACCACATACCTTGTTTTTAATTGTCAGGATGCCCAGTTTCACCTTCCACACCCTCCTAGGGGCGGGTTGCCGGTTGAGTCGCCGACTTCCCGACCTATAAGACAGGTAATACCGGTTTTCATGGTTATCCAGTAGCAAGCAAACCGTTAAGCGTTCAAGAACTCTTGGGTTAGCCTTAGCTTGTGGTTATTGCCATTAATAATAATTGGTGATTCTGTTGCAGGTTTCTTCAGTAGTCAACCATTCTACGGCATGCAAAGAGAAATGGTTGGAAATTTCCCTTCTTTGTGACGGGTGGACCTCACGTGGGGGTGGTTTGTCAACGTTAAACAGGGAGCTGACAGTACACTTGGCAGGGGCAGGGATGGTGCGGGTTACTGTCTTCCTTCCTGAGGGTGCTTGTGCCCATGAGCATAAGAAGGAGGCTGAAAAGCACGGGATCAACGTGGTTGAAGCAAAGCGACTCCTAGGCTATGATGATCCTCAGGTTTGGCTGAGCTTTCCACCTCCAGACCTGAAACCTGATGTTGTAATTGGTCATGGTCAGAAACTAGGTCGTCAAGGACAAATTTTCAAATGTCTACCACACAGATGCAAGTGGATTCAAATGGTGCATACTGATCCAAAAGAGCTGAGCAAGTACAAAATCGATAGCCAGGCTGTTTGTAAGGGCGAGGAAAAACATAAGACTGAAGTTGGACTCTGTAAAATGGCTCATCTGGTCGTTACTGTTGGACCCAAACTGTATGATGCTTTCTCTAAATACCTTGGAAATGAATATGTCTCGAATATCCTAAAACTCACTCCTGGTCTTTTTGAGGAATTTAAAGATTTGAATCATGCCCTTAGGGAGGGTTCTAACTTCAAAGTGTTGTTGTGCGGCCGCAGTGATCCAGAAGACTTCAAGCTAAAAGGCTTCGACATTGCCGCCAAGGCTTTTGCTTGCATTGAGCTTAGAGAACCATCTTATTTACTCATATTTGTGGGAGCTTTAAAGGGAAAAAAACAAGAGATGAAAGGAAAGCTCCTCGAGTTTGGCATTAGAGAAGATCAGTTGTTCGTTAAAGAATTTGTAGAAAGTAGAGAAGAAATGAAGAAGATGCTTTGCGAAGTTGATCTGGTGATCATGCCCTCGCGGGCCGAGGGCTTTGGTCTTGTTGCACTTGAGGCTCTCTCCGTAGGTCTTCCTGTTCTTGTGGGCAAAAATTCAGGCCTTGCTCAAGCCATAAGAGATTTGCCGAATGGTAAATTATGCATTGTTGATTCAGAGGAACCCGAGGAATGGGCGACTGCAATCACAACTGTTCAACAAGGGCATAACGAATACCTACAGAAGATAAAGGACCTACGTGAAGCTTATGGGAAGAAATACAGCTGGGAAGAGCAGTGTGAAGTTCTTGTAGACAAGATGAGGGAGATGATACTGCATGCAAACTGAAAGATAGAAAGTTAGTGCCCTTCCTTTCTTTTGTCTATTTAACTTATTAGAAGGCGAAGTAAAAGCTGTTGAGAGCCCAAAAGCAACCCGAGGTTGAAAGAAAAAAAAAAGTTAAGTTTCATAGCAAATTGGCCAATTTGAGAGTGGAAACCGATAATCAAATTTACTGAGGTGGTCCCATGTCTCTCTAAACCCTATCATACTAATAGAAAAAAAGGTCAATATCGTGTTTAAAAGTAGATCGTTGTTGCTTTTCGATAGGTGCAGTAAAGCTAGTCCGGCGGGAAATGCAAGTGCAGTAGTGACTTTGATGCACAACCCGTGAAACTAGAATGTAGAAATTAGTTGGAAGACATTGCAACTGGATTGCACCCACGTACTCCTCTGTTCATATTCATTAACAATGGATCAGTCTTGGAGAATACTTTGAGGTGTTCAAAAGTGAGTTTCTAGTCAGCCATTCTGTTTCATGGGGTAAAAAAGGGCGGGGAACCTAATGAAGGACGCAAACATTCTTGTGTGCTCCATTGCATCAAATTTCTAAGAACCTGTGCAACCTGATCGGGAAAAGTGGAGGACTACTTGTACGCTGGATTTTTAAAGGTAATAGCACGATTTCGAGTGTAATTTTGTGTTGATAAGCAATGGTAAATTTTTCAAAGACAACAAAACTGCACCAGTTCATAGGATGAGTGCAATTCATATTCTTATAAAAGTGCCTATTTGCACCAAATTGCACGAGAAACCATGCTATTACTTTGTAATGATTTACTTGAAAAAAAAAAACACGGAAAGTCAGGACAGACGAAATTTTGACGGTGCGCGCCCACTATTTATAATTTGCACTCGTGTTACAACTTTACACTCGTGTTACAACTTTGTTCTAGTTTTCAGTCAATCAGAGCGTGAAATGTTTCCACTTATATTATAAGGCCGTAAATCCAAATCTCTTTTGAAATGTATTACAGATAGACGTACAATATATCTACAATAACTTTTTCTTTTTAATTTCAATTAATACGCGTTAATGTTTTTACTGATTTCCATCCTAGAACCTTACAATGATAGGAGAACTTGACTGGAGTGGGACAAGAAACAACTAAAGGCAAAATGACAGCACACAAAATTGTACATGGTGGAACACTCGCAAAAGTCGCTGGTGCTTTCCGTTGGTATCGGTGACATTCCCTGTAGGTCAGAACTCCCCTGGAATTCCTCTTAGAAAACCCAAACTCTTGTACGCTTGTTTGTATTTTCTTCCCAGATTTGTCTTAGATCGCCCCCAAATTATACCGCAGTCATTTGGAATCACCCACCCCTTCCCTACTCTTTCTTTCTTTTTCAAGACCAGGATAGTAACTTTTTAAGGGATGGAAAGGGTGAACTTCCCTGTAACCGTAATGGAAAACTTCCTCTCATGCAGTAGACGCTTTTTTCAGAGAAGTTGATTCAATTTTTTCCATTAAATAGAACAACATTTTTACATGCACTTGTACAGCTGTTTTTTTTTTTCTTTTTCGAGCCAACCTTATTTGTTGGCTATCTGAAGGTCATACTGCCCCATAACGTGTTATCTCAAATCACGACTTCATCACTCCCTGGTTCGCTCACGCATCAATTCCCCCCGTCATGTCTGCTCGATATGTGCAACCCGCCTTTTATAATATTCTTAAAAAAGCCAGTTAGTGGTAAAGTTTTTCATTGAAGTGTTGGACTGTCGTCATCACCGACGATTCAAGAATTCGTTTGATTCGTTTGTAGCTTCGTTCCGTAGAATTTGAGCTATCTGCAGAAGTGCCTGGTGACTTGTTCATAGAGTTTATAGTTATGTTGAATCGTTCATCATGGAATACGGCTCCATTGAAGGGACCAGCTGCAAGAAACATCGAGGTTTTTTTGAACGAAGCTTCCGCTTCGGCCGTCAAAGTGGTAGTTGCAGCAGTGCGTGCACAGGCGGCCCAAGCTCACGTCTCGAGAAAAAGCCAACTATGAATTCATGAACGCGTCTCACGTTGTGTGACTCAGTGTTAAGTTACGGGAAGAACCGTGAAAATTTGAACACGTTATAAGGAATAGTATGGGGAATGAAATATGGTCGATTTACAACGATAAATATTTCCGAAATATGAATATTTTACACGTAAAATCAATAAAACTTACTCATGCTATGCCCTGTGTATCCGTCGTAGTTTCTGGCGATTTCTGCCGTTTTAAGCTTGCTTTACCATCACTGTTATCCTTGTCAAAAGACGAAGTCAAGGCTGCACACTCCGATTTCGACCATGGTCCACGCGGAGGTGGTTTGCGCCCCGAAAATCCTCCCGATCGGCATTTTTCTAAGCCACACTTTACGATCAATTGATTGGTTGATTAGGACAATAGGTCAAGGCGAGGTGTCTCTGTGGGGATGGAATAAGTATTGTACATTAATCGACCGTACCACTGTTGACCAGGTGCTCTTTAGAAACAGAGCTGTAGTTGTTTACACTTAGCACATTACGGTGACCTGAAAGCTGCATGATGTGAGTGGGGGGAACATTGCTGTCGTTAGGTTTTTGTATCATAGTTTTTCTTGCGTTGTGGTTCGTGAGCCGTCGCTTCTCGTCGAGTCCAGATTTGTTTACCATAGTTTTCCTTAACGAGTTCAGTTTGTTTACCGCCATTGCACTTGCCTTAAACCAACATCTACCAGGATCCTTTGAATAGTTAATACTAGGATAGAAAGGGGCCTCGGTGGTCAGAATTGAGGTTGGTCTTCGCTCGCCACAAATTTTGTAAACAGACACAGGGTTTCTCTCATTTGGCCCGTCTTGAGTAGCGAAAGCTTTAGGCTTGACTGATCTGATATTTCGAATTTCCATTGCAGTTCGTTGTCGGTCTGTCGTTCAGAATATTCTAAATATTCTGTACCGTCCACATCTCTGATAAGTTGAACATCTTCCCAAGTCATTTTTCGGTGTTCGTCGCAGCCTCTCAACCCGAAATGAATGGAGTTCATAAACCACAACGTGTTCAGCAAAACCTGAGCACTCGTGATTCCAAGCAGGTTTTTCATGTATAGAATGTTGACCTCCTCGTCTGTTATAACCTCTGCTGCATTTGGCGTGTTGCCCTTCCCTTCCTTTTTTAGTTGCCTTCTTCGAGCCTTCAGGGCTTTTAGAATTTGTTCAAACTCAAGGTCCTCTATTAAGTTCTTTGGATATTTAAAAGCTTTCAAGTGACGGTCGAAGTTGCAAAGAAATCCTCTGAGGCTTGAAGGCTCGAATTCGTCTCTGTAACGTTGTGGCTTTGTACAGCAACAAACGGGTCTTGTAAACATAAACAAACGATACTTTTAATCCATAAGTCGGTTCACTGAAGACTCGAGTACGAGATCGCGAGCACATGTAAAATCTGGCATCCTATTGGATAACAACTATCACGTGATGTTACAGTCTCCGCCTTTTCTTTTGAAAGTTATTATAAATTCACTCAAGATATGATTTAGGTGTTCTGGCGGAATCTCTTCCAGTTTTCTCTTCTCATTCCTTTCTTTCAAAAACGCCATGAAAATGGCAATATCTCTCCGCGTTTTTGATAGCGTGTTCTTGTTTTCTTGCTCCTGAATAAACTCATTTACGGGCTTTTCTAACGCAGGAAATCTTAAACTTGAGGTTTCGGTCATCTCAAAAAGTTAAATTTAGGAAATAAATTTAGGAAATAAATTTGATTACAGAACTCTAAACCCCTTTCAAAATGTTTACCAAACTAACGACGAAGCTTAGTTTCAAGTAAACTGACGGGACAGGAAGAGGAGAGGGCGCAAAAACCCAGTACTTCTAGTTTCTTCGTGATTGCACGAAACGTGTTCTTCACACGTGAAATTGTCGTTTCTCTGATGATTTGATTGGCTGTAAACTACTGAGAACTGAGTTTTGAGACAACAGATTTCGTAGTGAAAAACTCAGTATGTACAAAATACGTTCAAATTCTAAACTACCTTCTTTTATCGCAACGAATATCTCACGATCGTCTCCACATACAGCTTTGTGATTCATGTAAGTAAGACATCAACATCTTAAGACTAACCTTCAAGGTTTGTAGTCTCGTGCACATTTTGATCATCACTAAATCAAATCTTAAACTTCAAGTTTTCGGCCTTTTTTGAAAACCCGCGAAGGCGCGCTGAAAACACCAGCTGAATGGCGCTGAATGAGCACAATATGATTCTTGCGCATGCTCAGACAAAATGCTATTCATTGACACAGCGGCAAAATGAGCGCGCACGCTTGGCGGATTTGGCGCACTCAAGGAGCGATTAAAGAAGCATGATATGAATAAATTTAATATCGCCCAGTTTGAATGTAGAACCCAAAATCTAATTAACTTATTGCCAGTGAATAGGAAAAAGCTCAATACGTTTTTACTGCTTCTGTCATTCTAAATATTATAAATCAATCACTCCACCAGCCGCCAAATCGCCGCTTTAGTGTTACTATGGAAATATTGTCATTCCCATTCCTTTTCGCGCGCAAATTTTCGCGCGCGTTTCAAGCATGCGCACTCATTTTGCCGCTGTGTCCTGCCATTAAATTTCATAGCGGATTGTAATGTAAACAAAGATGGCGGTAGTTTTACGACAACTTTTCGAAGACATTTCTTCGAAGTTTAGTTCTGTAGAATCAGAAAATATTGTGAAAATTTCAAAAAACAATTACGGAGGGAAATTCGATTTGCTGGGTAATCGTGATCTGTTGGAAAGTTTATATCTTCTTATGAAGCATGGGTACGTTTCTGAGAACAACCTCAAACTAATCGAAGATATTATTGCTCCGAAATCGAACAACGAGGAAATCATTAAGAAGTATATGGAACATTTCAAGGCCTCCCGTCCGGTAACAGCTGATCCAGAGAAGGAATTTCTCGGACGGAGCGAAGAAATCAAGAGAATTAACAAAAAATTGGAATCGAAAGATACCGGAGTACTGAACTTGTTTGGATCGTCTGGTGTAGGAAAGACAAAGCTTGCCAATGAGGTTTGCTTGTAGTGGCAAGGAACTTATCGTGTTTTTTATTTAAGAGAAGCAAAGGATTTGAAAGCGATCTATTACAAAATGCTGCATTCTCTCGGACTAGTAGTTCCAGTTGGTAATGTTGATCAAAATTATGTTATCACCAAAATTCTAGAGAAGGTTGAAGAGTTGGAGAGAGGGAAACATGCTGTTCTATTTCTGCTGGACAATGTAGACCGCTTTACCGCAGGAAAAGGTAAAGAAGGAAAAAACTTGAAAACTGCTCTCATGGAATTTTTAGCCAAGCTCTCAGAAGGCAAAAGGAAATGATCTCCTTTAAAGCTTTTACTCACCTCTAAGACCGAGTTAAGAGGTCCCAGTAATGTGAATAATTTTAAAGTGAGTACTTTAAAAAGGGCTTTTTCAGAGAAACTTGTTATCCCAAAGGGAATGACTGATGTTAAACCCCAGCAGAAGAATGATTTAATCAGCATCGCAAAAGGATTCCCTCTTCTTCTAGGAGGACTGGCAGCTATTTTGCAACAGGAACGAAAATCTCCAGGAGAACTCATCGCAGAGGTTACTCGTGCTCTGAAAAAATCAAAAGTGGAGGAGGCCACTGGAAAAAAGCCTCTTAGATTTGCAGAAGAAGGAGTGGATGCTAATCAGATGTCTGCAATCAGTTTAATGTTTGATACACTTTCCACGGAAAGGTTAAAGTTATCTGTAGTAGTGATTTCCTTCTTTCATGGGCCTTTCTCTGCACCAACAGCTGCCAAAGTTCTTGGTATTGACCTGTCAGAGGCTATTGTTCAGTTAGAGGGTCTTGTAGCCAGCCAAATAATTTCTGTTGTTGATGAAGAAGCAAAAGAAAGGAAGTATGAAATTAACCCTTTGTTACAGAAATAATTGCTGACAGTATCAAAGATCATGATAACTTTGGTGCTTCTTACCTGGAGACAAAATGCTGCTTCTATGAATCGTTCATGTCCAGAATGGAGAAAATTGCAAAACTCATAGAGCCAGATTATGTCAGGGTATTCCATTTGTTTGAGACAGACAGAGTGAACTATGTGCTCACCATTGAAATCTCATTACAACCAGATAATTTCAGTCTTCCAGGTGATTTTCATGAGAATGCTTTGATTAGTTCACTTTTCATTGCAATGCTGAATGATAAACAACTTATCAAGGTGTTTCATTGCTGGGCTAATATTTGTGAAGATGATGGAAGATCAAGTAAGTATTTCTTCTTAGTTTTTCATCATTCTCTTTAAGTTCCCCAAATTCTTGTATATGTTCAGTTCCAGTAATATCTTAACAAGTTCCATGAGGGTCACATAAATTTCAAAAGGAGAAGAGACCATGACTGGCAATAGGACTGCGTGGAGTCCGAGTGAAGTCTAATTTGGTCTGTAATCATACGAGTGATTAACAAAATCAGACAAGCGCAAAGCAGGAGTCTGATTTGTCAGTCATGAGTATGATTACCGACAGAATTAGATAACACAAATTCTTGTTACCAATTAATCGTAACCTTTACAATTTCAAAAAAAATACATTTAGGACAAATATCTCCAGTAGGAACAGTGTCTAAAGCAAATAATTTGGAAATTTCCCAGTTTTTTCAGGGCAAGTGGTTGTTGCTTTGGTTATTGTGATCAATTCTGTGATTGGTGGATTTAGCTGAGTAGACTCAGTATAATTGGCTGCTTCAACTGTCTGATTACAGGTGTCCGATTACAGCCAATTGTCCAATTACAACTGTGCAGAGTGATTAGTGGAATATAAAGCAGCTGATGCACCAATCACATTTGAGGAAATTGTAATGATTATGATTAACACTTTAACTCCCACACTCTTATTGTAAATTCTCCCCTCTAGTTTCTACACATTTCTTTAATTTGTAAATTAGTTACAAGAATTTAATGTTAGATCAAGTTAACAACTTCTACCTGATAAGTTTGATTATTCTCATTGCCTTATTGCTGGATAATGTGAGGATAATTTAGGGACAAGACACATGTTAACCACTTTTGAGAGGTAATTAGGCTTAATGGTTTTAAAATAATGTATGCTTTAAAACATATGTTTAAAACATATTATGTGGCAAAATAAATGGAAAAATACATCAATCATTTAACTCCGAAGATCTGATTGGTAATTCTGCCCTCTAGCTGCTACACATTTCCTTGTAAATCAGTTATGAGAATGTGGTGTTAGATCAAGTTAACAACTTCTACCTGACAAGTTTAAATATTTTCATTAGCTGTTTGCTGGATAATGTAAGGATGTTATAGGGTGAAATTTCAATTCTGGGAGTTAAAGGGTTAAGTAATGTAAATAATATGTTAATATGAAATAATCATATTAAGTTTTTTCTGATTAGGAATTACAATTGCTACACATTTCTTTTGTAAATTAGTGATGAGAATTTTGTGTTAGATGAAGATAACAACTTCTACCTCATAAGTTTGATTATCCTGAATGCCTGATTACTGGATAATGTGTGGATACTATAGGGAAGACACATGTTCATCACTTTTGGGAGTTAATCAGGGTTAATGGTTTCAAATTTATGTCTGCTTTGGATATAGGTTCTCTCGCATGAGCTCAGTTCAAGTCCTGGGAAGCAAGCCAAGTTGCTGATATTTATGGAACCGAGAAAGCCTCCACAGTATTAAGGTCAGCCTTATCTTCACTGCAGAAAGTTGAAGATAAATGTAGTGCTTCTTTTAAGCTCACCAAGGGGCTTTACCTACTTGTTATAGGTGAAATCCTCTAGAGGAATAGAGACAATGAGAGAGCACTTGTTAGTCTGAAATTGGCCTTAACTTTCTCTGAACCACTTCTAAAGGAGCATACTGATATTGCAAGGTGCTATGGTGCTATTGAAAACAGCTTTTTTGCTCTGAACCAGCTGCGGAAAGCGCTTGAGTTCTATGAAAAAGCCTACAAGCTACAAGAGAAATTATCATCTGAATACCACTTTGACATGCTAATGTACAAGAATCAGATTGGAACTGCATATGAAGGCCTTGGAGATTATGAAAAGGCAAAGAATTGTTACAGAGAGGCACTGGGTCTTCTGAAGGAACTTAAACTTGCTGGTAATTTGGATGAGGCAAGCTTCCAAAGAAATCTTGCTAATGCATTATGTTTCAAAGGAAATTTGAAGATGCAATTGAACCTTCAGAAAGGGCTTATTATATAAGGATGAGGCTTCTTGGAAATCACCCACAGACTGTGCATAGCATTTTTCAACAAGGGGTCCTTCAGGCCAATCTTGGACATCTAAACAAAGCATTGCAGCTGTTTCTTGATGGATGGGAGATGGAAAAGACACTTAGTGTAGGAAACCACGGTGAGGTGTGGTGAAAGATTATCACTGGCGTGGAAGATATGTGTGACTGGACAGAAAAAAAAAGACTGAAAAAGTTATTTAGAAGAGAGGCCTTCAAGTTTTGTTAATCTTTCTGGGAATAAAAGAAAGAGAAAGAAAAGAAAGACATCATTGAAGCCTTGAAGGACCTTTCTGGTAACAAGGAAGACATACATTTGATAGAGAGGGAGGAGCTTTGGTTCTTTAAAGGGATGTGCAAAGAATACAAGGAGACGTTACAGGTAGGAGGGTAATTACAGTATAAATGTATTCCTTTGAAGTACATGTACCTGTCCCAAACATTTTCTACTGTATGTACCTGTCTGATTTAATTTCTATCACAAAAAAATTTCCCTGCATTTACATGTACATGACTGTATAGCTTTAGTCTCCTTTGACACTGCAATGCTTCTCCAGGAACAAGCTCATCATAGACATCACACAACCTCTGTTAGTTTTGGTCTATAGAATTTAGCAGAAAAGGAGAGAAGTGTTGAAAGTGAGGCATTCTCTTCAGCATGATACTATAACAAACATAGCAGAAATAATTGGACAAGTATTTTACAAAAGCTGGTTTTAAACTCACTTTGAGGCCTGATTCTGCATCTTTCCTACTCTTTCTATTCTATTTCTGTTGAAGTAATGGAAAGTTGAACCTCATTTTAATTCATGTGTTTTGCTTGTTTAGACTCTATTTCAGACAGATGAATTTCTAGAGGCAATCATAAGACCTAAAGGTAAAGAGATACTTTTATAGTATATATCTCAAAGTTAAATTAATATGAAACAACTTTGCTTTAGAGCTACAAACATTGTAGAGTCAAGATTATCTCCCTTTTAAGCTTGCTTTTAAGTGAAATTTGTACTTCATAGTGCTTTTTTGTGTGATCTTTTTTTATTTTATTAATGTTACTGTATGTGCACATAGCTGAACAATCCAGCCTTGAATGGGACGAAGGGGTGAAGGATGTGATTACAAAAGAAAAGGAAGAAAACAAAATCATGGTAGAATCTACCCAAGAGAAAGCAATTAGGACTATGGTAGAGACTGGAGCCAGATCTGATGAGGAGATGGTGGCCAGCTCTGGAGAAGACCTTGGGGAAGGAGACAAGAAGACAGGTGCATCTCTGGAGGAAACCGTAGGTGAAGGTGCTCAAACTGATGCCAAAAGTACATTGTGGAACATGCTAAGGTTTGTCTTTGTTCAAGGAGGAACACTGTTGAGTCACATGATATACACAGTGTGTGAACCCAAACAATGTTTGCATACAATTTGGTTTCTTTTTTTTTTTTTTTTTTTTTTTTTTTTTTTTTTTTTTTTTTTTTTTTTTTTTTCAATATTTGATTAATTTTTGTAACCTTATATGATATCAGTCCGCTTTTAAAAGGGTTAAAACATGCACTACTGGTCGAAATAATAACTACAAAGTCTTGGAAAACACTTACATGTTGCATAAGCACTTATTGCCACAACTTGTATCATGACTTGGCTTTCGAATAACTCAAAGACTTTAGATGCAGAATAGTCTGTTTCACTTGTGTACTTATATACTTTTTAATAAATAAAAACATAAAACAATTCCTCTTTGTACCAAAATGGATGCAAAGCCCTGACACAACTTCTCTTCTTGAATTTTACAGACCTGCTGCACCAACACTTGACACCCATTTTACTTTGAAAGAGTAAGCATTTAGATGTAACAAGGCTTTACAAAAGAGCAAAGTGGAACAGCCATGGCAAAATGAAATAAAGGTAGAAATATTAAAGCTAATAATTATGTTGTGCAATTCCCATCCATTAAAGGAATTGAGGTTTTTAAAGATACACACCACAAACCACAAGTCACAATCAAATAGCAGTTCTTTCCCATTCTTGGAAGAATTTTGTTCATATTACGTCTTACACCAAGTAGAAGGCCGTCTAAGTCTAGTATTGAAGAAAGAGGTAGAAGAACTGTCCAAGTTTGTCAACAGAGGCATCTGCAGAGATATGCCATGTTTTCAGATCACATCTACAACCATTTTTATCACGAAAAAAAGAGATTTTGTCTGTTACCTCTTAGTCCGACAAAACTTTGATGTCAGGAAGGAATTAGAATGCAAGAAAAGTTACTGTAAATTTAAGTCGATCCCCGGGTATCAAGTTTTTCTTGTTCGTTGTTTGATTGCTTGAGGGATTTTCTTTATATATAACTGTTAGAGCAGTATCCTTAATCTAGATATTATTATTATCGATTACCGTTTTTTAAATTCTTTCACTTGGAGACTCCCTCTTTTGAAGTTCCCTCCTTTAGATTATCCTGATTTGGCATCTTTCTGATATTTCTTCCTCTGCCATACCTGATTTTGATTTTGCTTTCTTTTATGGCAAGGTATCGTAACAATTTCTCTTTTTATAGATTTTCTTTTTCAGAAATTCCCTTATTTTAAGTTTTCTTTTTTAGTAATGTGATCAGATGCATCCCATAGATAATATAAGTAATCGAAACGGGTCTTCCTCCTCAAACTTTCTCGCCGCATAGTTTTGATGATAATTGTGATTACGTAATTATAAATCACGTCTAGATAATGTTCCATAATTCCAAGTTCTAATTTCATACCTAAATCCATATTTTCCTTCCACCCTGTAGTAGGTAAGTGTTAAAGAACTCTTGGGTTGGCATAAATTGTGGCTATTGCCTTTTATAGTAATTGGTGATTATGTTGCAGGTTTCTTTAGAAGTCAGTCCTTCTACGGCATGCCAAGAGGAAAGATTGGAAGTTTTTCTTCTATGTGAAGGGTGGACCTCGCGTGCGGGTGGTTTGTCAACGTTGAACAGGGAACTCACAGTACAATTGGCAGGGGCAGGGATGGTCCGCAGTGATCCAGAAGACTTCAGGCTAGAAGGCTACGACATCGCCGCCAAGGCTTTTGCTTGCAGCAAGCTTAGAGAAGATCAGTTGCTCGTTAAAGAATTTGTATAAAGTAGATAAGAAATGAAGAAGATGCTTTGCGAAGTTGATCTGGTGATCATGCCCTCGCGGGCTGAGGGCTTCGGTCTAGTTGCCCTTGAGGCTCTCTCCGCAGGTCTTCCTGTTCTTGTCGGCAAAAATTCAGGCTTTGCTCAGGCCATAACAGACTTGCCGTATAGTAAGTCATGCATTGTTGATTCAGAGGAACTTGAGAAATGGGCAACTGCAATCACAACTGTGCAACAAGAGTATAGTGAATACTTACAGAAGATAAAGGACCTACGTGAAGCATATGGGAAGAAATACAGCTGGGAAGAGCAGTGTGAAGCTCTTGTTGACAAGATGAGGGAGAAACTGAAAGATAGAAAGTGAGTGCCCTTCCTTTGTTTTGTCTATTTAACTTATTAGAAGGCGAAGTAAAAGCTGTTGAAAGCCCAAAAGTAACCCAAGGTTAAAAGAAAAAGAGAAAATGATTTAGCTTTCATAGCTAATTGTGCAGTTTGAGAGTTGAAAAGAATAATCAAATTTGCTAAGGTAAGCCTATGTCTCTTTAAACCTTATCATACGAATGGAAAAAAATTGGTATCGTGTTTAAAAAATAATAGATCGTTCTTATTTTTCGACAGATGCAGCAGTGCTAGTCCGGCGGGAAATGCAGGTGCAGTATTGAAGCGAGAACGTAGAAATTAGTTGGAAGACATTGCAACTGGATTGCACCAAACGTACTCCTCTGTTCATATTCAGTAACAAAGGATCAGTCTTAGAGAATATCTTGACGTGTCCACGAGTATACGGGCGTTGAGTATCCCAACGAACTACAAGCAGGAGAAGGTGAGTTTCTAGTCTGTCATTCTGTATCATAGAGTAAAAAAGGGCAGGGAAGCTATTCAAAAACGCAAACATTCTTGTGTGTTCCATAGTATCAAATTTCCGGAGGTACTTTTAGGCTGGATTTTAAGAGGTAATAACATGATTTCGAGTGCAATTGGGTGTTAGTAAGCACGAGAAAATTTTTCAAGGACAACAAAATTGCAGGAGCCCATAGGTTGAGTGCAATTTGTATTCTTTGAAAAAGTTTTAAGTGCTTATTTGCACCAAATTGCACGAGAAATCATGTTATTACTTGGTAATGATTAAGTTTAAAAGGAAGAAAACATCACAGAAAGTCGGGACAGACGAAATTTTGACAGTGTGCGCACGCGGTTTGTAATTTGCACTCGTGTTACAACTTTACACTCATGTTACAACTTTGTTCTAGTTTTCAGCCAATCAGAAGTGCGTGATGTTTTCATGTAAATTGTGAGGCCGTAAATCTGGAGCTCTTTTATTTTGTATTACATATAGACATACAGGTATTTTAATAATTTTTTATTTCAAGTAATACACGTTAACATTTTTATTGATTTCCATCCTAGAAACTTGACTGGAGCGGGACAAGAAAAAACTGAAGGCAAAATGGCAGCACACAAATGTATGCGGTGGAATAGTCGCAAAGGCCGATGGTGCTTTCCGTTGGTTTGGTGACATTCTCTGTGGGTCAGAACTTCTATGGAATTCCTCTTAGAACATCCAAACTCTTGTACGCATGTGTGTATTTTCTACACAGATTTGTCTTAGATCGCCTTCCAAATTATGCCGCAGTTATTTGAAACCATCCATCCCTTCTCTGCTCTTTATTTTCTTTTAAAACCAGGGTTGTAACTTTTTGTGCGATGAAAAGGGTAAAGTTCCCTGTAACTGTGAAAAAAGCGAATGAAAACTTCCCCTCATGTAGTAGACGCTTTTTGTGGAGAAGTTTGTTCAATTTTCCATTAAATAGACCACCATGTTTACATGCATTTGTGCAGCTGGATTTTTCCGAGCCAACCTTATTTATTGGCCATCTGTAAGTCATGGTGCCCCTTAACGTGTTGTCCCAAATCACGACTTCATCACTCCCTGGCTCGCTCACACATCGACTCCTTCGTTATTTCTGCTCGATCTTTGTAAATCGCCTTAAGTCTTTCAGAACATAGGAGAATCCCATGTATCACTTCCGGCAAGCGGCTCACTAGCTCGCACAATCTCTGGTGAAGTGAACAGTGGAACCTCGATTTTAACAAGCGCCAAGGGACGTGGGAAATAGATTCGTTATATCGAAAACCTTCATTTAACGAATTTGCAGAAAAACGACCAAAATATTTGTTATATCGAGAGATGGTTAACAGTTGCTGTTTTGTTTTATTTTTGTTCTTATTTTATGTTATTTTATTTAATTTTTTTTTGTTTTGTTTTTTTTTGGGGGGGGGTGAGTCGCCCTACCTAGCATTTTGGGATCGGAATGATTACTGTAAATAACACTTGAGCTTCAATGTCTTTATGAAGCTACAGTGCACTGTACAGGGTTGTACATACCTATAGCACCATGTTTTTTTTAAAGCGCGGGGACGAATTTCAGTGAATGGAACACAGCGAAACAACGGCATTGGACTGGAAATTCCTGCCTCTTACAACTTTTACCACAAGAAGCCTTCAAAAATAAAGAAGTTAGTAGAACTATTAAGAGACAAAGAGGGTACAGCGAATCTGTAGATGTGTCGATAGTGACAGTGTTGGCATCTATAATGAGCTGTTAGTTGTGAAGCTGTTCTATTGTTACATATTGAAGGATTTTAATTCTTGTTGATCTTTTTCGAATTTGTCTTTTGTCACGTGTTGAAATTTGTTCGTTACAACGAGGATTTCGTTATATCGAGGTTCTTTCCCACGCAATTTACAGTAACTTTGGTCGGGCTGAAGTGTATCGTTCGATATGCCGAGGACGTTAAATCAGTATAACATAGGTTCGTTAAATCGAGTTTCTACTGTATGGAAGACGGCGAAGACGATCATAAAAGACAGCGGTCCTGCGGAGTTTGAAAATAAAATAGGGGAGCCCAATTGGAGAATTAACTCATTATTAACTTTGTTCTTAGGTTCACACAATTAATTCTATTCATATTTTTTTAATAGTTTTGAAAGTTGTGCGCGTTACCGTTATTTCAAAGATCCCTCTCTTATGTATTGGCCGAAAGACTTAAGCCTTACAAGTGTGGAAAATTTGTCATCTTTGCGTAATTTGGTCTCGAAATTGTCTGTGCATTAAAAAAAAAAAAAATTAAACAAAGGCACTCGCGATAAACCCCTTCATGTCACTAATCATAGCAAGCCACAATTTCATGCCCTGTGGGTCACTTGACTTTCGCTTTTGTCACAACACAGTCAGTAGAGAGGGATTGAATCTATGACGAATCTTTCTCATTAGTAATGGGTTCTAGTTTTATTATCTTATCTATGCGGGAATATATGTTGATGGCCGACTTTTTTTAAATTGAAAATCGTTAGAATCGTATTACACAATATGTACAAAGATATAACAGACACTGCCACGGCATATAATTAAGTAATTACTAATCATCTAGATTTATAAATTCAGCCAAGCAATTTAAAACATTTAGTCAATGACGTATTCTGTTTGGAAACTTTACTCCTTGAATAAGCGAAATGATAATGGCATGAAAATCCTCAACATAGCGATGAGATAGCTATTGTTATAGTTAAACCTCCAGCATATGGTCTTAATGCAATCTTGTCAAGTTCCTCCCGAAAAAGCTGAGAGTGTACGCCTCAAGGTATGCTTGTAAAAATAAACACGTCATGCAAATAAGTGGAACTTGGCGGTAGCTAACCGAGTAGAACCAAAATTAATTCTTTTTAACTCGTTTCAGACATGAGGTTAGCTTTCATCACGTAAAGTTCTTGGCACCGCTCGGCGAAGTTCATACCTATGGTTTCATTGAAAGAAACACGTAGAAATCGCTTCATTCATACATAAAGATAAATGTTAAAACGAGATGGGTCTGTGTGAGTGTTTGTATGTTGAATGATCTGAAAGAAGAATTTTTTTTATTAGTAATACTTCTACACGTGTCGTCGTTGGTAAATCTGAATATTGTCGTGCAATTAAAGGTACAAGCAGCGATATTAAATGTAGCATCATTTGTATGGTATGATTAGGGAGCATTATGACTTATCGGTAGGTGATCAAACGCTGTGTATTACTTAAATTCATTTAGTCAAATCACTAGATGAAAGCTTGGTTGAACGCAACTCTGATCGAGATGCAAAGATACAAAACTATTAGCGATTGGGCTTCCTCGTCTCGGAAGTCCAAACTTTATTTACCATCGGATGATGTGAACTATTCTGCTATATGGCATTAAGAAGCTTACAGTCTCTGTTTGACAGTAATACAATCACTCTCAACTATTCAATCAATCTTAGCTTGAAAGGGCTAGATCATAACAGTATGAATGAACTCCTGCATAGTCGATATGATGAGGATATGAGATTTAATACTCTTTCAGTTAAACTTTCGCATTTTTGAGAGCATTCTTAGGGTAATCTTGTCGTGCATCTCATCTTTTGTTGGTTTAGAATGACCATTGCGTTGATTTTTTTGCTGGTAAAAATAACCTTTTTCTATAAATACAACTCATTAACTAAACCACAACTGTTCATGCTCTAAGGCAACATGATCTACAAAAGCCTAATGGCGCCAATCGGCCCTTTTTAACTCGATTCAACCATTTGATTATAATTGATCATGTCGGAGGGTTTTCGTCTCCATCACAGTCTATAATTAAATTTTCCTATAAATAGTCTCCGTTGATATAATCTTTACGTGTTGGAATCTTAAGCATCAATTATCCATGAGACAGGGAAATAATTTCTTTGAAGGGAAATTCAAAGATACCGCAAACAGGTCAGGCATTCAGCTCTAATATAGTAGCGTGGTTGTGATCACACGTTGAATATTTTTAACGTGCCATATTTTCAACATATGGTTTCGAAACTTTCTCTATCACTATAGGTAAAAGTTATTATTTAGTTCTGTTTTGAAGTTATCAAAATTAGCCTACAGCGGCTTAAGTTCATTTTAGCCGTATATGGATTTGGATGGGAAACGGCGAAATAGCAGACCACAACAAGTTAAGTCATGGGAAGGGAAGTTATAGGAAGTCCCTTTCTTCTGCTTAATCAACAAAACTTCCGTTGTTGCTTCAACAGTGGTAAAAGTGAATTTTTTCCAGTACACAAAAATCCAAATGTTCTTCCATCGTTTTCACTTGCGACCCTATTACAGTTTTGCTGACGAGGGACACGCGCCTACCCTTAAAAATTAACAATTTAAGCGCCGTCACAAATTCAATAATCTGAAAAAAAAATCGCGAGGTGCATTAAAGAACTTTGAACACCATTTTTTAATCATCTTTGGCATAATTTCTAAGTAATAAAAACAAAGATAATGGTAATTCAGTAATTCATGAATGGAAATTGTTTTCACGACAGTGATCAACTGAAACAAGTGTAGCCTGAAGGAAGTTTCAGAGGACTTCAAGAACTCCCAACAGTAAGACAATAATGGTTTTTCTCCCACCAGTTGCGACCAAATTGTTTTTGAGATTGTTGATCTCGTAACATTGACGTTGCACCTGGACGGTCCGGCTGCCGCTCGCCTACTTGCTTATTAGGTCAAACAGATATATCGCAGTCGAATGGTTCTCGTAATTCTATCATTTTCACGCAACAGATCACCTTAAGCCTACTTGATTTTCCCACCACAGATATAAAAGCCTACTTTTCTCGAACAAGACGTGGTGAAATTCGCCGAATGAAAGGCTCCCATCCACTCGTTGAGCGAGTTTAACTATCACTAAATACCTGCGAAAAATGTTTATTCGCGAGATATTGTTGTAATGGATACATTTCACGGTAAGATAGAATAGAAACTATGATCAGGCTCCAATAACTGATTTGTTGATAATTTTATTCATCCTGGCTATGAATGGATCCCGATGAACAACTTAAAGTGATTGGGCATCCACCTTCCGCGAACCCGAATTTCATTTGTCATTTGTGCCTTATCGGATAACATTCTTCTCTGAGGCTTGGTGTAACCTATAATTCCTATATAAATTGGCATCATAAACAATAGAAATAAAAGCCTAAGTGAATTATTTAAAGGTGCCGAGAGGATGTAGTTCGCCAGACGTGCACCATAATGAATAATATTCTTCTCTGAGGCTTGGCTTAACCTATAATTCCTATGTAAATTGGCATCATAAACAACAGAAATAAAAGCCTAAGTGAATTATTTAAAGGTGCCGAGAGGATGTAGTTCGCCAGACGTGCAATATAATGAATAATATTCTTCTCTGAGGCTTGGCTTAACCTATAATTCCTATGTAAATTGGCATCATAAACAACAGAAATAAAAGCCTAAGTGAATTAGCCGAGAGGATTTAGTTCACCAGACGTGCACCATAACAAGATAAGAATTTATGCTGGCTTGACTTCTTATTTTGGTGAAGCCGCCTATTGTGATGTTTTCAGCCATACTACTATGAACTACAATTAAGAAGCAGATTTCCTTGGCTGCATTTCAGTGAAAATCATTGTAATTCCACTTTATTTTAGACAATGACTAATCGTATTTCTCTAGAACCTATTAACTATAGACTTATGGCAAATTTTCATCACGCATCAGTGTCACCGTGTGGGAATAACTTCTCGAAACAATGGTGAAGTTTATAGAATAACAACCATTAAAAAAAGTGTACGGGCGATGAGCTTCCGAGCGTGTTAGATGAACTATGTGACAGGAAATATTTCTTTCATAGAAAATTTAATTCTAAAATACTGCAAGAATGTCAGATTATCAGCTTAGAAATTGACCAGTAAATATGATCTGTCACTAAAATTAATGATAAACTCAACTCAAAGAGAGAGATTGGGCTATAAAAGCCGTCGTCATTTTCATTTCTTAATGTTATCATGAAATTAGAAATAAAACTATTGTCATTTGAATATATGTTGTTGTTTGATATCCATGACTCAGTTATGTGCATTGTCACCTATCAAATTCTGCTTGAGCGCGGCGGTACTCGAATCTACATAAGTCTATGAGCTTAGATGAGTTTCACTTTGATGAAGCTTTTGAAAGTGCTGTACCGCCATTGACTTAGGTATTGGTCAAGGAAATGACCCCGAAAGGAAAATACGTTTCATCACTGCTATGGCATACTTAAGAAAATGGCTACGTTGTGGAATGTTTGCTAAAAGTTGATTTCTCTTCAATGAAAGATTTCCAGTGTGGTTTTTGTGACAACTGCATCGCTAGTTAAGGCTTAGGCGGTGCACATGCCACACACGCGCCGGTATGTTTTTACGTTTCAGTGAACATATGCCGTGTATACATCCACTTTGCCTTTTTATCAAAGCGTTTCAAAAGTTGTCGATCAAAAGTTTCATGCTTTGGTTCAAACCAAACTTCATTAAGAGAAACGATGTATTCCACAAGAAGTTCTTCATATATTTGGTCCTCCAGTAAGTCACTCAATGCTATACTAGCGAAAAATCCTAGAAGATCAGTAAGTTTTGGCTCTACGTCAGTATCGGTATCCTTCACGCAATCTTGAGTAGAGTGGCCTTCAAAATTGTCCCTGTAAATTTGATAATCACTAAAATCAAATTTTTCAAGAGCTTTTGTCTCGTCGCCGTTTATGTTGTCTTGGTATCTTGTGGCGCCCTCTAAGAGCTTGTAGTAATAGCAAACTTCAGATTCCTGAGAAACATCTCCCTCTTCGGTTCCTACCAGTGACTCCTGGTCATAATTTGAGCTATCAAGCGCTTTTTCAATCATGTCATAATAATGAGATAACTGAGACTCTCCTGATACTTCAGTTCTACCGTCAGAATCTTCTGTAGCCACGAAAGAGGAACAATACCCAGAGCTCGAGCTTCCCCTGCTTTTTGGAGCAGTTAACATTTCTGTGGATTTAGAGTGATGGCTGCCTCGTGGGGAACATTCCATAGATGATGAATGCTCCTCATTAAATTTCTCGTCGAGCTCATCTCCTTCCATATTGGACGCCATCGATGACCGTCTTGAATCCGTCGGATGTCCATAGGATTCAGAACATACACCGCTGGTGTCATCATCTTCTAAACTTTTTCCAGATTCATCCTGACTAGGTGAGGTTACATAGGGATCAGTCTCCGTTTCAACCCGGTCTTTGGCTAGAGATGTAAATGAAGACCAGCTGGAGGAATGCTCTGGCTCACTGAGGTTTTCTTGTCTTGCATTACCTGTTTTCTCAATCGACGAAAACGAAGCTTCTGCGGCCCGAAAAGCTCCCAGTGGAATGTCAAGTTCGCTATCTCCACCGCTGTGTGCTTTGTCCAAATAGTATTCATCTTCGTACTTCTCTTCTTGAATTTCTGCGCACTTAGAATCACTGTCGCAATGCGAGTTGTTACAGGTTTCCGATTCAAAATTAGTGCTTGACAAAGCGTCATTCTCTGGTGAGATGTCCACTTTGTCTGTTCTCAAAAAATAGCATTTGAAGCGTTTTATCATCATATCCACCACTACAGCGTCCTCTGACACTAGGAGCTCATCTTCTTGGACTTCGGCAAAAGAGTCCATCAGTATAGTTAAGAAGACGTTGAGTAAGATCATAACCATAATCATCATAAACGAAAAAAAAATGATTGGTCCTAAAGTCCGATTGTTCTCTCTAATGATCTCAAAATCAAAGGCTCCCATGACGGTATTAAATAATGTTTCAATTGTCACCAGAAGTGAGCTGTACTCAGGAAGTATACTTCCAAAGAGTGAGTAAAACAGCACACAATAAGCAATATAGAAAACGGTGAAGACGATCATAAAAGACATTAACGGTCCTGCGGCGTTAGAGATTGTCTTTGTAAACAAGTAAATACGATGGTTGAATCTAATAAGTTTAAGGAGTTTCAAGTTAGCGAAGAACACCAGAAACGCTAATAAGTATCCAAAAATCTCATCCCAAGTTATTGTCTGTATAAAGCTAACAAACTTGTCAGGTTCAGCGTTCATCCTCTCTATCACCTGGTTTGTATAATTTGTTCTCTGCAAGAGGGCACCAGCACAAGTCAAAATGAGAAATATCTGCGCGATTTCAAGCCAGTTCCAAGGATCTTTGAGGTAGCTCCTTCGAAGTCTAAAAATTTTCTTCAATTCGATATACATAAACGCAAGAACGAAAACGGCGAGAAAAATTTCACAAACAAGCATTACGAGCTGCAAGTCATTTCCATGCTGATACAGGCGTGCAACTTTGATATTATTGAAAAACACAATGCCATTGGTTGGCATCCATTCAGTTAGAAAGGTCGCAACACCAAACAGGTTAACTTGAGCACTGTAAATAGCAACTTCGACAAAGACAGCACGGGTTCTGTAATCAATCCACGAGTTTTGTTTTAGATAATTTAAGTAAGCCTCTGTTGCGTTAGCAGACGATAGATCAAACGCATAACCTCCGCCACTGTATGTGCCTACAAGTCCCAGAAAGGGTATACTTCCAAGCTCATTGCTTGTCTGGTATGTCCATGGTGATATAGTCGCATTAGACGTCGTGTTCGCTTCAGCCGTTACATTTGCTATTTGCCAACCAGGTAAGTAGTTGTCTTCGTCTTCCTTGAAGAGAGAATAAAATTCATTGCAAGTAGAAATTTTCCCTCTCAAAGGTCCGGGTACTTGACAGCTTCCTGGAAAAAAATTAAAAATTAAAACTTAGGATGGCCTCAGATGTATAAAATAAAATGCGCCGAGTTTATATCACATATTTAAGTTGCCTCTCTCCGCGTAATTTTGTATGTTGCCATCCCAAGCCACTAACATATATCTACATGTTCTACGAACACTTGTATTTTGACTCTGTGATGTTGCGTCAGTCATAAAAATACCTGGAGAAATTCTGAGCTGTCGAACTCTTGCTCCGCCAACTAGGCGCGAATTGCAGTCGATTGTATACTCCTGTAAAGGATGGCAGCCTGCTGCCCAGTCTCTGTTTGATGAAGAAATACTTGGTAGGACTGTCCCTTCTAGCCATGTCCAATAGTTATCAATTCCATCGGTCTGAAACAGGAATGGTACATCAGTTTCCTCGATGGAACTCGTTACCTTTGAGTAATGCTCCATCTGCGTTACATATGCATCTCATTGTTCACAAGGTTGAAAATCGTGAAAAAAGCTAACATAAGCATGTACACTGATCCAGAATTTTTTTTAAGTATTTGGGGACCAAATTGCAAAACACCCATCCTATATCTCTCTTCATCTCACTCAATTAAAAATACACAGTTTCAAAACATTTATGACAGACGATAAAGGTGAATCAATTGACAACACCTTTCTTTTTAGTCATTTTTCATCGATGAGAGGCAAGCTTAACATTTTTAAGGGGTCTGTAACAGGTCCCAGCAAATGCCGATAGCTACCAATGGAGGGACACAGTCGCACACGACCGCATCCCACGAAACCTTAGTAAGCCTGCACGCTTAGACTAAAACAGCTTTCTCGACAGATTATCTGAATTCCGGGCTGCGTTCAGAGCAAGCCAACCCCTCTTAAGCCGTCCTTAAATCTCTATGAATAAAATGCATGCACATGCTCATAGAGTCGATAATATGATCCTAAGATTAAATAACAATGCCAATAAATTTTTCCACCCAGCCTCCATCTTACCTCATACAGTTGCTGGCCCGTATAAACTCCTCCTAGATATGTATCCTCAATTAGCTTGGCAATAAGATAAGCTTTCGGATCACGTTGACCGAAGCTTATCGAAAACAAGGCAAGCAAAAAGAGGACATAGAGAATTATTTCCCGCAGTATCTGAAACATTCGTATTTCTCTTTTCTTCTTTTCTCTAGCATTGTTGAGCTCATCAACGTTCGGAGGTTCCAAAGATATGGAACTTTGCTGATCGTATCTATTGAACATAAACTTTCTATACTCAGGCGGTCCTTCCTCGAAGTTACTAATACCCAGTTCTTCTTCGTCCTCGTCTGTGTCCTCACCATCTTGTCTATATTTCTCAGTTGTCTCTATGGGCTTTTTTATCAGAAGAGCAATAATCAAAGCGACGAATAAAACTTTGATCGGCTGGCTTATGAAGATGTCCTGGACTAGAGAAACCAGAAGGGAAGCAAGCCACTGAGCTGATTTTTCTCGGCCAAACTGAAAACCATACAAAACAACGAAGAAAGAAGACACAAATGATACGGCGAAAACTCCAAACCAGGCAATGTATACACACCAGTGAGGCAGTTTACGGGACTTCTTTCTTTTGAGTGATCCTCCGGTCTTCTCATTGAACTGTACCTGAAAATTGCAGTCCTCGGATGCTTCAAAACTCACATCATTCTCTAGCCAATCGGCTTCCTCCAGTTCAGCAAGAGAGCTATGACTGTCACAACTGTTAACGTTCCTATTCAACCAGGCTGCAGTCTTTTCCCCGATATCAACCGTCTCGACGGGTGGCAATCCCACAGTAATTGATTCGGAGCCTTCACCGTTCACTTCTTCTTCTGTATCCTGGCTTCGATACCATTCAACTATGTCTTTAAAATTACCCTGATATCGTTGTGCACGTTTTTTTCTTTTAGTATTTTTTCCTTGTGATGCCATTCCCTTCTTTCCTTTAAAAACTGCTGGCTCTATGCTTCTAAAGATGCTGGCAATAACAATGTTTATCGGAAAAACTATTAGGCTGCTAATCATGCCGATGTAAAGTTGTTGCACGGAGAGGGTGATAGGTCCTAACTGAAGCGTTACTGATTGGTTTGACTCCTCACCGAGCTGATAAAACATAGCATTGGCAAGCATGGTGCAGTAGAGAAGAGCCAAACAACATGATAGGCGCTGAACAGTCGTGAAGGTGCTCAAATTTGGTCTCATAAACACCGAAAACCACAAGTGGTTATCTGTGATATCCCTTTGTGTAACATTATAGAATAGATGATTAAAAGATTTAAGTTCATCTTGCTTTGCAGATGGCAAAGTCCGCAGGACTTCTCCATCGTCAAATTCGACGGCGAGCCACCGATTGCAAATGAACACAAACACACCATCGCTCTTCAGATCACGTACAACTATTTGCTTTAGATACCAAGATGGGCTGCATCCTAAATTATTGTGCCAAATCTTCAATTTAATTAGGTCTCCCAAATGTTCAGAAGAGGTGAGAAAAAAAGAATCCATTCCTGATCGTTGGAAACGTGCCTGGTTAGAATCTTTAAGTTGGCGCGGACCGCTCTCAGCGTCAAGTCCAATTAAATTGCAAAAGACGTCGGCTGTGGTACCGGCTTCCTTCTTCATACCTGTTAAAACTAAAATCTCGTATTTATAGCGATCTGATGGGTCGTTATCTGCCAAAGGAATAGTCTCCGCCTGAAATAAAATAACATGGCATCACATAACATCTACCAACGAATTTGGAAGTTCATAAACATCAGAATATCCAGCCAACAAATCAAATGCAAGCAAAAACAATAAAATAAAAAGAGGACACTTGACTTCAATCAGTTCATTCAAAGGATTGCCTTAAGTAACGGCCATTTAATGAATTTATCTTATTGAATTCTCTTTTACCTGAGAGTTCTAGATGGGGAAGGTTATTGGTCACAAAAATTCACAAAAGATAAAGTGACGCAAAGGAAAAGAGAAACAAAAAGAATAAAATTGGGTAGGAATAGCTTAAAGAGTTAGATGGGAACCACTCTAAATAATGAGGATAAGGAAGCTAAAATTTCCATGTACCTTCTTTGCATTCCGAATATCGAGTCTTCTTGCCCAAATCAACAGGATAACATAGACGCCCAAGATAGAGAGAACCATACTGAAAACCAAATGGTTCTCAGTGAGTTCAACAAATCCTTTTAAGGCTTTTTCAAATTCAATAACATTTGGTTCAACTACCACTTGAGCTGCAAACGACGTGAGATGGTTACAAAGGCATTGAATTTCCCTTGACGTGGTCTTGGGCCCAACCTAAAAGGTAAAACAACCGCGTTTTTTTTTCTTTTTCAACGAGACTGGAGGAAAGCTATAAGTTTTTTTTTATTACTCCTCTAATAATCATTATTTTACAGCACTCGAAAGACGTCTAGAAATAACGCAAAGTGTAAGATATGCTGTAAAATGTTAATACCACAGAGACCAAAGGTTTCCTTATTCTTACGAGGGAGGGCGGGGTTATTGCACTTATCAGTTAGAGCACCCATAAATATCATAAAGAAAATTTTTTTATAATTGAGCAGACAAAGTTTTTCAAACAAAAACTGACTTTTTGATCAGTAAATTACACTCACCCTACATCCATCATGACTCCAGCCTTGTATATTTTTATCCCAGTAAAGGCATTTTAGGACAGATATCTTAAGACTGTACGAGACATTGACACTGACATTCTTTTCTGCGGGAGATATTGGTGTTTTAGGCGTTGCTTTCACTCTAACGAAATACTTCCCCATCTCTGTGAAGGAACTAGCCTCCAATAGGAAAAAATGTCTTCCCTTATCTCTAAGAGACCACGAAACCAGATTAATCTCAGCCGTTGGTCTTCTACCAGGAGCTATCATGATTTCCCAACGAGACACATTTTCACTGTTGGACAAAAACTCTACCGCTACCGCAACAAGGGGAAAGCTGTAGTTGAAAGTGTGGTAATGAGAAGAATCCTCGTCCAATTGAAGATCAAAGGTTTCTCGATCGCTATCAAAGCCACGCCATTTGTGATGAATTCGAATATCGATTTCATTCTCTAGACCGCTGATTAACATGTTACTACCATTAGATTCTTTCAGTTCTAAAGCGACCACTGACGAAGTGATATTATCGTTGTCGCAAGTTTTGTAAGGATTATCCACGAAAGAAACCATCTGTAGGCAAATAAACAAGGAGAGAAACTATTTACGACAGTCAATTTACATTATCAACTCAGTTACCAAAGCCAGATTTTCTAGTATTCAAATCAACGTGTTTGTGAATTTCGCTCTTATGAAGTTAATCTCATCAGCCTGATTTCGAAATCTGTGAACCCATACAATTTTGATTGTACGCTAGCAATACCTCCTCAAAAGAAGGTAATCTTAGAGTTTATTCAAAATTAACTGGGAGCACACTTTGAGAAATCAGACTGGAAGGTAACTAGCGCCTATTTTGATTATCTCTCGATCCAGCTTCCCCGATGTAACTCAACTGATCCGCGGTAATAGCAGACGGTTTGAATTAGAATTCGTCACAGTTAAGATAAATGAACAAATAAATAATACTTCAGAAATTTAGGCATAATGATGGATATAGCATTGGAATCGAAAGAGAGCGAGAATAACTTTTTTTTTCTGTGTATCGCAGTACCACACTACATATTATCCTGAGCGTACTAGTGTTTGGTTGATATCGTTCTAGATATTAATTTAAAAAAAATTTCGTACATGGCCTGGTTACATAGCATACCTGAAGACCTAATGTGTTCCCACTGGTATGATTCGTATCTGGAAACAATTCATCTTTTGGTAGTGTGAACATCCCAAGATCCTGAACGATCTTAAGATCATTGATCAAATTCACTAGGGTCTTTTGGAGTTTCGCTTCTATCGCCGTGGTGTTTATCACAGTGTATCCGTCACCAGGAGTTTTTCTCTTCAAGATGGCTTCGCACATGTTGTTTATCGCTTTCAGGATTTCTTTGGTAGCATTTCTGCTCCTTTCCTTCATAGAGAAAACAGTATTTAGATAAAAACATATCTAATTCAAACACTTTATAAAGCATTGCTGTAAGCAGAGAGCAAGTCAAGAAAGAAATCAAACTGATTGCAACAAAAAGAAAACAAAAAAAAACACACAAAAAATATCAAGAATAAGGTACCAACAGCCTCAATCGTCGCTGCAAAAATTATAAAATTATTTCAATTAAGTCTAGACTGAATGTGAAGAGCAAAGGATAAATTATTTTAGAAGCTTCATATTATGCTGGATATCTAACAGATTCTGTAACCCACCCTCATGTTTTTTGTAATTATTATTGGAAACGTCTATGATCTAAACATATAGAATTTGAGAAATGCTTATTTCAAATTAGAAACCTGCAAAAATTAATTTAAATATGTTAGGCTCCACCCTCATATATTTAGTTTGTAAACTTTACCTACCTTTACTAAGTCATCACAATCATGTACTGTGCCATCACGACTTATGGAAAGACCATTTGCTAAGCTATTAAGCATGTTCACCGCACTCCTTAAAATCGCACCTGCCATCCTCTCGAGAAAAGACAGTGGTGCATCAGGTCTATTTAAAACAGCTTCTGTTATCTCGCTCAACATTCTCGCGCTTTCGTCCTAAGATAGCGAATAATAATCATTAACACCATCTACCTGCTAAAGTAACAAAAACAGGCCTAAATTTATTTTATAAAAAGTACACGATCTCCGCCTTTGTGATGGGGGGAATAGGAAAGCAGCGAGGCTGCCTGTCGTTAAGGTCAATGGAGGCTGCCTTTCGTCAAGGTAAATAGAAAGTTAATTCTCAAAAATGTCAAACACTGTAAATGATCGACTTTTTTAAGGTCAATACCCATCTCTGGTCAATCGCCCGGAACAGCACCCAAAATTTTACATCTGCAGTTATGTTAACATCCCAATGAATTAATTATATCAGCTTGCCCCAATTAACTAATGGGGGAAGATAATTCAAAAGAAACTGTACTGATTACCCCAACTTTCATTAAACTATTCAAGGCGCTTTGTTTGGTGGTAATGATTCATATGGCTTTTCGGCTTATGTCTGGATAAAATGGGATAATGTTGCTTATATATATATATATATATACACACATGCATAAATAAATAAAAGATCACTTTCACGTATGAACAAAACCTTCAAGTCTCAAAAGTAACATTGAAGTAAACTATTAGATATCTCGATAACTAAAAGCTAAACTTGTCTTTTACCCGTGCAGTTAACGTCAGCATATCTGAATTAGCAGTGGCTGTCTCAAGGGTGTCGCTGATGACAAGAAACTCATTCACAGTCGTTTTATTACTTTTGGCTACAATGCTCGCTACAAGGTATAGCCTCGATATACTCTTCTCAATGATCTGGAATAAAGATATTAAATCAAAATTTTATAAATAATAAAATGTACACTGGATTAGTCAAATATTACAGTAAATATCATCAAAATAAATGAATATTTCGAAAAAGACCTTGCAAATCTACGGAGGCTCAGATTTTAAAATAGACGCTGTTCGATCTCAAATGTTCTTAGGTTAACAAAGGCCCTAGGGGAGTATGAGAGTGTCTTTTCTGAGATCATCGCACAAATATTGAGATCTGGCCTGCACATTTCTTGCAGATTAACTGTTATGCCTGTGCAACTCCCCATTCATGAAAAAAAAAATTTAAAAAAAACCAATCGTCAGCGAGCACTAGCTGTTGATCAGCATACAGAAGACATATTCAGTATAACTTACTGTGGCGTATTGTATCTGCTCTGGTGACATTGTTGGTCGAGGAGTGGTGGGTATCACCTCCTGAGATGGGTCTCCATTTTCTCTTCCTTGGTTAGTCTGCTCTCCTTCTTCCTTGTTCACATTTTGATTGACTATTGGTCTTCTTGTTGTGATTGTATTTGACGCCTCGGACTTAGAAACAGAACTCTGCTGATTGGAGAGCTGGAGCTGCGCAAGAGCGTCGCCCAAGACTTGTAATTCCTCTCCAGCTTGCTCTTCGTTATTTATAGGGGTGCTTTCAGAGTCTATATTCTTCATTATATTGCCAAGATCTACTGGTGCCTTCTCTACCTTTTTTACCTAAATGCAAAGTTACATGAACGAATAAATAAAAGCATAAAATATTTCTTGGAAATATGATAGAAGGCAAGTATTATCTAAGCACGAAAGCAAGTTTGCCGTATCATCGTATTTATAGTGAAAACGCCTGTAAACATGCTATCTAGTTTGAAGAGATTACGGATCATTCATCTAAACTCGAATCCACATTATAAAAAGTATTCCGAAGGATGCGCTTGATGCAGATATGAAAAACGTCGTGTGCACAATCGCAATTAACCAATCAGATAGGATATACCCCGTGACTAGTGACCGCGCCATATATTAAAATTGATTAACTACATAAGTTTTGCCTCTAATTCAATTTTCTTCATTCGTTGGGTTCAGTATGGTAATCAAAAAAGAAAAAAAAACAGAATTTACCACAGGGATAGAAATTACTCAACTTATAAATTGCACAGTCGTACCTTTGCGAAGATAGACATGGCAGACTTCATTCCGAGTGAATCTTCAACCGATATTGTAATTTTTACCGAAATTGAAGTATCGCCATTCGTAGGCTGTTTATAAATCTTGAAAGGCTTTGAGGAGCTAGGCTTTTCTGTTGAGGTCAAAACCGGCCGGGAGTTATCACCCTCGCCATAACTAAAGCTATATCGTAGTGGTTTGTCTGGATCAACCCAGCCGTCACATATGACCTGAAAGTTTGTTTTGTAGCCCTCGCCAAGCGACGGAATACATGAACAGTTTCCTGGTATTGGTGGCTCATTAACTGTTATAGTCTTGTTTGTGAAACCTTTTTTACTGCCTTCCCTCCACACTTCAACCTGAGCAAGACCCTCGCCTCCCTGCCCCAGAATATTTTCGAGAATGTACGAGGGAACAGTAAAGTCGTTTTTATCGCTTTCCCCTTTTAACTCGCTTGGAAACTCCAACAAGCTCCATTCAGTTTCATTTTTAGTGAAAAACTGCCATTGATAAAAGAGATTGGAAATTCCACATCCGTATACACAAACAGCTTGAAGTCTGAGATTCACTGAAGGTGAAACTTTATGAGGACAAACACTATAAAAGCACCTGATAAATTTAAGGAAAAACAATACAATAGTTAAAACATAGTTGATGGGAAAGCATACGGTTTTCATACTTAAAACATACTATCTAAGGATATTTTTAAGGTTTCATGGCTCATTCTCAATATAAAAAAAAAAACAAAAAAGCATGTGTACAAAATCTAGGTGAAACTATAGATTTCATTTGCTTGGGCCAGTTTCCTAAGCTTTAAAATACATATTTTGAAGCTTTTATGTGACTATAAGTTTAAATTTATCTACAATGTACCTTATTTCCATTGTTGGCGGCGGGGGAGGAGGTGGGGGAGGTGGAGGGGAAACAAACACTGTGACATTGTCTGTCAAAGGTTGGAGATCATCCTTGGTAACTACAACCGTGAATATGTAGTATTTATTTTCAATGTATCTGTTCAATCTTGTGGTGAAAACCGGGTAAGAAAGAATTTTTATGAAGTTTTCTGGCCTCAACGCATCATCATAGCAGTGAACAAACTGTTCAGCCTGAGCAAGCGGACCTACCGGTGTCTTGCAATACCAATTAAAGACCATACCCTGCTGGTCCATCCATGGTGGTAGATCAGGGTCATGAAATGATGCATCCAACGTTAGGGTGTCTGCCGTGCTCAGATTTAGTTTCTTTTCTCCGCTTATTTTGCCAACCAACGGTGAACGAACGATTTCCACATTGAGCGAGGAGTTTCCTGCCACTTTCCCGTAGAGATTAATTACGTCGACACTTGCAAGCTCAACTACAAATTCAAACTCATAACTGCCGTATTGCAAAGAACGAGGACTTATTTTTATTACAGAACCAGTATCTTCTCCCTCAACGCTTTTCGTTGTCGTTTGCTTTATTACCCATAGCAGCTTGATATCCTTTGAAGTTGGTAGAAAGCAGCGGTTGATAAAAAGCCCTCTGAGCTCAAAGCTATCAGATCTTCTGTATTTCAAAACTTTCAAACTATTTTTATATGCATTAGTTTCTTCGTTCCTTACCTCCGATATCGAAACGTTTCCTATTTCACAAACTGGTTTAGAGACTTCAACCTTCAAGCAACGTTTTTCCTCTGATACTTTGTTAAAAACAATGACACAAACCGTATAATTGCCCTCATAAAGATAGGTGTGGTTGAACGAAAAAAGGTAATTTCTTGTTCTCTCTAATGAGCACTGGGATTTCTCTGAGTTTAATGAGTCGTTCAAGGTGAAATTAAAGCAGCTTCCGTGATCAAATTTTGGCAAGGCGAATTCAAAACGAGTGGCACTCCTCAGCCACGTGAAACCACTAGACCGGAGTAGTATGCCGTCAATCTTTTCTTGCACAGTGAATTCAACTGATGCTGCCATTGTGGCGACCAATTTATCTACAAGGACACCTGCCGTAAATGTTCCAGTTTTGTTCAAAACTACTTTAAGAAAACGATGTTCGGTTGTCGCAAGATCACCATATTCTGTGATTCTCCAGTGATACGCCCTATCAAAGCTTTGAGATGACACTAACAATGTCACTGTGTCGCCAAGAGCGAAATATGCCTTGGATGGAATCCTCGTCAGGTCTGGAGAGGGGTTACAGTCTAGGCAAATTGTCATGGACGGCTCGATCAATTTGAGAACCGTGACCTTCGTGTTGAGCTCGATTCTGCTGATTTCATTTGAACAAGAGACTTTAGTTATGAACTCCCCTGGGGATGAATATCTATGAAGTAGACTGTGTTCTCCTTCCGTAAATATCAAAGGTATGCCATTTTTATACGAATTATTGCCAAATAGCCACGAACAGGCTGCATCGTTGGGCAGAAAATTTTCCGAAACTGTTGTCTTAAGCTGAAAAGTAACAGGTTCTGATACTTGAATAATCGTCTTGTCAGGTGTTAACGTTATGTTAACCAGAGGATTCTGCACAACAACGATGGGTGTGCAATTGGTGGTGAGGCTTCCGAGGAGGTTTGACGCCTTTACCGTAACAGAATACGACCCATAAAATAAGAAGGGATGTTTCAAAATAAATGATTTCCAGTTTAGAAAACTCTCCTTAAAAACAACACTTTGTCTTTGATCATTTTCAAATTCTGCTACGACGATCACTTGAGAACCTGATTGCACAGAAATGTTAAAAAGAGTCTCTTGTGATACCATTATGTAGCGGTTTAATGAATTACAAGTTAAATTAGCGATAGGTATTTGCACCCAGGCAACATTGTGGGTTCTAACAATGCCGTGTCGATTTTTGCAACTAACCATTACGTCAAAAGGTCCATCTTTAGCATATTGATGTATGACTTGTTTACCTATGTCCGATACATCTGTCTGGAAAGTTGTGTTGTCACCGAGGGTCCAGTTACAAACAAAAGCCGTTCCGGAAGCCATCAAAAGTGAAATCACAGACTTTTGCCCTTTGACCGTGACAGGGACCATTACCTGAAGGTCATCAATCGGTTCATCCTTTTGAACAATGGTCCTCTTTAAAGACTCTTTGTACATACTACTAACTCTGTTCGTGCAATTGAGACTTGCAGTGAAGATTCCTGGTTTTCTATATGTATAGGTCTTAGTGAGGGAGTCAACTTCTCCGGTTAAGACTTCTTCACCAAAGTTAAAGTCGCAGAAGACGCTAGTCCCTCTAGTTAGACTACCTATTATCGTAACGTTTTCACCGACTGCAATATATACGTCTTGAGAGCCAGTTTTTATTCGAGTTGTTGGTATTTCCAAAGTCAGATTAACAATCGGATTTTCTACGGAGACGGTGCATTCCACAGTTTTCGGAGTAGCTTCGACATCGTTTTTAGCCCCAATGGAGACACTGTAGACACCAGTACGTGCATAATGATGAGAAAATGAGTTTTTGAAAAAACCATCGGTGAATGTTTGTAGAATGTGTTCACCGCTGCCATCGCCAGGAGAAATTGTGAAAGTCACATTTGTACCTGCAAGTCAGAGATCAGTTCTAGTATTGCTCAATGTAATGCAAATACTCTTCCCACTTTTTTCCTTGATGTCACAATTGACGATAACACAGAGCGTCAGTTAACATTTACATTGCCAGTATACAAACAGATTTTCCTCATCTTCTATTTCTATCATGACAACAAAAAAAATAAAACAAACAAAAAGAGCAAAAAAATGAAGGAGTAATTCTGCGTAATTTATACTTGAACGCAAACACACACTCCCAAAAAAATTATATTACCTTTAAAAATAACCCATTCAATTACTGTCTCTTCCATCGGAACGACTGCGATAGAGCTTTGGACGCACTTTAAGCCTTTAATTTCATCTTGCACAATAACAATGGTGCTGCTATTAACCGTGTTATTTCTGTTATATGCTGTAACGTGTATGGTATAAGCGCCAGGGTGATTGTAAACATGGAAAAAAACCTTCTGAGTTTTGACCAGTTCTTCGTCTTCAAGTTCCCATCGATATTGGACTTTTGTACCATCATGTGGTCCGACACGAACAGGGAATAATTTCGACGTCTTGACTATGGGACCATCCTGAAGGATAATGCTAAACTGCGATATTGGTATGTCTATGAGGAGAAAACAAAACAGTGTCAGGCAAAAAAACGGTCACGCCAGGATCAAATCCCAATAAACGTCTAATCCCTCTCAAGCTATCTATTTTTAAAATATATACATTTTCGAAAATACCCGGAGTATCTGGAGGAGAAATAACCCTGCGTTGACAATGTACATAGGCATCCTATGTACATACATTATAATCCTGCCATGCATTATAATCAGACGAGGGCTCGTTATATTTTTGCTTTAAATACAGGAAGCGATATGTCGGCTGTTCAAGAGACTCCTTTTGCATGTTGTCGCCCTTGCCTAAGGCCTCTTTCTCTTAGGATGAGGAAAGAAACGAACACTCCAAAAGAAGTCCCAATTGTAGTTACTCATATTTATCGTTGGTAGTGACTGCTTCGTTAGTCCGATTGCCTCAGTGTAACGATTTGCTGATTATTCTTGCAATGAATGATTTATTTAACACAAAAGTTCTTTTCAGCTGCAGTATGCATCTGATTTTTAAGGGAGCTATTGACATGCTCCTAGCGATAAATTTACTTAAACTCACCACGTTTCAGATGTGTGACGTATGCCTATATCAGTGCGCATCAAAACCAATCTTAAACAGGTCTTTTAGTGAAAAATTTAACAAGGACTGGTACAGTGTCTCATGGCGTCCAAAGCCACGTAAAAAAAAAAAAAAGAAAGCGAGAGAGAGAGAAAGAAAACACGTATTTAATAGGCTCCATCATACAAGTCTATTCTTGACCTGTCATCATGTTTTTGTCTTAATTATCATCATCGTTATTTTCATACCTCCTATTATCTGCTCAGCAGAAGCAGTATGAGGAGGAGGTGTTGTCGTTGGTGGAGATGTGGGATGATCCAGTCCACAGGCCTGATACATAGGCCGACGAGTGTCGTAGTCTGTAACATTATTTTAATTTGAATTTTAAATTGAGCGACTCGATTATCTAACTTTGAAATAGTCCTGGAGAGGAGGGATGTAAGACATTTGAGGAGCTAGGGTAATTAGTTTTAGTTTAAATCGCGTAAGACTTTCAACGTTTTTGGCAGTTAACCGTGACATTCTTGATGACTGTCTAACGCATAACTCGTTGTATCTGAAGGCCAGCACAATTTCTGCTAAAGTAAGATTTAAAAAAATCAGCAAACAAACAAACTAAAAGGAAAACAAAAATTGATGATTATTGTGTCTTATTTCGTTTAAACAAAATTTTAGAAATTATCAATTCTTCTGGTTGATGACGCATGTTTTTGTTTTTTTACGTTACCTTATGACCAAGTCAATCATACAGTTGGCTTCTTACCTTTTTCTGGGTTGTATGGGCATCCGTAGATCTCAGTTCGTAGACAAATGCTGTTGTTCCAGGTACGTGGATTAATCCGAATGTAGCGTGCAAAAATCGAATCCAAGTGAAGAACAAAAATTTTCACAGTTTCACTGTTCTCATTTCCTTGAAATATCTGCAAATTAAAATGCAATAGCTTTGCTTTTGTAGAGCATAATTCATGTAAATACGCTACATATGTTGCATGGGCTTTTATTTCATGATGATGAGCAGAGTCACATTCCCTTTACTTTGATTGATTGGAAAACCGTCTAACCAACATTTTTGGTCACCAGCTTAACGTCAGGTCCCCAGGGATTTGCATATCAAATGGCAATTTTTTATGATAGCTGGCGAAGTGACATGCCATTGATTGGAAAGCTGTCTTAACGGCTTATTTGGTCCCTAACGGCGGGGAAATTTACACGGTGGGTACCTCAACAACAATACTCAGTTTTTACCTTATGACCATTTTCCGACCCATAGCAGTACCATTTGTTCCTATCATTGCTATACTGAACGTAAAACATTTCAACCCACGAGTGTCCATATCTGCCTTGTAAACCAAGAGCCATGACATCTTTGTTTTCCTGAAGATCCACTTCCAACCATTGTTCTTGGTCCTTCAAAGCGGCACACCAGGCGCCAAAATCATATTCGGTTATCAAACCTTCGTTTGCTGGGAAGCCATTTAGAGATGTAGAGGCATTAAGCTGATTTGGGTTGATGGCAAAAAGTACCGGCCGACGACATTCTGCTACAAAAATAAGCAAAGAGGAATTCACAGTGTTTTCGGCCAAGATAAATCCAGGACACTAAGAACACCAGTTGGTTTACACAACAAAGAGCTACAGACGTATGACATGCTTGAATGTATCGAAAACAATATCATAATAAGGAAGACGGACGCAATTTAATTTTTCATATCTATATACCGCGTTAAGTGGCCTTTACCGCAAATTATCTTCCCCCCTCTGACCAGTAGTTAAAACTGTTTTTTTTTAGCTTTTCGTATAAAAGTACGTATGCAATGTTTAAAGGAAAGTCGCTTCGATTTTTTTACCGAATAGAATGGAACATGGCTCTAGAAAATTATCTCCAATGCGTGAAAAACTTCAAGGGGAATACAATGGAACTAACTGTCAATATAATACAATAATTGCTAATGACGTGCACAATTCCAAATTGCGCAAAGCATATTACAACATTTTTCTTCAGAAGCATAAACTATACACCAGGTAAACGCAAATTTTACTGTTCTATTTGCGCTCTTAAATGATAGTGATGATATCGATGGTCAGGTGATATATTATGCTGGCCCTATAATGGTTACGTAATCTTCGTTGAACAAGTAGAAAACATCACCAACTATGTGATTTTCACGCCTTCAGTTTTTCATCAGCACGTGCTGGTGAAAAGAGAACTGAAAGGTACTTTGATAATAATTATAATGATCGAAAAACAAAAAGCATAATTGCTAACACACTTCTCTCCTCCCATTCTCCCTACAGGTGCACAGCATTTGATGTGATATCATGATTCATAATGAGGCGATCAAGGCAATTAGTTCAAATAAACCAAAGCGATTATTAAGAGCCGCTTAAGTCAGTTTGCACATTTTTCCTTTTTTTTTACTTTTCTCTATGCTTCTTTTTTTCTTCAGCCTTATATTCTTTCAACTTAGTATTTCTGATACCGTTTTCAGAGTTTTATGAATATTGAACTTAAGGCGCCCTGCTGTCTCTTGATAAGGATAAACAACCAAATTTTAATTTTTTTCCCCTATATTCATCCTCACTTGAAGGCAGATAACGAGAACGCAATTTTTCATTTACTGTAATTGAAGTCTATTTCATCGAGTTTTCTTTTGACATACTCATTAAGATTCCTTTTTAATATCAGGAATAATATTTATCTTTGACGCTGTCTCAAGAGATTGCAAGCACCTAATTTACGTCGCACAGTGGAATTGCCAGCTAAACAGTTTTTTTCAAATTATGTCCGCTATTCTTCTCAGTTAAATCCACTTAGATGTTGAAACCCCTGTCAGTCGGCACCATATTAAAATTTGGTGGCAATTTCTGTTTAAGATATGAAACGGTTATCTCGTCGAATTTTCATGTAAATTAAGGCCTAATCACGACTAGCAGCTGATCTCCCTTCATTGTAACCTCGTGATAATAGGAGGTAAGGTATTCTATTTTAAGGAAAATGTAGTTATTGTAATTGGTAATTTTAATAGGTACTTCGGAATCAGCCATAAAACTTGATTCCTTTTGCCGACATCGATTTCTGTTTCCCTTGTAAAGGTACAAAATACGTGCTGGCCTGAAGACCAAATTTTGTAGTTGATACTCTACAGTTTCAGGGGACTCATTTGATTGAATATACAGATGAAAAAGAAGGAAAAAATAACAGACAGCTATTTACCTTTGGGCTCTGGTGATACTCGAACCTGTATGATACCAGAGACAATTGCAACCAATATCTGCAGAGAAAATCAAGAGGCTTAATTTCATTCTTTTTAAATTGATTATTTCATTACATGAAGAGTGCATCAAACTAACCTGAATTTTGATTTTATTCATATCCTGTTGTGAGAAAAATCCATACTTAAATTTTGATTTTGGTCGAGGCGATCACCTTATGGCACACGCATTTATTTTACACCGCCTATTTTTTTATGGATGCAAGGTTTATAATCCGCTGTGAAATCATTTCGCTGGTTTTCAACCAATAGAGAATTTTTCCATGGGCGGTTACATAAATCTTTAAAGAATTTGCCCGCAGCTTTCTTAGCAAGGAAATTGTTGCTTAAACACGTAATGTCTGTCTCTTTGATCTTCATCAAAAAGCAATGAAATGTTTCAAACTAATATGATATTTAATTTTCTTTTTAAACTCCGAAAGAGAACCTTGATAAAATCGTAACGTGGTTATTATCCACCAAAGTAGACTAATCAAACCAGAGCTATTTTTCTTTAAAATACGTAGATATTGACGATAAGATGGTAATATAGCATCAATTTAATGGTTTAAGTCAGAGTATTTCTGTTATGCTGTATATTCTCACATGCACAGGCCATAATCTCCCAAATCATCCCATCGTAATCATCTTCTTCATAATACTCTTATGAATTCAGTTGAGCAAAAGAAAAACATTTTTCACCATGAAATCTTTATGCTATGGATTCAGTTGAGCAAAAGAAAAAAATTTTAATCATAAAATCTTTATACTAAGTAAGAATGAGCTACCTATGCAGAATGATATCTTGCTCAGTGAAGCTGATTACAATTAATAAACCCGATGACAATTAATTAGGGACTTAGACCGCTTTAATAACAGAAGTAAGCTTTGTCATTCAAAGCAATTAAGAGCCAATATTCGTATATTGGAGCAATAAAAACAATATCAGGAACTGTTATGCGATGATTCTAAAAACAGGAAGACATAAGAAAAAAAACACTCCCATGCCCCAAGGAACTTATAACCAGTTGGAAAAAATGAAGAAATAATCCTAACCGGTTTTCTTAGAGAAATTGCAGAAAAGCAAAAGCATTTTCAGTTGACAATGAGACCCAAATCCGTCTTAGGTTCCCACGATTTCTTTAATCGCAGTTCGCCTCTGTGGGTCATTTCGCTATTCTTTATAATCCACGGGTTAATATCTGATTTACTTCATTTATTGGTAATAAATGGTGTACATCAGCCGTTTCAGACTACTTTGATAAAATCAAATAATTGCGTCGCAGATTTTTTCTACGTCTCACGGGATGATAACATCGTATTCATTTCATTAATATTGGTACCTCAAGCCAAACTCTACTTGAAGAAGTGATTCAGCTTAAGCGAGAAATCTTAAGGCATAGGGTAAGAGACAAAAATAGTATCCACCTTACCAATTAATTATCAGCTATTTTCAGATTTATCACGCTGTTATTGCAAGCAAGAGTTCTTCCTTGGAACCGAGTCTCCTGTGTACTAGCGGTTGAATCATGCAGCGTTTTGGACGATTAAAAACTAATGGGTTGTAAAAAATATGCATCATGTACACATCTTGAACTGCCCCTTCAACGAAATATTGTTCAGTTTTCACTTGACGCTCAGAAGCAGACTTTTAGTCCGAAATAAAGACAAAACAAAACAAGAAAAGCAAAAACAAAGAAGCAAAACACAACACATCAAGAAGAAAAGTCAATTGCCCCAACGAGCCAGTTTATTCCGAAAAAAAAAAATCTGAGTAATTTTGATTTCGCTAGTCACCGAAAAAAGATTTTTAGAATGGGCGGTAAATGTGCTTAAAAACTGGAAAGTACCTGAACTTGAAAACATGAACCTCCGTACGAACCCTCATAAGAAGCGGCCATTATTGTAATTCCAATTCTTGTGGCTATTGTGCCTAGCTTTTAGGAAGACCCTTGGCACTACGTCACGGTCAAGAGAATATCGGTTGATACTCTCTTGGTTACGGCCCGTAAACCTTCCCCCAAACCCCTCGCGGTTTTCAAAATGGCGCACTGTCGTTGAACGCTTCTGATCGGATATCTTCGGATTCATTTTCGATTTGTCGGGTTTAGTTCGTTGATCGTGCAGGGTCTCACCTCTAACGTAAAAAGTACGTCGTCAAAAGCTCTCACATGTGCTGTTTAGTCTGAACACATCTAACATATCCTTTGATAGACAGTTTAAATTGAAAAGGAAAAAAAGGAAAAATAGGCAAAAAAGCAGAAAAAAAGACTCGGCCAGGACTCGAATCTTATACCTTCGGACTCGAGTAGAATTGCTATATCAATTGTGCCAGGTACGCAGAGCTTAAATAAGCGAAGTTTTGCATAAAATTTAATGCACATATGATACGCGTACCTATTTCATTAATTTCCCGCCCTGTCTCCGGTTTGTCAATTGACCAGTGTGCAAACTCTGTTCTAACCAAGTCCTCCTCTTGTCAATTTTGGCATCAACAAAAGATTTTCATTACCTGCTCTCCGTTTTAAACAACACTTTTTCTAACCGCAATACTCTACAATTTTACAACAGTAGGTATGCACATGCGGTCATGGGCTGCCTTTTATTCTAGTATGTTTGTCAACGTCAGTTGCTGTGCCTTGTTTAGGGTTCGGCGTTTTGAGCATTTTCACGACATAAAAGCGACCTTAAAAATACAGTCAGGACAGCGACACCGAGGAAAACCGTCAGTTAAAGAAAATTGATCGATATCTTTTTGGAATTTCTGAGACCTCAACTTCTGCATATTCCATGCATGAGAGCAGTAATTGTTGCATACCAAGCAGAAACGGTAGTTATTCGACGTTGTGGTTCCCGTTCTCAGGAAATACAAATTTTGGTCTGGGGAGGACAGTTTACAAAAGTTGAAAAAAAGACTTGTTTTACTAATTGAACGCCTGGAACAAGTCACAAGAATGCCAGTTGTTCAGCGGTTACCCGTCGCGTTTGGTCTGTTTCCCTGAAAATTCACCGGTTTTATTATCATTTATACGACTGGGAACCTCTGAGGACTTCTTGTCAGAGCACAAGGAAACGGATTGGTTTGAAAATTGTCTCATTCGGTGCCTTTATGATTTAATAGGAAATGTGGTTTCATTATTTTATGAAACCATGAAACAGGAAACAGGGATACGGAGATATTTAATTTTGTGCTGATGAGGGAGCGGTAGAGATAAGAGATTTCTCTGACGAATAAAATCATCAAATTTTCGGTTCTTATACGAAGCCTTCGTAATAGTTGCTTTAAAGGAAGATTCTTGTCGTAATTATTCGCTGGTTTATATGTTATATGATGGTTTTATTGACTATTATGTCGGTTCCGCTTAAGAAAACAATAATCTTGACTTTGCGGGGGGCTCGCTTCAACTGAGTTCGTTAAACGGTGGGCGTTTTTAAAGATAACACTAGTAGTAATTGAGCTTTCCCGACAACTTCCTTTGTTAAACCTATACATCAAGTCAGCCGCCATGATTTATTATGTCTAGTTTACAGAATGAGTGGATTTTTCTGTAATATTCGTGAAGGAGAACAGACTACGTTTGTTAGTTTAGTTCTAAATGTCCTTTACAAAGGTGAAAAGGAGGGGCCATCGTATTTCTTGGAATGAAGTAAGGAACGGGGACAAACTTGAAATTTCTCTACTAAACCGTTTCTTATAAAGATCATGTTACCTTCCTGAAGCGAGAAACCTCTCGCATCGCGTGATATTAGGACAACTTACATAAAGGTCTTGGATCAATTGGTTGTCTGTCGCGTTCAGAATATCATTACCAGATGAAAGTGTGGTTGGAAAGGTTTATAATGAAAATCGAGAGCAGCCTCAATAACAAAGTTTGTTAATCTAATTATTAAGAGCTCCGAGCTTTTTCGAAAGAGGCTCCAATCTGTCTCCTTCTTTTACCATACAAGATCCTACAAGCTCGAGGAAAAAGTGGAAACAAGTATCCAAAAATTATCTCAGCTCTTAAGAAAAAGAATACTAGAAGAAAAGAGGACAGGGTATAAACGAAAAGACGGCGGAGATATAGGTGGAACGAAAGAGAAAGCGAAACAGTCTGTCTACTGAGTTGATTGATAAAAACGATAATGAATTCCGGTTTAATTTGCCGAAGGGCTCGCGGTTATTTAAATCGACATCGAAACTGGAACCCCTGCTGCCTTGAAATGGAACACTATCCTTCAAACACTTCCTACGGTGGACTAACAGGCACGGGAAGCTAATAAATATTTTCGTAGTGTTGAAAGGCAGCTGTAATTTAAAGATCAGTATCCTGAAATACTTACCAAGATGACTGTTGTGCTGCTAAAATTGCCCTTCGGCCACACTAAATATAAATTCATTTCGTATCCAATTACCAACAGAATCTTCTTCAAGATTAATTGGATTCAAGTATGCGGTCTTTATTCCTTTCGCCTCTAATTTCAGGTCCTTCTCTCGCAGCGTGATAAGTCGCGTATCACTTTCAAGACTTAACTAGAATGTTCGAGTAGGCGCATTATGCTTCTTACCCCTTAAGACAAATAAAATCAAACAGACACAACACAAACGGAACTAAAAATAAAAGGAAATTTAACATCAAAATTGAAGTTCGAAAAATGGCTCATTACAGTTAAATTGCAAGCAGTTTTGGCTCATGTAGGAGTAAGCAATCCTTTTTCAGGTATGTCTTTCGTTTTCAATCATCTTTTCTTTCGGAAATATTTATCATTCTCTACCCGTCATTTAATTATTTTTTTATCAGTCGATAAACGTTCGTACTTGTGATAAGATGAAGTACTACACCAACGCACTTGTTTTGATACGGATGAATTTTGTTAGTTTGTTTACAGAACAGGCTATCGGAGTCAACAGAGTTGGCTAATTGCTCGATAAGATCGTAGCGAACATTAAACATTTACTCGGTTTTGTCGTTAGCTCTCTTATAATTTTGTTTCTGATGAACCGCTCAGTGCCAGACTTAAAGGTGATTAAGTTGTGCTTTCTGGTGATGTTTTTTACAAAGTTCAACGCAGTGGTTCTCATCCAATTTTGATAATTTTATGTCCTCAAGCTGAAACATTTATTGCTTTAAACAAAAGTAGATGACCATGTTTTTTGATTCAATGTTTCTCTTTCGGACGTTTTTGAGTCAGTGTTTTCGATCTTCTTGATAAAAACCATTGTCTTGAACAGCCTCACCAGACCGTGGCGATATTTATCATTCAAAACGAAATATATGCACGGATTCACTGAAGGATTGGAATAAAAAATAATGTGGGCCGCGAAGATAAAGTTTTCAGCGCCGCAGGGTATTTTCCAATCCCATACGAAATAAAATAAAATACCAATGACATTGAGTGGTATCGACGAAACCATGAAAGCAATGACAATTGCAGCGATGTTGTTCACAACTTTTCTGTCCTCCTTTATTCTTCGCAAAGTTCTACAGCTTGCAGGACCCCTGTTTCTCCTTATTGCGCTTCGTTTGAGATTCGCGATGATGGCGCAATACAGCCATATGATTAAACACAGTGGTATATAAATTTCACAAGTTACCATTACAATGAAGTAGATTTCCACAGGTTTTTTCGCGTCGAATGTTGGCCCCCAATCGATAACACAATACACTTTCTTGTCACGTGTAACTGTGTGAAACACATAAAAGTAAACCACATGAATGCCCGCTGGAACTATCCAAATAAGTGGTAGGATAATTTTACAGCTTTTCGTCGGCTTTATATTCGTTTCACGTAATGGAAATACAATTCCTTTGTACCTGTCTATAGCTATGGCTAAAATGCTGAAAATTGACACTGCGGTTGAGACATCTTGAAAGAAAGACAAACTTTTGCATAGGATTGAGCCAAATATTCCGCCAAACAACCACCTCTCAGGTCCTAACATTGTGTAAGTTATGTGCCGGGGTGCAGCTACTAGCGTTGTCAATATGTCTGCGACAGCCATATTAGCAATTAGGTAATTGGTGACAGTTTGCATCTTCTTGTTCCTCTTAATAACACCAATGAGCAAGGAGTTTCCGATGACTGCTATGAGCAGAACGAGGCAATAAAAAAATATTTTGACTCCTTTGATGGCGGTTGTGTCGCCTAAGAACGGACAGTTGTAGGAGGTAAGTTCTCTCGTCGAAGTGGTGAGGTTGTCGGCACTCCTGTTTGAATAATTACTCATTGCTAGTAATTCAGTCTCGATGGATACGATAAACGCAGGTTCAGTCGTTTTCTAAGTCTTTTCAGTGTATCACAGATCAGCCAAAATAGAAACGGGAAAACTTCCACTCAGTTACTGTAAGTCTTTCGAACCATCGTCTGTTCCTTCTCTCTTGAATTACCAGTTAAGCCAAATTATCCTTGAATCCGGAAAATATCTGGATGAGTGCATGCATCAAAACAAAATTTTGAACTGAAAACTAATTGTAAGGGTGGGTGGCCACGACAAGAACCACGTGAAAGGTGACAACAATAGCAAGGAAAGTAAACCTTTTCTTTGTTTGTTTTGGAAGCGCAGCTGTGGAGATTTTTTGTTTTCCGGCCAGTTTAACAATTGAATAAATATTTTGCTATGACAGTGAAACATCCCGTGACGTGAGTGACTATTGTGTGATTGACGTCTTGACGCCTTACATAAAAGAGCCTAAGGGTCTTAGAAACAAAGCGTCACGCAGCAAATAAGATAATGGTTTTGGCAATTTCTCAGCGCAGTAAGCGTTACCTTTTAAAATAAGCCTTCAACTATGTAATGTAACTATAACTAACCTGCTGTAAAATGATTTTTGAGTGACAACCCGGGACATACAATAAAATCAAATTTTACCAGTGGCATAAGTAGTTAAATAACCCAAATCAGTCTCAGGAATGACGTCCATCCGATCAAATAGCTGTCCAATATAATACCGCGGCATTGAAAAAACTTTCTTTTCCTTTTTCTTCTTTTTTTAATTTTTTGAACATGGTATGATTAAACACAGAGAACCGCCAACAGAGTAGTCCTCAAGTTCACAGCAGCGTGCAAATCAAAATTAAAGACGTTTTTGACCGTCGACGAAAGTACCTTCAGGATTTATTACGGTAACCCGCTAGGAGTTTAATTTGATGTCGTCAAATTCAGGGAAGCCTTCTATAACAAACCAGCCTTGCTAAAAAATGCTAAAATGTAGTGAAGCAATAATTTTTATATATGCTATTCAGGGGGCACGTCAAATAATCTCACACAATATGGAAAATGACACATCTGCTGGTCAAAGCTGCTGGTCAAAGTTGATGAACTGGAATAGCGGAAAAAGATAAATGAAATTCGCAGAGCAAGCACCTAAAACAGAGAGTGACTGACAGAAAGAGTAGCGTTTTACCTCTGCTCCACTGAATCCACTCTTTTGTTCAAATTTGCCAAAATACAGTCAGAAAAATAGTGTCACCGTTGAATGGAACACGGTTTTGAACTCCTAAGCAGTAAGCTGTTCTAGCCAATCAGAACTCGCGTCATATTGGCAATCTATATCGGCACTGTCTCCTTTAAAAAAAAGTCGCCTACAAAAATTCCCCCCCCCCCAAGATGATTTGGATACAATACATCAAAGAACTAATGGAGCACCTTATGGCTGTTTGAACAATTACGTTGACGAAAATTCAAAGAGGTCGCCGTAATTGATCTAAATATTTGCCAGCAATATGAGGCCATAAACTCATTTCAAGAATCTCAAAGTTTTGGCGGTACAAGCATGAATCGTTAAGTTCTCTGCCTCCTACATGGACGACCGTAAATACTTTAGGGCACAAGGAAAATAAAAAATCCAAGTGCTGGAAAACATCGAGCTTCGCAGAATAGTAATCACTGAGCAAGCAGGCAGATCTAAGTCGCCTCTTTTTTGTACCACGTCTCCTTACTGAATGGTAGCACAGTCAAGACATCAATCTTTTCTAGCGTTCCTTAACTCATGTTTTCTTTTCCTTTCTTTGTCTTTGTCTTCTTTTGTTTGTTTTTTTTTATTTTTTTTATTTTTCGTGTTTTGAAAACACCTGAAATAATTTTGTAGCGCGCTCCGGATGGCCAAATATATTTCCTTAAGTAAGGCCGGAATGATATATGTTAAGAGATATTATGAGTACTTTAAAAACCGACATCCGAAAACCAAGCAGTATTACTGGAGCTCATGTGAATTCACAAAAGTGTGTTTTCCCTTTATTATTATTTTCCTTTATTATTTACACTTTCCTTGATAAACTTCTTCAAGGGAAAAAAAAACCGTTGCTAGCAAACGGAGTCTTCCGCAAAGTTGCTAGCACTATTCACTATTTAATGTATTGAAAAGACAAAAATGCAATTCCCTTCACTGAACACCTTTTTTCATTAAGACCCGTTCTTAATTAAAAAAAAAAAAGAAGAGTACAACAAGGCTGTCCATAACCAATAGGTCCAGAAAATGTGAAGCCCTGATATATTTTGCAGCAATAGATACCACATTACAATTGGATTAAAAAAAACACCTTACATCGTTAATTTTTTTAACTCTGTATCTCATTTAATTTCTTACCGGATTTGACTCAGGAAGCACTGCTACTATATTTATTACACTCGTAATTAATCCGTTACGAAAAAATATCTTGGTGACGCGAAAAGCAACGACGACACTACAATAACTAGCTTTTTGTTAAATAACGTGTTTAATGATTTAAAGATGCACTCTTTTTTCTGTTACATGGTTCAAAGTTAGTTGAATACATCCACTCCGGTCAGCTCTCGAAAATTACCCTTAGATTGATATGAAGAGCAAATGCTAACGTGTGAAAAAGGTAATAATAGTGTACGTGGACGCATCTATAGTTAAGCACTAATGCTTAGAGATGGCAGATATGACAGATGACTCAATATACATTTTGTGCATTATGCTCCGAACATAAAAGTCTACTTATTCATTGAAAGCATTTTGACATTTGTTTAGTTGACCACCGGTAGAGATCCTGCATAAAATTAGCAAGAGTAGCCTATAAGAACCCAGAAGAAAGCTAATTACTTGTGATGTGGGCGGATGATCGCACATTTAACTTTTCTAATGCGGTTGCTTGTGATGATCTTCTCGTAGTCTCCGCCCTTTTCTCGACGATGTGAAGTTTCTTTAAAATGTTCACGAAACACCTGCGATATTTATCGTTCAAAGAAAGGTATATCCACGGATTCAAAGAAGCATTTGCATACAGAATATAGAGGGCTGCAAAACCAAAGTTTTCCATCCCGCAGGGCATTTTCCACTCCCACACGAAGTAAAACATAACTCCATATGTATTGATTGGAATCATGCATGCCATGAAAACAATAAGTACTACAATGATATTCCTCACGACCTTTGTGTCTTCTTTTAGTCTTTTCAAACCCAAAGGTCCTCTGCACTGAATAGTTCCGTTCTTTTTAAGATTGTGAATAATACGCAAATACAGAAATGTAATTACGCACGCTGGAAAAGCTACCAAACACACAAATATTATAATAAAATTCGTTTGCTGAGACTTTGGACTCCAGTGTGGCGCGCAGATTGTTTCTCCTTTGTTTGTTACAATACGAAAAATATTGAAGTACACTGCGTGAAAAGACATCGCTGCAATCCATATAAATGGTATAACGATTTTACAGAGTTTAGCGGGACTCATAAGTTGTTTTTGGAAGGGAAACACGATTCCTCTGTACCTGTCAATGGTAATGACCACGAGACTGATAACTGAGACAGCAGTTGTGATGTCTTGTAAAAAGGAAACGCTTTTACAAAGAATGGAGCCCAACAATCCCTTCACCAACCATGATCGAGGGCCAAGCAATATTTCTGTTATCTGTCGTGGAACTACCAGTACTGTTATAACAATGTCTGAGACAGCCACATTGGCAATAAGATAACTCGTAATGGTCGGCATTCGTTTATTCATCTTGATTATGGCAACGAGCATAGAGTTTCCAATAATTGACATCAACAAAAGGATACAATAAAATAGAATTTTAACCCCTTTGATTGCGTTCGTGTCGCTTTGAAATGGTTTGCAGCAGTATGGGCTGAGTTGTGTTGCATTATAACACGTGAAGTTAATCATATTTCAAGATGAAAATAACTCCACTTCGAGGTTACCACCCAGGCAATGCCACAAGAACGGATGTTTTGTCGCATATAAAACTAAATCTTCCAGTCTACGGTGTAGAGAAAAAAAATATATACACAGTTAGTATTCACTCTGTTAGCTGGTATAATTAATGTGATTCCTCCTTCCTCCTTTTACCCTTAGTATATTGGTATAACAAATGTGAGGTTTCTGAAATATTCCGCTCTGGTCTTGAATCTTCGCCAAAAGTCGCCTTCAGCCGCGGTTGTTATGTGGGTTCAGTGTTTTGAAATGCTTGCCCAATGTATTTACAGCGATATGCAGGTGATCAATTTGCTTCACATAATTATCTTGATCGATGACCAAAAGCTTGCGAAAATTTGTAATCAGCAGAGCAAAAAATCACCCGGCCTGAGCGAAACCTTAACTGATTGTGGTTTTCACTTCCAGAAATTTAATTACAAAGTTCTTCTCAAAGAAAGGAATCAAAATTTAAAAAAGTGATAATGAAAGCGAAAAACAATTCGAAGCTAAGTTGCTTTTGATATTCAATAGTATGCACTTATTATCTTTTCTCATTTTATTGAACTTATCATATAACCCTCACTAATTTTCCGCTCTGGAAGTAAGCTTATCAAAAATATTGCTTATCCTTTCTCGCTTGCCCTCTGTTTTTATAAGTTTCATTGATGTATTGAGTGCTTTAAAAATATATGACGCTCGTTATATTTTGAGGACACCCTTAACAAAATACACGTGACATATTAATCGAATACTGCCTCTATAGTCAACTCCAGCCAGAATGGAAACAGCGTCTGTTGCATGAGAAAAGCCTCTTCCTGTTAAGGATGATTGGAAAACTGAGCGGACGAGGAAAAAGATCGCCGTTTGAGATCGTATTACCTGCTAAGCTGGAAATAAAGTCTTCTGATTAGTTTGCTAAAAAAAGCCTTTGGTGGTGCTGAGGTCGATAATCAAATCCGCAACATTAATATATTTATTACTGAAAAGGTTTCCCCTTTCTATGCTAATGCAGCAAAATGTCTGGTACCGTAAAGAAATCACTCTTAAAGAATGTCACAACAATTAATGGGTACTTGAAACTTACATAAATTTACGGTCAGTTTGCAGGCTTCACTTTTTGTGAATTTGGTGCATTTGGAGTGCTTAAGAAGCTGTTGCCAAGGAAACACACCTGCTGTGAATCTGTCAAGTTAACTGATACTTAACATATTTTCTGAATGGATAGTGCAACTGCAATGACTAGAAAAAAAGTAATAAACTCTCGTATAATTCCCATGGTAATTGAACCTGAAGTGAAATCTTCCGAACTTTGGACATTGCATTTCTTGAATACTTCCCTGAGATAATTTGGAAATGATTTAAATTCTCTGGACACAAAGCGGTTACCAGATGTCCGGAGAATAATTATTCTTTAGAAGGTAACAATGAATGGGCTTTAAATGTCGCGTAGAAGACGAAAAGTGAACAGGGTGAGTAAATAAGAAAGGAATATATCGTGTTATTTATTCCGTATGATAATAGATGTACCTGTGATAATTTTAGTACACCTACTTGGAGAAAAACTAGCACATTCACACGTTTCAAAACTTATGTACAATACGTTCATGGGATTTGAGCCACGTATTCGTGGACATGGAACCGATGTTTGCCAACTCTTCTTCCGTTGAAGCAAAGTCTTCGATGTATGATGATTGTCTGTCTACGCAAATAGGATTGATTGACTTGCTCATACAAGTAAAATCGCACGTTTTCAAACCCACATACTACAAAGGAAGAAGCGAGAGGGAAAAAAAGTCAAAAAAGGAAAAAAAAGGGAGATCACGCATGGCCAAGTGGTTATGTTTCTACTTAATTCTCTCCTTCCATCTGGTTTTCATTTTCCGAGCTCGAATTTATTGCTCGAAAGTTGGTATGATAAACCGAGATCACATCGTCTTCCTGTTTATTAGAAAGTGGACTGACACAAGGCTTCGACCGATTTCAATCTTCTTCCCTTTCCTCCTGCTAAATTACGTCATGCTGTTTTTAAAGCATCCGTTGTATTGTTTGGGATATAAATCATTCCAGGTTTGTGGCGTCTCATAATTAGTAAATTGAATTAAAATGAGTAACGAGTCCCGGTCACAGTGACATAGTAATCTAACTCCTTACATAGTGACTACGTTCATGCCACTTTGACACGGTTTGCAGCAGTTTTGACGGACTTGTGATGCATTATCACGCGCGAAGTTAACATAACAGAATAAGAAAGATATCGTCAGACTTGTGCATCCAATAACCTTCCAAAGTCGCTACAAACGAATAAAATGCAAAGCAGGTTTTGTTTCTCGAACACCAGCGGAAGCATCTGCAGAATAGTAGAGCGCTGTCTCCCACATAGGGCCTAATTACATTGCGGGGAAACACGCTAATTTTCGACAAACAACCTACGAATTGTCTGATGAATATCTAATCATTTTGTTTGGACTCCCACAATGTAACATGATTTTCACTTCAAAGGCAGCTAATTTGACGTGCTGGTTTCTTTTTCCTTTATTATATTATTATTATTATGATTTTAATTCTATTCTAATATTTTTGGTCTTTACCACACAGTTTTGCGTGTACTCTTCTTTGAGGTTAAGCTCACGATTTACAGACTGATATGCGGTGAAAACCACTGTCAGTTAGGATTCACGTGCAAGAGATCTTTGTTCTACCAAATACAATAGAAACTAGAGATTAGAAGCTGTTTATAATCTCTTGTAGGAAACCAAAATAAGTTATTTTCGTCCTCATCAAAGATAATTATGCAATGCAGCTCAGCTACACATCGCTTTCAAAAATACGGTCGGCAGGCATAGCAAAACTTAAAACTTATTTAAGAAACGTGTCTGTCGGCGACTTAAATGAAAGATTAAAAACAGAGGAAAACATATTTGTCGAAGCTCCTACCGATGTTCACATTCTGCTATGATAGGTCAGTGGAGGGCGTAATCAACGATTATGAGATACATTCTATTCGCTCGTAAGCGACCTGTAAATGGAGGTACCCTTTAGACTTTTGCAAGCATTTATTCAGACTGTTCAGACTGTCCTCAATCCGCGTATACTACCCCCCCCCCTTCTCTCTCTCTCTCTCTCTCTCTCTCTCTCTCTCTCTCTCTCTTATAATTGAAACGTTCCTTCCTTCCTTGTTCATATTATGCTGCTGGAACATAAAACCGTAAAACAAGTGTGACATAAGAAATGCTCCATCCTCTACTCAGGACGATGGGAGAAGCGAGCGGAGGACGAAATCACCGTCTGTATCATGTAACCTGCTACATACTTCACCTGCTAAGCCTGATTACTCAGACCACTACAGTAATTACTTCTCTAGATTTAAAGTTGAGAGTTAAATCCACAACATTAATATTTTTTGTTTATTCCGAGAAAGTAAGTTCCTTCCGGCTCATATACAAAACATTGCAAGAAAAAATGCTGCAAATTAATAATGGCGACTTGCATTCATCAATAAGAAAAACAAAGAATAACAGAAAAAAACAAGTTAAAAAAAACTCTGCATTTCAATAAAGTGTAAATTGAAAGTGGTACTCAGTCGAAACATCCATGTCAGTTTTAATTTAAATTTCCATGACCCCGCAAAAAGACTTGTCCGCAGTACAGGTCGCTCAGCACAACAAAGACTGGTGCTTATGCGATGATGCGAAAAGTTTGTCCTTGATTTTGTTCTATCTTTGCGTTTAGCCCATAATGCACATAAAGTGGCCGCTATATTCAAACGTTTTAATTCATTGTGCTTGATTGTTATCGATGTATGGATTCTACACGACGGTTGTTGGAACAGTTCATCTTCCTAATTAATAAATGACGCGGTAGAGACTTTAAGTTTTTTTATACTTTAAGTATAAATTTAGCGAGGAAGCTAGAAAATCAGATAGCCACGTTTTACCTTTAGTTTGCCTATTAATATTATGCTTAAAAGATCTAAAAGCAACAAAAAATATACTTTCAGCTTGGAAGTAATTGATACTCAAAAGTTCATAACCAATGGAGTATGGAACACGGCCAGAAAGAAATAAGCAATGTATGTATTCTTAGGGTGATCCACTCTGCCGTGATATCCTTTTGATGATGGAAATTTATTTGAATACTGAATACTGAATACTTCCCTTGTACTTAGCATTTGAGCATGGTTTCAATTGAATGCGCATAAAGGCACCAGATGTCCGGAGAATAGTTGTCCCTCAGTTAGCAACACTGTGCGCGTGCTTGAAACTTGAACTTGAACTTGAACTTGCGCATAATTTTGACTAGAAATGAAAATTTAACGAGGAAAATTAACTAAGTAAAGGAAAATATCATGGTATTTATTCTGCATGACAACATGTGTACCTGCAACAATTCAATAGAGGCTAATGCACGTACTTGAAAGCAAAAAAATTAAAATTTAACAATGACAAGTAACCAAGTAAAGGAAAATATCATGCTATTTATTCTGCATGACAGCAGATGTACCTGCAAAAATTCAATAGAGGCTAGTGCACGTACTTGAAAGCAAAAAAATTTAAATTTAACAACGACAAGTAACTAAGTAAAGGAAAACACCATGCTGTTAATTCCGCATGACAGCAGGTGTAACTTTAATATTTCAGCAGAGGCTAGTTTACGTGCTTGAAAGCAAAAGAATTAGCATTTCAGCACCGGTTCGAAACTAAGGTACGTTCATGAGACTTGAACACGTACACGATTTGAGCATGTTAGCATCGGCCAAGGTCATTGAACTGATCTTGCTTTAAAAAAAAATTCAATGAATTTGGATTATTTGAGTTCAGATATTGTGATTGATGTCGATGAAATTTTAGAAACAGCGGCGATAAATGTCATCGCCAAAGACACTGAGTACGTAACTTCCAGTTTTTTCTTTTCGTATTTTGTGTTCTTTTCCCGCTATAGAAAATTTTGAGCGTCACTTTCTGTAAGCGATACTAATTTTTAAGTGTGTTGGCCGTCATAATCCGAGAAAATTGCGACTAACGACCATGGATTGAGAAGGTCAATGCGAGTGACGCGCCAGCAGCTGATTGGCTATATCAAAGACAAGTGAAAAATATCGTTTTTTTCCACCTACGTTGTTACGGCTTTTCTCAGAGTTGGAAACACGTATAACACCGCAGTTTAAAGGATAAATAGAGAATAATACATGAGCACGCGTAGATATGGAATTTCTTCTTAAGTGTTCAACTCGATAGCTCACGAGGTGAGTGCAGCGAACGAGTGAGATATCGAGTTAAACGTGAGAGAGAAATTCCATATCTACGAGCAACCATGTATTATTTTATCTGTAAACACAATAGCCCTTTACTGAAAGAAAAGTCGACTTTATCAATGAATTAAAAAAACGGGATCCACAATCCGCGAAAAAAGGTCGCATATAGTGCGTCGGCAATAAGGCTCAGGATGAAAAAATGCTTTGAATCATTACAAAGACAAGCTATGGGCAATTTATAAAACTCTCAGTTGTTGTCTTTTTCCTTACCGACAGAAGAAAGATTTTCAGGAACACGGCCCAAATTGGCCTATGGAAAATCTTACAGTTGTCGATTTTCGCTCTTAGCCGCGAGAAATGCCATTACCATGGACACTGAGTACGTTACGTTTTTTTTTTTTCTTTTTTTGGATTTTCTTCCCCTTCTAGGCAATTTTGAACTTTGCTGTTTAAAAATTGATACGATTTTTTGGTTTTTTAGCAACCATAATCCGAGAAAATTTCGACAAACGACCTTGCATAAAGAAGGTGAAGGCTTAGCCATTCAGAGTGGCGCGAAAGGCTAATCATGTGTCAGCAGCTGATTGACGATATCAAACACACGTGAAAAAATATCCAATTTCTTACGTTTGTCGTTACGGCTTTATTCAGGGCTGGAAATCCTTTAAAATCCTGAAAAAACCGTAGTTTATGAGAAAGAAGTAATTATTGACCTGCCCATATCAGTGGGATCAAAAGTTTTTATTCCCAGATGTTAAAGAGGAGTAAAAAAAAAAGGAATGGAATCTTGATCGTGGGCATCCACGCTTCTGGAATTTCTATTCCACTATCCCTGTTGATGTTGTTAGGGTGAAGTCTTATATGAATTGCCTCTTTGACCCTGCGCGTGCAGTAATAAGGGTCACGATCAATAAACTTTACTTCGTGTAATAGTGTAGTTTGATCGTCCGGGTGAGTTTAGTCCTGAGAAGGACTGTTGTCGGTAGTGGTGACTGACGTTTCGACAACCTGAGCGGAAGTCATCATCGAGTCAAGTGAAAGGTTGTTGTCAGTCGAATGTACTTAGTCCAGTTTGTATACACTGATTGGTCAGTTTTGCCGTGATGCTATGATCTCGTTGTTTAAGATCTTCTCATTGCTGACGGTGGATACGAAGTGGACTGAATTGGTCACCGTGTACTCTGACTTTTCTGTTAAAGGAGACAGGATGTTGGCTAAGTAAGCGGATAAATCATATGCAAAGGTATTTACGCACGACACGATAGGTCTTAGCGGTACATCGGCCTTATGGATCTTTGGTAAACCGTAGATTCTAGGCGGCTGTTTGTGTCGGGGTCGGATCTTGTTGTAAACAACCTCTGATAGATATCCGCTTCGCTTCAAGGTGAGCAGCTTTTCGGACAACTTGCGGATCAGACGGTCTGTCGGATCTTTGTTGAGGAGCTGGTAGAGTGCGTTCTCAATAAGCGTAAACATCTTGGCTCGGTAGGTGTCGGTATCCATGACAACGCTAGCGCGCCCTTTGTCCGCTGGGAGGACCATGATGGACTCGTCCCCTTTCAGGTTTTTAAGTGCATCTCACATCTCCTTCGCGATGTTAGGCTCTAGTGGTTCCGCCTATTGAAGAATACCGTTAACAGCTCTTCTGACAGTATCTGCTTGTTCGGCGTCGAGTTTTCTTACGGCTGCTTCGACCTTGGCGATGATCTCTGTGGCAGGAATATTCGCAGGAGTTACGGTGAAGTTCAGTCCTCTCTTCAGTAGGGCTTTCTCGGCATCGCTAAGGGACCTAGAGGATAAACTAACAACCCAGTTAGCTTTGTCGACATACGGTGTGTCAACCGGCGACACAGCCGCCTGTTTTTCTCGAATAAGTATTTCAAACTTCTGCTTATGTCTGTCTTTAGTGACGTTGAAGACTCGTTGAGTGTGGGTCGTAATCTGCTCTAGTATCCTGTAGGCGTCGTTTGAACATAAACTGGTAAAAACAAACCGTCAAGGTGACTTTACGAAATCGGAGGGGGGAGGAAGGAAACATGCGCTTGATTAGCATTTTATTCCAAAGGAATAGAAAAATTCGAATTAAGGATGGAGGTTAGAGAACTCTCTTATCAGTTAGGGCAACAAGGCTACAAGGTATCTTATCTTTCGACGTAGAATCGCTGTTTACCAACGTTCTTATCGACGCCGCTGTACAAGCCGCACTGCAGAAACTCGAGAACGACCCAGGCCTTGCAGATCGCACCACGCTAACGCCTGCGCAGATTGCTGACCTTTTGACCTTCGTATTGAGATCCACATACTTCCAGTATAACGGATTGATTTACGAGCAAAAAGACGGCGCCGCCATGGGGAGTCCGGTTTCCGCTATCATTGCCAACCTCTACATGGAGAGTTTCGAAGAACAGGCGATAGCTACATCATCCTACAAGCCTAGGATCTGGAAACGCTACGTGGACGATACCTTTACCATCCTGTATCGCGAAAACGTAGACGACTTCTTGCTGCATATCAACAACCATCAGCCTTCCATCCGCTTCACCACGGAGACAGAGAAAGACAACAAACTCGCCTTCCTAGACACCGCAGTTTTAAGAGAGCCTGACGGCCGCCTCACCACCAGCGTATACAGGAAGCCCACACACACCGATCAATACTTAGCGTATGATTCACACCACCCTCAATCAGTAAAACGCGGTATTGTTAAGTGCCTTTACGAGGGCGCCAAACGCCTCGTAACAAAACCCCCCGTCATCTCCGAGTAGAAAAAACATCTGTCATCTGTTCTGGTTTCTAATGGTTATCTTTTTTCTTTCTTGCAGAAACTTACCAAGACCGGAAAACCAAACAACAGTGCCGAACCCACCAACGAGTTCAAAGCCACTGCGGTTTTACCTTATGTTAAATGTCTATCCGAACAGCTTCGCCGTTGCCTGAAACAACAAGGCGTACGCGCTGTTTTCAAGTCAGAGACTACGCCGAGATCTCAGTTAGTACCATCAAAAGACGCTGTCGATCCGGCTAAACAAGATGGTGTAGTTTACAGGATTCCCTGTGAATGCGGCAAGGTGTACATCGGAGAGACTGGAAGACCTATGCTAGACAGAATTGAGGAGCACGATCGAGACATTCGACTCGCTCGTACCGAGACCTCCGCCGTTTCAGAACATGCCCATAACACCGGACACAAGCCACTCTGGAACGAAGTAAAGTTTATTGATTAAGACCCTTATTATAACACGCGCAGGTTCAAAGAGGCAAATCATATAAGAATTTACCCTAACAGCATCAACAGGGATAGTGGAATAGAAATTCCAGAAGCGTGGAAGCCCACGATCAAGAAACACAACAACAGGAGAACCGTGTGACAGGGGACCGCCGAGAGAGCAAATCACTGAGTGAACAGCAAGGATCGAAATGCACCAATCAGAGCTGTTGAAAGCATCATGCTTTATAAGATCACGCATGACCAGTCGACCTCATCGCCTGAAGAAGACTAGCAGTATGCAGTCGAAACGTCGCGATCTACATCACACGTGACTACATCGTGAGACAAACGGAAAACTTAGCTTTTATATATGAAGCTCTCACTGCAACGGTATTTAACATATTACCCTGTCAGTTTGCATACATATTGGTACATCCTTAAGGAACACATGAGAAATGTTTCAATTTATTTGATTGACGGTTTGTCAATCAACAGTGCCGAATAAATTACTGTGTTTTTGATCTTTTCGATTCACGCGAATATTTGATAACTTTGAGGCTCTTACAGAGAATGGAACCCAACAATTCCTCACCAGCAATGATTGTGGGCTAAGCGATATTTCTGTTACCTATATTGTACCATTAGTATAATGGCAATATCCGAGACAGTTAAATCAGCCGAAGACATCACTGTATAAGAGTTTAGTGTTGAAATAGCCGTGGCTGTGTTTGTGGTTGAAAATAGCCAGGGGTGGCAGCTCAACAACCATTGAATTTTCTGAAACAAACTGATCTCCTCGTGTTTCTCATCGTTTGGTTTAGTCATTTCTCCAAAGAGCAGCAGCTCAGTAAACACAATCTCCCGTTTCCGCTGACGAAGACTGCTCTCCTTTGAAGGCCTATATTTTCAGCTTCCGTAACTTGTTTATTAGTAGACTGTTTCAATCACCATGGGAAAAAGAACAGCTAAAATGTGGACTATTGCTCAAGATTCACTTATTCTCTTAAAAGAGAGCATCGTCTACCTTGAATCTTCAAGGCCGCAAAAAGATCAGTCTATCCTCTAGCTAATATTTTGCTTTATCACATAAACTGCGGATACAGGGATTTCCGGCCCTGGGAAAAGCCATAACGACACGCGTAAAGAAATTGGATATTTTTTCACGTGTTTAATATCGTCAATCAGCTGCTGACACATGATTAGCCTTTCGCGCCACTCTGAATGGCTAAGCCTTCACCTCCTTTATGCAGGTTCGTTTCGTCACTCGGTCAGGTTGATGAATGAACGGCGAAGTCTTCACGATTCTCAGCACAAGGTAGTTTGTCGGAACTTTCACGGATTATGGCGGCTAAAACACTAAAAAACCCGTATCGCTGAAAGACAGTGAGGTTCAAACTTTCTTAGAAGGGGAAAAAACCAATATAACATACAAAAAGAAAAACCGAAAGTCATGTATTCAGTGGCTTTGGTGTTGGCATTTTTTGCGACTGAGAACGAAAATCGACAACTGGAAGATTCGCTACCGGCCCATTTTAGCCATATATCTGAAAGCATTCTTTTGTCGGTAAGGACAAAGTCAATAACTGAAAATTTTGTAAATTGAAAATTACGCCCATTGTTGTTTTTGTAATCATGATTCGACGCATTTTTCCATCTTAAGAGTTAGTGCCAACGCACTCTACGATTGTTATTCGGGGATTGTCGATTCATTTATTTTCTTTCATTGATGTAGTCGGCTTTTCTTGTAAGTAAACGGCTATCGCTTTTATATGAAAAAACAAAATCCCATCTCATCTCACTCGTTCGCTGTGCTCATTCGTGAGCTATCGAGTTAAACACTCGAAGAGAAATTTTATATCTACACGCGCCCATGTATTATTCTCTATAAATTGATTTTACAAATAAATTCTTATTGAAGGCCTAACAAATAATGACGAAGACCGGATAGAATCTCACAAGGCCTTTTGAATAGAAAATCTCCATTAAACGTCGATGAGACCCTGGTGAGATTACCAGTATTTAAGGCTCTAAATAGTTTGCCTAATAATGAATATAAACACAAAGAAAGAATATGAATACTCTTCTTTTCAGAGTTAACTATTTTCAAGAAAAATATCCATCGATATTTTGACCACAATATCCTCAGAAAGTGAATATTACAAACGTCTCTTGCTAGGCCTAAAACGAAACAGAAGGAAGCTCCAAAGTAATAAAACTACAAATTTTGGCTTAAAATCTACAATTTTATTGGTGCCAAAGTGTGGAATTCCTTATCAGATGAATTACGCTCAACGACAATTCTTAAGGAATCAAGAATGCTGTAAGAGAGCTGCATTTGTAATGTATAGTCTTCTGAGATTTTTCCCACTGTAATAATCTTAAGAGTTGGGATTTTTATTTAATTGAAGTAGTTAGAAAGCATCTGATTATTTTCGATATCCTGAACAATTTTTTTTGTCGTTTTAACATCTCATACTTTTCTCTGAATATTGGCATGTATTTCGCGGGGCCTGACCGAAGTATTAACCCAAGTCAAAATAGAGTTATTTACCTACTTAGTTTTAATTCTCTTAGCAAAATCGCATTACCCTCTCAATCCAAAAATATACCCTTATATTACCTTCTCATTCCGGATCTTCACAATCCACTCGCCTCGAAGATTCTCGTCCCAGTATTCCACAGTCATAAAAGGCCAGTATCAAATGCTTATTGTGTTCCGTCGTCTTCGGGCCTCCTAGCCAGCAGTCGCGAAGTGGTGCCACTGGGCGAGACGAGGTCGATCACCAGGTCCCCCAGCGACAGTGGTCTCAGATACATTAAACTGAACGTGTTCTAGTTTTTTGGATGTCTTCATTGTCGTTGATGAGATGTTTCTAATCAGAGATAACGAGATTAGGTCATGGAAATGAGAAGCGACTTGAAATTGATCGATGGATCAATTGATTCCTTGATTAATTGAGTAAACGACATATTTACCATCAGTTCCACCTTTCCCTTGGATCTTAACGGTGCCGTATCAGGTGTAAAAAGTCCACGGAGTGTGTATTTTGAGTATTCTGCGGTTCAACTACTGAGACTTTCAAGTAACAAGAACGGATCTGTTCATCTGCGCTGGAAGGAAACGGCAAAACTGTTACAATTCAGTCTCGTTCGAGTCTTACTTACTGAGACGCTGGCTTAGGACAACTGAAAAAAGATTTACCGTGCTCCATGAAGGGCTGTCAGGCTCATTTTTCAGCGCAGTTTGAACAACTAAGTGTTGGATATCTCGCCAAGAAAGGTCAGGATTTGCCTCCAAAACCAGCGTAAAGATTCCAGCTGCTAAGGGAGCCGCGCAGGATTTCCCAGAAAACGATGTCACACACTTGTTAAACAAAAAAGTAGTTTGAAGATGGCTGAAGGACTCTCAATTACTACACTGCAAGCCAACATTTCCGGTGAAGACCACACCCATCGTAAAGGGGCTGCTCTCGTCGTAAACGCTTTGCATCCACTGGCGCTCACAGAGGCGATAGACAGAGTGTAGATACTTGACGTCTAACCGTCGCAGCTACAATCATTGTAGCTGGCTCCACCATTGTCGGTGGCCCAGATAGACAAAACCCCCTTCCCTTAAAAAAAAAATGACATGTTTCTGTGAGTGTTTATTTTCTTCTCTGCTAAGAGATTATAAATTGTTTATAATCTTTTGTTTCTGCATATTCGAAGATAATGTATCCATAATGCACAGGTATCCGGATGAAAAGGTCTCGTTCGGAGATCTGGTTCGCCTCATTGTCTCTTTTCCCTAGCTTGGACAAGACACTTCATTTACACATTGCCTATGTCCACCGTACCCAGTCGACCTTATCGCCTGTATCATCCAATTACAGCTTAGCATAACAGTTCCTGAGGTGACGTGTATCTAGCAGACCTTATCGCCAGAAGAGTAAAGAAGACTCACAGTATGCAGTTCAGTCGAAACGTGTCGATCCTCTTCGGAGGGGACTACATCATGAGACAAACAATTATACTTCATTGCAAGTTATCTGCAAAGATGAATAACCACAACCATTTTGCTTCATAAACATTAACCTTCAGTTGGCGCGAAAATATGCACAGATATTTTTCCGAGAACATTATCGCTGTTCCGAAAAGAGAACAGGTTTCCGAGGGGGAAGCTGGAGGTAAACTGTCAGCTACGAAAGTGCGCGCCAGCGCTGTTGCTCCTATAAAATAAACTTTCGGTGCAATCAACGAGAGGTTTTTTACCAATCAGGGTGTTTGTAGTATCAAAGGTATCTCATAAAAAAACTAATACGAAATGGTTCTTCCACCATGCTAATGGTAATTTCACACGTCACTTTTGTAGTAATTTTCATACTTGGAACAAATTCATTCAAATGTAACTCAATAGCAATTAAAGTTTTGTTTGTCTTCAATTTATGGTCAAGGCAGGATATCAAAGAATTGATTTTTTGGTTGATCTTATCCTTAAGCAAACTCGAGCAAACTGTTCTGTATTTAATAACACTCAATTCCATGGCACGCCTCGTCTAAGTTAGCCCGCAGTTCGCAACATAAGTGTCGCAACATTTATTTGCAATTTTTTGGTCGGAGGTTCATTTCAAACCTATGACCAACCTGGAACTTTCAAATGGGCTCGCTCACAATGCAAAACTTGTCCCTTCATTCATAACGCAGAGAAAATGTTGGGACCCAAGAGATCCAATAAAATCACTGATCCCTTTACGTGCACCTCCGCCAACGTCATCTACTGCATAACTTATGCCATGTACTTATTGCAAAAAGTTATACAGTGGTGAAACAGGGAGACCGTTTGCGAGAACACCATCGCGACGTAAAAGAAATGACAAGGACGCATCCAAACCAGTCGCTACACACTTGAATCTCCCTAATCATTCTTTGCGGCCTTTCTCTACATCTAGGCAGTTCGGAAAGCCGCAAAAATCTAGAAGAAAAATTTCTCTTCCAAATCGGCATTCTTAATCCCCACAGTAGCAACGAGCGCTTTTCATTAATTCAACTAATTTACTCTTGTTGTTTCGTCACCATATTCTCACCAATAGCGTAGCCCCATTTTCTGCACATAAAACACAATTCCCCCAATCGCTCTAACGAAGGGCTACCGCTCGAAACGTCAGCCTTTAAACTCTTTACGGTGGCCAATTAACGTTTTCAACTCAGTTGATATCTCTAAATTACCCTGTTATTCACTTTATACTCACGTTTGGGCGGATAATTTTAAAAACTAAAACCTGAACCATTAAAAAAGTGGAGCAAACACAGAAAATGTCTAATAAAGAACATTTAATAACCGGCAATTAATATAATACAACAAACTCGGTTGCTTCGTGCTACAATTCCAACTGACAATAACTCGTCAATAGCGCCTCTCTTGGCAACCTGATACCAAAACGGTATCAAACGTATTTTATCCTCTGAACTTGCTTTGGGCTGCCGTGCCTCGCTTTTCAAAGTCTTCTAAAAACTTGGAAGCAAACGGACCATTTAATAAGATGTAATTAAGCAGTTGGTCGAAAACCTGACATTTCTAGTGCGAGTGGTGATCCTCCTCGAGACTTTTTCTCCCTTCTGACGATACGAAGTTTCCTTAAAATGTTCCTGAAACAACGACGGTATTTATCGTTCAATACAAAATATATCCATGGATTGACCGACGCGTTTGCATAAAGAATAAAGTGGGCAGCAAAACCGTAGTTTTCAATGCCACAAGGCACTTTCTTATCCCAAACGAACATGACCAGCATTCCATAGATACTAATTGGAGTCATGCAAGCCACGAAAACAACAAGTATTGCAATGATATTCCTCACGACTTTAACGTCTTCTTTCAGTCGTTTCCGTAGAGGCCCTTGGCTCAGAGCAGCTCTGTTTCTTTTGAGATTATGGATAATCCGCAAATAAAGAAATGTAATGACGCACGCTGGAACAACTATTAAACAAACAAATATTACTGTAAAACTTGTTTTTTGAGACTCTGGACTCCAGAGTGGCCGGCAGGTTGTTTCTCCATTGTTTGTTTCAGTGTGGAAAATATCGAAGTACACTAGGTGAAAAGGCATAGATACGATCCATATCAACGGAATGATAACTTTACAGAGCTTAGCAGGACCCATAAGTTGCTTTTGGAAAGGAAATACAATTCCTCTGTACCTGTCAGTGGTGATGACCACGAGACTTATAATTGAGACAGCAGTTGTAATGTCTTGTAAAAAGGAAACGCTTTTACAGAGAATGGAGCCCAACAATCCACTCACCAGCCATGAGCGTGGACCAAGCAATATTTCTGTTATTTGTCGCGGAACAACCAATAGTGTATTAATAATGTCTGAGGCAGCCACATTGGCGATGAGATAATTCGTAATGGTCTGCAATCGTTTATTCGTCTTAATGATGGCAACGAGCAACGTGTTTCCAATCACTGACATCAATAGAAGAACGCAATAACATAGTATTTTAACTCCTTTGATTGCGTTCGTGTCGCTTTGAAACGGTTTGCAGCAGTATGAATTGAATTGTGTTGCATTATTACATGCGAAGTTACTCATACTTGACGAGTAAATGAACCGGTTTTACTTCGAAGTTACCACCCAAGAAATGCAATAGAAAGTGATGTGGTAAATCTTCCAGTCTACGGGGAAAGAAAAAGAAATGAATTTAAGTTTAAGAAATATTTCACTCTGTCTTGAATATTCGCTAAAAGCCGCCTCCTGCCGCGGTTAATATGTGGGTTGGCTGCTTTATAATGTTTACCGACTGGATATCATAACAATGTACATCAATCTGGTTCGCATAGTTGTCTCGATTAATGACCAAACAATTACATAGATTGATTTTCAACGATTACAATAAATGAAAAACTTGTGTTCAACGGAACAAAAGCTCACTTGAGGGGAACCTTAATTGATTGTGGTTTCATTGTGATTCCATTTTTTATCGCGAGCTTCCCGTCGAGTAAAGATTAAACCGCTTACAAATATGATGAAAAAAAAGCCAAACAAAAAGATCGTTTCCCCTTCCTCGTTTTCTTTCTGTTTTCAAGAGTTTCATTGATGCTTTGAAAACTCAAATTATAGGACGCGCAATATGTTTCTTAGATGTGTCATCTTTTGAAAACAACCAAAACACAATTGCACCTTACACAAAATAAATGCCGCATATTTACCGATTGCTGGTGTAATCGCGATAAATCAAGTTACATTGAGGAGTCTTATTAAAAGAAAAATGATTTCTTAGATAGCACTCTTCATCCTGTAAAAGCTCCCAATTGTTTTCTTTGTCATTGTTGTTTTTTTTTAAAAATATGTTTTAACAGGCGTAATCAATTATCATAAGGTAAATTGTATTCGCTTGTAGCGACGTTGGAAGGCAATTGGAAGCACCAGACGCGTGGCATGAAAATTTTGTAAGTTTTGATTTTCTACCATTGCACTCAATCCGGAGAATTAACTTTCAACCGCCCAACCCTCCAAAGGAAAAGAAAAGAAAAAAAAATTACCTTCCTTGTTGAAATAATGCTGCTCGAACATAGCACTGCATGTTATCTGGTTTAGGGAATTTTGTGGTTGATTGTCATATCTAGATTACGAGCAGTAGTTCAGTGTTTGCTAATGTAGCAAAGTAACGTTGGGATAAGAAGGCACTACAATTGAAATGATAATGCTATTACATTTGACAAGGGTGGATGATGTCATGTGTTTTAAATGTATATCATTTTTGCTTCTAGTTCAAAAGAAAAGGTTGGAAGTAAATGTGGGTGAAAAGTGAAATTTACTGTCTATCATTGTAAATATTAGAAAATCAAGGCAATACTGTCTTAATGAAAACATCAACGATTCCCTCTTTATCAAATGAGACAAACGGGAACGAGTTTTGAGGGATATAACTAAGCCAAGACTGCCACCTTCATTTTGGATCTCCGCCTGGGTAGATTTTAGTCACGTGCTAGGCAACGTATAATCAGTAACAAGGTAGAATTTAATTTCAGGCCTATTTATCAATTTTGTGGTGTATAACTTTCGCATTTTAGTACGTAATATGTCATTTGAATCTTCAAATTGTCTTGAAACTTAAAAGAAAATTATTCTTTAAAAATTCACTGAAAATCGGTAGCTAAAATTATTTGTTTAGGTGCTATTTGATTTTCGTGTTAACTTGTAATTTCGTCAGTCGCCGGCATCTTCTGTTGCTTCACACAGGAAAAACACACGATAAGAAACGTAATTAACGCCATAACAGAAAAAGCTTTTGAACATCTGTAAACTCCGAGCGCTTCGCAGTAAGTGATATTTTCAATAAATCTTCGGATTGTTTTCAAGTTCAAGGATTGTAAATTACATCTTTATGGAAAACGAAGGTTGTTCTGTTATTTCAGTGTGAATCCTTACATGCCTGCCAGTCGCTGGCACCGCTTGTTGAAACTAAAACGAAAAAAAAAACTCTTTTAAGATTATCATTGGCTTCTTTTTCACCTCACCACTATTCTTAGCTACAAAGGTCGCCATTTCGTTTGTTTATTGCTCGCCAAAAACTATCAAATGCACACGAAAGCCTAAAATCGAAAAAAAGTTTACAGGAATCGACCAATCGAGCGAACGAGCGAGCGAGTGCTATTCCCCACATCGTATCTACAACTCGCTCTTGCACATGCGCGCAATTCACGAGTTAAAAATGATGAAAATAAGTGCCTTGTCTGTCAGCTGATGTAGATCTTACTATTCACTATTCCGCCTTTTAAAACTCGATCACATTGATTTAAATTCAAAGGAGAACTAGAGAAAGATTCCGCTCTTTTTTTACTCTTCCCTACGAACTAAGATAACGCTAATAAATGCATAGTGCAGCCACCAGGCGTGTCGATATCGTATATTTGGTAAAGATAAATATATCAACTCCCTTGGATGAAAATAGTTACACATAATGATGATATTACTAAAACAGAAATAAGTATAAGATTACAAAAAAAATTACTTCAGTGTTACGAGGAAAGAGACTGTGTTCTTTATGCCATGTCATTTTCTTCCATTAATCCTTGGATATCGAACCTAATACATTTCTTTTCTTAGATAAAGATGTTACTGAGTCCATAAGGCTCAGTGGTAGAGCATCAGAGTACAGAATCTGAAGTTCTGAGGTTCGACTCCTTATTGGGACTTTCTTTGTCCCACGCTCGTGGGACGAAAACCATCTTTCTCTATTTCTTCACCGAGCGCAAAACTTACCATCTCTCCTGTTCTATTTACAAATATTTCTTTTCTTCATAAGAACAACGAATTCAAAATGACTGCATGCCCTTTCCTTTCCAGCCGTCTATGAGACTAAAGGACGTGATGAGCGATTGGAAGAAAGAAATAGAATTAGGATTACGAAAAATTAACTCAGCGTTTTGCGACACAGAGAATGTGTTCTTTAACTCATCGGATATCGGTACCAAAATAATTCGTGATATTTGAAATTATTGCTTACCCTTTCTCTCCTGCTGTTTATATGAGACAAACTGACGTAAAGAGCAATTTAACGTAGATATCAATACATGTGTTTCGAATTAAGTATAAGCTGATATGTCAGAGAGGTAAGCCTACTCAATGTTAATTGACCTACGATGAGCATTCGCTTTTGGTGACGTTGGAAGTTTGTTGACGGACTCAACACCTGCCATCTAGCATGAAAATGATGCGGATTTTAATATTTTTGGCATTGCCATAGATACTTAAAATTGAATTACAAGATTAAAATTTACTTTGAAAAAAGGGCAGCAATAATTTATCACAGAAATCCTACAAAAAATGTAGAGAAGAAGTCAAGACTAGGCATGAAACAATTATGTTGAATACGAGAGTGGTAATGCATTTGTGAAATTATATTAATGCACGGGACATCATCGCAACATTGACTCGGATCAGATATGCTAATAATAGTTTTGATCTCGAAAATTCAACATGGAAGGATAAGAGTAACATTCTTAAAAGTCCATTTAACTAATTGACAAGCTTGCTCAATATGCCGCAAAATCCTGAACATACGTGCTAGCACGTAACAAATTGACATGTTTAATACACCGTCGAAATAAAGATAGACGGATTCATGGCACGTCTAAATGTAGTGAAATATAATAATTCCAGTCAGGTAACAGGGACAAACCGCTTCGTACACAAAGTACAAATAAAAATTATCTAGATGAATCCATAATATAATACTACGATTTCCCAGAGTTCAGTGAAATTCATTAATAGTTCGCCGGGGGCACACGCTTTCTTAGTATCTGTGAATATATCTATAAGCTAGATAATTATGCTAGGTACTAACAGTATTTATGGATTATTTATGATGTTACTTTGATATCCTGAAAGAAGTTCGTCAAACACCGTTCGTGTTACTGGAGAAACAACTTAGTGTCAATTCCTTGAATATTTCACTAATATCATTCCGGGAAGGTTTTATTAAATTCATACAAGGGCACCATTTGTCCCGATATATTATTTATCTCCACTACGTGGCTATTGTCAAAAACGCAGAATTAATCAGGAAGATTTAAGGTGTTTTTTAAGAATTGTACTGGGCATAAAAATCACCTAATCAGGCGAATAAGCGGGCGCGCACTCTAAGAACATGGTACTGTTTTTCAATAAATGGACCAGGTAAAGATGTACGATGGTCCTTAGCTTGTGAACGAGCATGGTGTACAAATTTTACCCTTTAAATTGGAGGAATTAAGAAAAAATTCATCGAACGGATAATACAAGATATGATTAAGAGCGTGCACAAAGTCCATTACTCGATGACGCAAACTATGACAATGAAAGAAACGACTCGAGGAACGTTTTGATTGGATATTGTTTAAAATTGCGTTTTAATAGCTCTATGCGTTTCCTGATTCTTAGAGCTACATCTCCCCCTCGGCATAACATGAATGTATTACTCAGTTCAAATTAAAACGTGAATGAACTCCTGTCGAGGATTCCTCGCTAAGAGGTCGCACTAGCTGGTGATTTCACGTTTTTGTTCTGTATGGAACGGCTACGAATAGTCAATTTTACAGTTACGTGCTCGGTTGCCAAACCTTTGATTAAGAGTGAGGTTAAGGGTGACCTTGTTATGAGACAAACGTTGCCGCTTTTCAGATGTAAATTTCTTTATCATGCTAACTAGATACTGGTCTCTGTCACAACAAGGTCACCTTCAGCATCACTCCAAATCAAAGGCTTGGCATCTAAGTACACCACTGTAAAATGGCCTATTATATCCAATGTAGAGAAGACATAGTCCATCCTCAACATGGATCCTTCTCTACCTTGACAGGAGTGACGTGCGCAGATTTTTCGGGATTGGCAATCAGATAGGAAAATGTACTGCTCACCTCGCATGGAAACTAAAAACCAGCACGAGGTATTTGAAGGAAACAAACAAAAAAGAGTGCATTTAAGAAACAAAATGGGAGTTAAGTCAACTTCAGTCCCCACTCACTGTAACCCTTCGGGGACGACGACACCTTCTGCAGATGCCTCTTTTTTTGGGACTAAAAACCAGTTGTAAAGCAAGGGGAGAATCCCTGTAGGGTTCAACGGATTTGTATAAACTTCCTTCGAGAGCTCAAAGAACTAGGAGAAGACTGGCGAACATTCACTTACCCTCGGTCATGTGCAAGGAAAGGAGTTGGTCATTCCTTCGTTTCGACAGATTTCCAGATAACATTCAAGCATGTAATGGAGGAATCTCTGAGGGTCACAAAAAAAGCAAGTAAATCTATTCAGTGGTGTGGCTAAGTAAACAAAAAAATAAAATAAATATAAAAAAAGGGCAAGGCGCGTATGATACCAACACCCTTACCATATCAAAAGTTTGGCTCGGAATGAAGTAAATTTCACAAGACCTAACGCACCAAGGGATTCGAATAAAACTATAACAAGAACTTGGAATGCTTAACTACCAAAAGGTCAAAACCTTCTCGTATGATTTCACGGTTTTAATGAGGAAACTTTACAAGTTCGATGTCTAAATATGATAACAGTTTTGTTCATTAACGGTATCGTTTTCCTCCTGCTGCTCATAAGGGAGGCGGACTTCGAAAAAACATTTAGTTCCTTCAGTATTTTCTGACGAGAAATTATAACCGTTCAATTTCCCTTCTCTTCAACGGTATAGCAACACGGGAAATGGACACATTTCAAACCTCTATCCTATTTTTACACATTCCTATACATTTACCTTTGATGTATAGGAAATATGTGCACAACAAAAAACACCTAAGTAGATTGAAACACCGTTGTCAATTATAGGCTAGAGTAATTTCACGATGAAAAACATATGAACTGTTTTTAAACCAAATACGTCCAGAAAATTGAAATAAAAATAATGTTTCATTCATAATAATAATAATAATAAAAAAATTCAAACTAATCCCAATAAAATAACGTAATAAAGTCTAAAACTAATTACAGTCACTCCCAGAAAGACTTAAGTAAAAAGACTTATTAAACTAAAGGTATTAAAATACTAATGATATAATAATAGGAAATAAGTCGAGAGAAGTTTGACTTCCAAGTACTGATAAAAATGTAAGGTTTCAGAGGTTTTGAGAACGGGAAGGGAAAATTTAGACACTCCCCACTCATGTTCGCATGATGTTAAATTTTCATGAGCGGTGTTTAGATAATACGCATACAGCACCCAACCGAGAACGTGCAAGTTAAAAAGCAGTATTTTTACGACGAGAAATGAAAGGTTATAGCATCTGATAAAATTTGACATTTTGCCAACTTGATCAATACCATTGGTTAGGCCTGTCCCGATTGTGCCGGGCAAATTTTGAGCAACTTTTTGCGGTTCTTTTAACTTCGAGCAATTTTCGCCTTCCTCAGCAATTTTTGGGTAAAATATATGTTTAGAGCTCATATCGAGCACAAAAATGTCAACGATTTCATTGCAAATTTCAATTTCTGCAAATTTCTTAATTGATGATCAACCTTCTGAACACAAACGAAGGTAGTGTTTTATTATGTTCGACTTAAGAGTATCCTTAGGTTTCACCCATACTAACGAGCAGCTCTTAAAAGCTCAGTTTTAAGTACTATTTCAAAAACGAGTGCGAGGGTTTCATCAGGGTTTCCAAACACGAGAAAACAGATGAAAGCACGAGGCCGTAGGCCTCAATCGCGCCTCAAGAATAAAAGAAAACGGAAATATTCACGAATTTTTCACACGTTGTTGGCAAGTTTGTTGTTACGAAAAATTGTATTGTTATGGTAATTTGTCTTTTCAGAAAGGGTGCGAGCTACATTTATTGACCGATGTTGGAAATCACTGTGAAGAACGAGTAATAAAACTTTTAACAGAGTCCACATAAAAACATCAAGAAATTCAGGAAGCAACTTCTGAAATAAGGCAACTTTTTTTATTTTTGACAACTTTTGTGCATTAAGCGAGCACAATCGGGACAGGCCTACCACTTGTGTTGTATTTATTTTCTATTAAACAAGTGAGCTAAAATTCGACTCGATTAATTGAGCGACTCGATCGATCGACGTAGCTGTAATACTCAGTTTCCCCGCGACTCAATCGAACGAGTTGGTTGGAATATGGTGACGAGAAAACAGGAATAAATTAGTTGAATGAAAAGCGCTCGTTGATTCTGTGGGGATTAAGGGTGCCGATGTGGAAGATAAATTTTTGTCGCAGTGTTTTACGGCTTTCCGAACTGCCTAGAACTGTAAGCAAAGGCTGCAGACTGCCATATGCTGTTTAGAATGATTAGGGAGATTAAAGTGTCTAGCGACGGGTTTGGATGCGTCCTTCTTTCCAAGTCGCGAAGGTGTTCTCGGAATCGGCCACCTAGTCGTCTTCCTGTTTCGCCGATGTATAACTTATTGCAATAAGTGCAAGTTATGCAGTAAATAACATTGACGAAGGTACAAGTGACCAGTGATCTTAATGGATCTCTTGGGTCCCCGATATTTTCTCTTACGCTCGAAACGTCAGCTTTTTTACCCTTTACGGTGGCTAATTTACGTTTTCAACTCAGTTTACCCTTTACGGTGGCTAATTTACGTTTTCAACTCAGTTGTTAACACTAAATTACCAGCTATACTCTCCCACCGACGCAGCACCACAGTTTCTTTCGAAACTTACCCCTTTATTCATTTGTCATTTATATATAGTATAGTATTCTGTATCGAAAGGACTTGAAGTAATGTAAGTATGTAACGAATCGACTTGGACTTGTATCGAAACGACTTTGTATCGAAACGACCGTGAACCGCCTAAATGACACAAACGCAAGCGACTGGATGGAGGAAAAAACTAAGTAGTACTAGTAGGACTTCAAAACACTAAAACAATTTGAGCTACGCGTTTTCCGCAGATCACACTCAACCTCGGCACCTCAGTGATTTCTAAGACGCTTTCTTCTGATGTGTCAATAGATTTTCGCCGACTGAACATGTCGAGATTCAAATATTGGAGCATAGTATATAACATGAACGAGACTTACTCTGAATTCCTGCTTATTTCTAAACTGCGATGAGATGGGACGCAGTCTGACTTCCGTTTTTCTTCCTTTTCTTTCGGCCTAAGTTTACCATGGCGATGGCAATCGTTCCGATTCTGCAGTGTGAGGTATTTGATATTCAAGCTTTGAGACGCTACGTAGCTTTACTACAGAAATAAAAACTGTTTCTATCATTTTTGTTTAAATGACAAATTTCCATATGCATCCAAGAACAACCTTCTTCGCATTCGGATTCAGTTGTAATTTTGCAATTGTGAACATTATTTCGTATTAAAAATTGAACTGTAACCAGGATATGACATAGTAAAAAGGTAAAAAACGTTCTCTGGTTAAAAAGGTTTTAAAATATGAGCTTTCGGCTATTATACTATAGCCTTTAACGAATGTAAAAAATAAAAAATAAGCGCGTGAATGGAAATATATACAGGGGAGGGTGTGAAAAAGTTAAAAACTAAAAAATACAATAGAAGTGTGAAAAAGAATTGTAAGTGAATTAAAAGAATTGTAAATTTTCTGCTCAGAAGCGTGAAACGAACGAATTTCTGGCATGTACGATACCATGTAGTAGTAGCCTGCTGAAATCGTTATTTACTAGAATTAACGACCAGAAAATTGCATAGGTTTAGGTTAAAATTTTAAAATTCTGAAATTGTTCGGTTTTAAAATAGTCTTCTATTGAACAATACTTTTAGGAAACATCAACACTTAAAATTAATATCAACCAGTCGAAAACCGAACCGAAAAACTTACAAATTTCTTGCATTTACGAGATTTACTGCTCAAGTGCCACTCTCGCTAAGAGCGGTCCTCTCGATTTCCTGTCGGAAAAAAGTTTTCTTTTATTTTTTGCCCATGAAAAGGGTTTAGGACACATGTTTCAAAAATAGTTTAGTTGTTCTCCAATTCTCTTTTTTTGCGTCGCCACAAGCCAAAAATCATTTTTGGCCAGACCACCCCTGTGAACAGCGATCGAAAGTGTCAATTTCAAAGATTTTGTCCAGCGCGCAGCGACTGCAACAATGTAGCTCACGGAATTCTATCTTGCTACAAGTTACAAGGTGTATTCAGTTAGTTCACAGACAAAATATGGAAACTTCAGCTGAAATATTTATCATACCAGCGTAATCAGAGGAGACCCTGCTCTTCGACCTTAATTTGCATATCAAAAATTCACTACTTTGTACGAAAGAATTCTCAAAATGCAGGCGTTAATCGGGCCGAAAAAGCATATCAGTGCATAGTTTGTACACTAATGAGGTCACGGATTGCCTCAAACCCGCGGGTGTATCTCTAGCTTCCATCCACCAGCTTCTTAAAAAAAGGCAAATCCATGTGTTTGTTCAATTGCGCTCGTGTCAAATATCATTTGCATGATTCTTGGAATTGACCAAGATCTCCTTTTGACAGTTCAAACTTCGTTCGTTTATCTTCTACGTTAAGAACTTTAGGTTTTCACAGCAACTGAATGGAGATTAGATGCCGAGTTGTCCTAAAACGTTGAGTAAACGTGATCGGTCGTAACGCTTGCGCGCTTGCGTGACTTACAAAGTAGACAAAGGTGATTCGGAAGGCGCCTTCTCGATAATTTACGTTGAAATATCAGGTCATGAACTATGCACAGTGTGGAGAAGATCAAAATTAAAGAATAAAATTTGGCACTCTGGTCATAATAGACATATCGCGTTGCTTCAAAGGGCACAAAAACAAGTTAAAATAGGTTGCAGTGTTTATATTTACAAAACAACACGCATACACTCCGAAATAATTCTTGCAGTTTCTCCCAAGATTTAGTATACGGAACCCGATGAACTAACCCTCTTTCTATAAATTTGTTTCCATCACTAATGATGTTACGCTCTTATGGACCACAACGGTTTTGAGCGACAAATTGGACATTTCCCTGAGACCATCAAAATTAACTGGACAAACCCAGCTTGATATATTGCGTGACGTGATTGTGCAAACTTTTCTCTACGAGTTAGAACCAAAATTAGTTAATTTAACGAGTTAGAATCGAAAGTTATTCAAATGGAACGAAGAATTTTACATTTTAATGAGAATTTTATCGTTTAAATGTTTACTTGATTCACGGAAAGCAAAGATTGGAGTGGCTTTGGGTATTTCAGCCCTGATTTGGAAAAAATAAAACAGTTAGTGGTATGTTCTAAACACCAGAACACCTGAAAGGACACTGGAAATGTAGTAAAAATATTTTTTAGCATCCAGAGCAAAAAGAAGAATGTGAGGCAGTGAAAGGAGACTGAGTTTTCAACGCCATCTGTCGTAAAAGCTGCCACCAGCTTGTTATTGAACTCACTAAAATTTACCTGGAAGGCATTAACTTTTTTTGTCGCGAAACTCGTCGATTTTAAAACTTTGAAACGACGTCCGATGAATCCTGAAACTGGAGTTTGAGTCCATTGGTAAACTATGCCAGCTGGTCTCATGAGCAGATCAAGCTCTTACGAATTTGACAGTTTTGAAGTTTTAAGCGGATGCAAAAATCGAGACAAAAATTCGTCATGACACAATTTGTCCTTTGATTTTGTCGAGAGAATTCTGGTTTTGTCTGCTATTGCAGATAGCCCAGATAGGCACTTACGAACCAATTGTTTAGTTAAATAATAGCCTTCACTCTCGAGAAATTGCAAATATATTACTCATGTGATACGAATACAACTTAAATTCCGAAAACTTCAAAAACATCTCCAGTCAGTCTGGCTTTCTTTTACTGCCTCACATTTCCCCTTGTGCTGTGGCTGTTAACAAGTACCTCCACCGCATTTCTAATGTTTCTTAAAGTGTTCAGATGTTTAGAACATACCAATAACTGTTATATCTTTTTCCATATCGTGGTCAAACTGACCGGAACGAAACAAAATTAACTTGTAATCGAGGATTTCGCTGGATAGCTGGTAGTACTTCGAATAACTCGATACGTCGTCCCAGGAGGGAAATCAGGGCTTAAATATCCAAAGCTGAAACTGGAGTTTGAGGACCGCTCTTAGCGGGAGCAGCACTTAAATTGTTGTTTACTAGAATTTACGACCAGAAAATTGCGCAGCTTCGTGGTGAAAATTCTGAAAATGGTAGTTTCAAAACATTGAACAACACTTTTAGGCCATACCAAAACTTCAAAATATTATTTTCCGTTAAATGAAGAGTACCAAACGTCGCAAAGCCTCAGTTGAAGTCAGAAAGCTTAGTTTTGTTTTCAGTAATGATTCGCATCGCGTTTGGGAATAAAGTATCGTAAACTTCAAAACTAATTTGGCCGCTTGAAAGAACTACGTGCTTATTATTTTTCGAAAAGAGTATTATTTAGCATATTTCCTTTGCATTTTGAGATCCAAAAGGTCTATCTCAGTCGGGATAGAGCGCGAAAACAATCTTACAAGTTTTGAGACTTCGCGGCTAAACTCAACTGGAACTTTCAGCCGAAGTGAATATGCACAATTCATGTGTTGGATACAAGACCGTGCAGTACATAAGGATATTTACTATGCATTGTAGCTCTCTAGGAGATACTGAGGTAGGCCTTGCGCGCACTATGTTTTAGAATCGCATAGCTAAAGGTAAACTCGCGGTCTGATTTGCTATCGAAGAGAGGGCATTTAGCGTGGAATTGCACTTGTGCACGAAGGGATATTGCTGACGTGGTCGCGGGCAAAAATTGTTGCTATCGTGAAAATTAAAATGCAACTCGTACTACGAAGAACATCACCTTGGAAATGAACAGAAAAATGAACTGTACAGAAAATGAATGTCTGCCAAATTTTAAATTTAAATTTAAATTTTTAGAAAATTTTAAGGAAACCCCTCACACTCAAAGGACGAGAAAAAGCTTTGAAAAAAAAAAACAAATTGGCAGAAAATTCAAGAAAAAATTCACTGCAAGACGAGTGAATTCCACGTTAAATTTCACGCGAAAAACCGATATCGCAGGAATCGCGAAAAACCGATATCGCGCGAGTCGCGATATCGGTTTTTCGCGTGAAATTTAACGTGGAATTCACTCGTCAGGCAATGAATTTTTCTTTAATATCGCTTTGAGCACCTTGGTCACGTCTGATATACTCTAAAATACTCTCTACGCTCAAGTGAGGCCGAATGATTCATGACGAAAGGCAATTGATGATTAATGAAGAATGACATCTTTAGTTTCAAGTTGGAAGCTTCAACAGTTAAAAAAAATAAACTGAGTAGTTTAACATTTCTTTCTTCTGATGTGTTTCGGGCTACAAGAAATCCTGTGAAAGCCGGAAAAATTAGTAATTTAAACAATACATGATACAGACAAACGACATTATATCATTTTCAATAATGTTTTTACAAACAAACCTAAGCTGAGTCAGTATCTCCTCGGTGTAATTACGAATCAAATAACATTACCAATGCGATTTTAAAAAGGCATCTGTCAAATCTTGTATTTTTCTGAAGGCGACGAGCACTGTCTTTTCGTTCTGTCTTTTTCTTTTCTGTTTTAAATTCGCTTTGAAAATTTCAAATGTTCAAATAAGCGAAATCCTTCCGATCTTGAGCCAATCGTTATAAGACTCAGTCCATGTCTTTGACGAAAAGATGCGGGGATCTCTGTCCAACAGCGAATGAACAAAAATTTGCATTTGAAATTAGCACCGAAAAAAATAGAGAAAAAAGACAAAATAAACAGCTGCTGCAACAAACTGTGTGATAAAATTCTGTTAAAAACGCGCTGTCTTTGGTTGAAAGGGCGTGCTGTATCAGGGTACAAGCCTTGAACTGAGCTAAAGCTACCACGCCATCTGCCAAATAGTACTATGTCCGACCATTTCCCGGACTTCTCTCTAGCTCATTACTTGAAAGTAAAATTTCGGAAGAAGCGAGCCGGCAAGTAGCAACGGAAAAACCAAACAAAAGTTTGTAAACATGCCAAGCGCCTTAATTTACGTTGTTATAACGTGAGCTTGCGGAGACAAAAATCCATGCTTACAGAGAAAACGAAGTGGACAGTCCGAGTTTTAAGGTTTTCACGCTTACTTAGATTTCAAGCTTACGAACGGTAACAAAGATAAAAAACAGCTAACACCCGTATAGTATTTATAGTTTCGTGTTTAAAGACAATACAAAACAAAACAGGAATGATGAAAACTATAGCCAAACTGGCACGAGTATTAAAATTCATACTGAAGAAAAATTCATGCTCAAGAAGTAGGGAGAAACACCCGACTAAGTCTCGTGTTTCTCCCTACACTTCTTTCGTGCTCTAGCCGCTTCCTGTTTACTATACTTTACTACAGTATCGAGCACAGTCAAGGCCTCTCTATTAGTTAAATGGGTAGTTTTTCTATATCGCCTCATCATACACGTTTAATAATATTTGATCCTGTTTCTGACACCGTGTAAAATAAGTTTTTCTATTGCTTCTCCTTTTATTAATTAATTTATTAGCAAACTTGGAGATAAATTGAGAAAAAAGAAAGACGATGTCAACGGAAATGCAATCGCACCAAATTTACAGCAATCGTCATTATCTAGATAAAATCACCTTAGAAACATTTAAAACACAAAGACCCCGACCACGCTAAATGTAAATTTACTCCCGAAGTAGGCGTGCGCGGGTGTGTGTTTTTGTGTATTTTGATTATTTTCTTCCAATTGTAACCTTTCTGGGTTAATTTGAATTCTCAACCATTATCCGAAGAATCATCTTGGGATCATTTATTTAAGAGTATCTTTAAAACCACAACAGTCCACCTAATCGAAAAGGCGACGCTACGAAAGTCATCAAAATTCCGTTTTCCGTTTTGAGGTTTCAACCGTCAAGGTGTCATAGCAACATCTTTAAATGGTCAAAGGGCTGTCACGGAACCAGGAGAACTAAAAGAAAATGAAAACAGATCATGACCAAGGTCTGACGATTCATGAGTCATTACTCAATTTGAATATTCAGCACTCACACTGAGATTTTCTTAATAGACAACGCTTGAAAACCACGACATTCAAATTGCAAGTTCAAGAGAATAGTCATGAATGTAACAAGCGCATCGCTAGAGGGAGAAAACAGTTCATTCGAGACTACAACAAGCAGTGCAGCTGAAGCACTAGTATCGTACGTATCTGACTGTGGTAATAGTACAAGTGAGACCATAATTCCAAAGGCAGTCACGATGTCATTTTATTGCGTCGTTCTGTTTCTCTCAGTTCTTGGGAACTCCCTGCTTATCTTTATCATCAAGAGAAACAAGCGGATGCAAACAATAACCAATTATCTGATCGCCAATATGGCAGTATCTGACTTATTATTAATAGTTCTGGCAACACCGCGACAAATAATAGAAGAATCGTTTGGGCCTCGAAGATGGCTCATTAGCGGAAGCTTCGGTTCCTTTCTCTGCAAAAGTCTTTCTTTCTTCCAAGATATTTCAACAGCGGTGTCAATTTTGAGTCTCGTCGTCATAGCAATCGACAGATACAGAGGAATTGTGTTTCCATTGCGAAAACCATTCATAAAGCCGGCTAAACTCTACAAAGTAGTCATACCGTTGATATGGCTCTTCTCGATGAGTCTTCACGCACCTTACTTCTACATTTATGGCACAACCACGACTGATGACAAAACATATTGCAATCAGTTGAGCTGGGGTCCTAAATTAGATTTTAAGAAAAGTCAAAAAATATTTTTTATGATAGTATTCATTTGCGTTATAGCTATTCCTGAATGTATCGTCATATCACTGTACTCTGCTATCATATTCAGTCTTAAAAGAAACGCAATTGCAACATATCAGGGTTCTTCAAATAGCATGGCAGCTCGAAGGCTACAGGAGGACATAAAAGTTGTGAGGAACATTATTGCTATACTTATTGCCTTTTGTGTATCTACTAACCCGTTTATCGTAGCGGCTTTCATGTTTCATTTCGTCTGGGATTTCAAAATACCTTGTAATATGAAGGTTTTCGTCTTTGTAGCCCATTTAATATTTTATTTGCATGCATTAGTAAATCCTTTCATTTATTATATTTTCAACGACAAATATCGACAGAGTTTTCTGAAAATCTTCCGCCAAGTCTCTCTCTCCTTCAGTTGCAAAAAGAACAGAAAAAAGAAGAAAAACTCACGGAATTTGATCGAAACTTCAATGTGACCAACGACAGATAACTGCAGACTCCTAGAAATAATTCATTTTATCCTTTCGTAAGTGGATTCACACCGAAGACCGGTAAATGTTGTCAAATAACGCACTGAATTTTTCAAGAGCTGGGGTACAAAGGTACTCATTTCTTATTTCGACATCACCTTGACAAGTTCAGCAGTAAACAATTTTCACAAAAAATAAGAAAACTTTCGTTCGAATTCACGGTTTCAGTGAATGATATTCATAGGGCTGATACATAAATATGCAAATAACGACTCTTTTAATAACTGATGGTATCGATCACTAGTTTATAAGTGTTAGAGAAGTTGGTTGTTTCGAAACTTTCTGTTCACTTTTGTTTTCTGACAGAAAAGGATGTCTGTTATACTTGTGTTAAAAGAATCAAATGATATAAATACAATTCCCTCTAAGAGTTAAACGTCACGGAAAATGGAGATTTGGAGTTACTCATTATCTATTCAAGGATAATCTTAAAGGGAAGTCGCATACTGCATATAACCGGGAGAAAATATGATGTACATCATGTGCTTCATTTTCATTGCTTTTGTTTGTGTTCTAATCAGTTTATTTTTCTCACGCTCGTGACAGGATGAAAAACATCTTTCTGAACTTGTAATTAGATGCATAAGGAGCGTATTGGTAATTACAAACAATGTTGATTATGAATCGAAACTTTCAGTTTTGAGGACCGTTCTAGAGCGAAACCGGAAAAGATGATCTTTGTTTCAACCCGTAATCTAATTTTGCTAGCAGGCAAGGGGTGATTTGGAGGAAAAACTTACTCCGCGATCGAGAACGAAGATAGAATTTCTTTCGAAGTGACACAAAGATTCTGTAGGAAAAACACGGTTTTTCTTTGATTTTCAGATTGAAATTTGCCTAAACAATGATCAGAAACTGAAAGAAGAAACGATGAAGCACCATTTTCTCTGCTTAATTAAAAGTTGCTCTAAATGGTACACTAAAGAAAAAGAGAACAGCTTTCTTGTTTAAGTTGACGGTGTTCTAGACACCAGTTGAGAAAAGCAACATGTGTTAAAAGCAACTGTAGGTCAGGGTCACCGGTTCATGTTTGTGTGGAAAGTTACAATCAATTTGGAAAGTTCGGTTCCCTCAAAGCTTTCTGGTAGGAAATGATTGCTGCTGTATTTTAACACAAATTAAAAAAAATAATAATAAAAATAAATAATTTTAATTTTATGCCTTTCATAATTATGGGTGATATAAAGGAAATACTTGTGCGGTAGACAAGTGATATGGCTGACGGAATAACTGTTGTCAGTTAAAAGTATTTTCAAGATAAAATATAATATGTTTGGATGTTCTGGGCAGATTTTAACCCAAAAACGTTTTTTTAAAACATTTCCCCATTACTTGCTTAACTCCTAGACCAAACATGATCAACAAATCAATCAATATATGGTCTCCTTGTCTGACATGAGAGTTCTAAAGGTGGGTTTTCACAAGGATGATGTGTAAAATTGCACGTAATGACCTTTTAAGAAATGCGAAGGAAGACAAATGTTACGTCATAACTTTTGATCTTGTCAAGTCTTTCAGGAAGAAAACATCAACACCAAGAGTGAAGGTCATTTTGCAGTCTTATAACGCTACGCAAACCGGGAATCTACGGATTAACACTCTTTTATTTTTCATTGAACTAGTTTTGGTTATTACAGGCTTTTATGGGGGAGAGCTGAGCAGACCACGCTGTGCGTGAGATTTTGCGCTGATCTCACGTAATTGCATGTTTGACTACGACGACGATCCTTAGAGAGTGTGGGTGATGGAAATAATTCCTTGTCCTTTCACGTTCCGCCTTATTAAGTCGTTTTTTCCAACAACTCTGGAGCTTTAACTTTAGCCCAGCTTTTGACTAGTTTGAGGAAAGATAAAACTGGAGACATTTTCCAGAATCGAATGTCCTCGGCATAACAGCTTAACCAAAACTCCTCTTTACGAGAACTTCTAAATCAGACATAATTGGAAAAAAAACCATGTCTCCAACCTTGACATAATAGTTACAGAGAAAATTGTCTCAAAAACCCATATTAAAAATTATTTAAACTTGTCCATCTGTGTGGAGATAGCTTATGGCAAGCACGCACACGGTCAAGGTCAGAAGCTTCAAAGGTGAACAAAACATGATTGAAAAAAACAATCAATCCTGAATCAGCCGCGGCGGACACGATCACTAGAATTTCGCTTCTCGACATTCTACAAGAGCTATCGATTAGGTCGGAAGTTTCGGTTCTACCATTGCTTCAAGAAATCCAGAAAATGTTCAGTTATGCTAATATGTGTAACTCATTTACATTTTATCTGCATTCGTTGGTAACCCTCGTAACTAGATGGAAACACCAATGTGACAAAAGAAAAATTCGCGCAAAACCCTTTTGGAAATTAATAATCATTTGTTAATCTATCCATTTCTAATTTTACAAATGCATTAACATCGGCAGCAGAGTGATTGTTGACGAATTTCAGACTGAATTTCATTTGGCCTATGTTCCAGAGGATCCAAATATAACTTCGAGGTGACTTTCGAAAGTTCGGTAATCCCACCTTAACAAATACTCTTAAACGATAAGATAATTTTCTTCGGAGTTGACGGTCTAAATGAAAGAACTTAAAAAGGCCGATGCGTCACTTGCAAATTATGAAACTTTTTTTAAAAAACTGATGATGTAGGCCACCTGTTAGTGTTTTTAAGGGGAAGTGATGACGTCGGAAATTAAAGTTGTTTCCATGCTTTCCATCCCGGAAGACTCACGGGGATAAAATTGGACATGAAGAAGAAAGAACTACTATTAAAGCTTCGCATCCCTTCCGATATTTGAGGGTAATTTTACGGAAATAGGCATAGAGCATACCAAAGAGAGTGTCAGTACCTTGATCATGATAAATTCCATTCTTCATTCTCATGGACAGAGTCTATTCCATTGGCTAATCCAGACTCCATAGTAAAACTTTTGATATCTAATTTTTACTAGTTTCAGAGATAGTTTTAATTCCCTATTTGTCTAGTATTTCCCCCAAAACAATTATTTTTGTGTTTCGTTTGAATATTTTTTACCAAATATATACTGTGACCTAAGCTTAGAAAATTAAGAAAGAAGAAAGTAATCGTTTTGGGTTGCCTCTCGTTCTCGTAATGTATAGTAAAGTAAAACTGTTAAGAAGGAGTAGATTTTTTTTCCAGCTCAAAGGCTGTAATTCGATGCAGTCATCTAAACACTCATTACATTACTATGGAAATTGCAGCTCTAAATTACAGAAGACTCCTAAAATTGGAAAGCGAATATAAGTTTCCTTGTCTTTCCTGTATTGAAAACTTTGTTTATCAACTGAGTTGCCAATGTCATATAGCCACGGAAAAGAGATTCTGAAGTTGACATTTCAAGGATTAGCCCTTCGTCAAGGGCAAAACTACTCTGGAAAACAAACAAATACTCAATATGCAACTAATCTCTGGGAAAATAAAAATTCCAGCAGACTTAAAATACCTAAATGCCTTCAGTTTCTCAAAAACAGTAATATTCAGATTTATTGTCAGAACAGCAATCCGAACATTCGTCTTGGTATCTACCTGTCCCCCCTTATCGTTATTATAATCATCATTATAATTTTGTTTAAGCATAGTTCTGCTCTCCCTGTTTGTCTCATTTAAGCAACTTAAATGAGACTCAGAAACTTGCTGACTCGGAAACTTGATAGTTCTTTTACCCAATGGCTCTTCTTTTATTTCTATTTCTTGGTGTGTATTTTCTATCTTCTATGATAAAAATCTGTAAATGCACAAAAGTGAATAAAGTATTATTGTTATTATATGGATATGGAACTCAGACTTCAAATTATCTAAATGTAAAGGTAACTCCGTAATTTGTTTTAATGAATTTTCTTGACAAGATATCACAGGAGAGCGCCATCATTATCATGAAAAGCCGCCAGTACAATTAATCGGTGATTTCGATTCGACCACATCGCAATTATCAAGGATCTACGATACGAGGCAGGTGCTTAGTGGACTTGCCCCAAAAAATGAAATAACTATCTTTGACATTTTCTGAAAAACATACGTCGATCGTAGAGATAGCAACATTATCAGTATTCCGAACACAGCTATAACGAAAAAAAAATAAAAAAGAAAGAAAGAAAGGAACAAAACTAAAAGATGGGTAAAAGATATATATACAGAATATGATTTTTATTTGTTACACTTTTATCAGGCCCCAGGTGTTTTCCTCAGCATTTCATTAGCCTCCAGAACCGGAGGAAAAAACATTTCAACAAAATAAAAAAGGAAACAATGGAAAAGAAAGGCTTTACACAATGAAACAGCTTTAGCAATTGTGATGGCCCATAACTTAAACTCACTTTTCATCTGCAGCACACGGCCACCAACATAACGATAAAGATCTCGTCATGTTGCCTTTGTAATGTTTTCTCAAACCCACAAATCCTAAATCAACTCCAACTGTTTTTCTTCCGGCCCCCTTATCACCATTGATCTTTTTAATATTTTTTCCAGCTTGAAAACGATAAGTTTAAGATCTCATGGTAACATCTGAATGTTAATGCAAACCTTTTCTTTGTCTACCACAGATCATTTCGGTCTATGTATATTATTGTTCCTTATTTTCCTACCGCTGAATTTTCGCAATCTTCGAGGTTGTCAAAAATCGTGAAATAAGAGACCCACGTAAAAAGGTTTTCGCAAAAATCAACCACGCAAAATTGAATACACTTGACTAGGAGTAAGGGAAAGCGCTATGTTGCCAAACGTTGGGAGAAAGCTAACTACTGGGGTATTAACGATATGTCTGCTCTTCCATTCGAGGATCCCTTTGAAGAAATTGACAATAACCTTTATCAGCTGTAAGTGCAAACAGACGGTGTCATGTTCTCTTGTTCAGTGTCATTGAAAACTGTTGTTTGGGAAAATCAATTCAGTGCTGGTAACTGTTTGATAATGCAGATCAGTATTTTAAATTTCTTTGCGAAATTTAGTTCCTTTCAAAGTAAATATTTTTGCAAAATGAGTTGCGAAATTAAAGTCCTGCGAAATATGCCCGTTCCATTTTCGCAAATTAAGTTCACGCGAAAATAAGTGACTAAAAGATAGTTTCGTCTCCCGGCGAGAGAAAAGAAGGAGTACCAATATAATAAACATGAACATCTTTTTTTGGATCTATTAATCTTGGCGATGGAAGTCTTTCTAGCGCTATACTAATTTTTCCTTAAAATCCGGCTTTTAAGGTTATTTCGTATTTTTTTTTTCCAATTTTTGTAATTCTTATTTTTTCTTCCGTTTCACGTTGTGCCGTCAGTTCTACCATCATAAAATTAAAATCTTCTTCACAGAAAGTTGATTTTGTGGTTATAACAGCACAGCATTTACTAGTTGTGAAAACGACAATTAAACTTCTTGCTTGGTTTCTCCTTCCATTTCAACCGAGTCAGTTTTTTTGTAGTCTCTAAAGCATAAAACATTATTCGTTTCCTGAAGTTCCGTTTCACACCAAATTGAAAACCCAGGTGTTATATTTTTCATACAAGTTTTTATTCATATCTACTGCTCAGATCATACATCTCAGCTCTTTGTAAATAACTGGATCAGAAAAATGGTTATATAAAAAATTTCGTCTTATCATACAAAAGTTTGTTATGCAATAGCATACACACACATCACAATTTCGTTTTCCGTTTAAAATCAAAGTAAACGAAAACTGCGTCCTCGTTTTGAAACGAATCTAGTGTTGAACTGACTTCAAGCTAGGTTTTATCCCACATGATGACTCGTTTAAGCATGATTTTGGCCAGTTGTGGGAAGAAACTTCTGCATGCTGATATGCAAATTCAATGAAAAATCGTCAGTTGCACTCGGAAACAACTATGATCTGCATCCTTGGAAAATTTTTACTAAGATTACATTCGCTATTAGTTCAAGGCGACAGCTCGATTTGGTGACACCTTGGCGTCCAAATACACGCTGTGGCCAACTTCAATTCATGTTCTCCGATCACATCTTTCTTCACGTGGAACTCATTAGCATTCATCACCACACCCAGGAACAAAAGAGATTACAATTCAAATAAAACACAAAAACAGCAAAAAAACCATCCACGTCAATACCTAAAATGGCCTTTGAAAAGGAGGAAAAGAAGCTTCTAAGGAAGAGCACAGGTAAATCTTACCCCTGTATATCACCTCTATTTCTCCGCGGTTTCAGAAAAAAACCATGAAACGAGTCTTCTATCGTTCAGTTAAATTTGGACCACAGGATCATAGCATTAATGAAAAAAAAACCACTCTGTAGGAAATTAACTGGGCTTTCATTTAAAGACACTGGGCGAAATTAACGCTCACAATTCTCTCTAAGAGTTAAACGTCACGGAAAATGGAGATTTGGAGTTACGCATTTTCTATTTAAGGATAATCTTAAAGGGAAGTCGCATACTGCATACACGCGGGAAAAAAGATGAAATAGATCATGTGTTTCATTTTCATTCCTTTTGTTTTGTGTTCTTTTGTTTGGAAGAAGAAACACGTATTTGCTTAATTAACCGATACCCTTAACCCTTTACATCCTAACCTAAGTATGCATATTCTCCACACTGTTATTTATAAATTTCCTAAGGTGCTGACAAGGAGAATTTGTTTGCCAATCAAAAGGTTTCTTCCCTGGTCACTCTTAGGGTTTAAAGAGTTAAAATTGGCGACTTCCTTGTCTATATTACCGGTTTATTTTATCACGCTCGTGACAGGACGAAAAACATCTTCCTGAACTTGTTATTTGATGTGTAAACGGAGCTATTAGTATTTACAAACAATGTTTATTATGAGTCGAAACTTTCAGTTTTGAGGACCGTTCTAGAGCGAAACCAGAAAGGAAGATCTTCGTTTCAACCTTCAATCCAATTTTGATAGCAGGAAAGGAGTGATTTGGGGGAAATAAACTTACACCGCGATCGAGAACGAAGATGGAATTTCTGTCGAAGTGACACAAAGATTCTGTAGGAAAAACACGCTGTTTTCTTTGGTTTTCAGCATGAAAGTTGCCCAAACAATGATCAGAAAAGAGGAAACGGTGAAGCACAATTTTTCTGTTTAATTAAAAGATTGCTCTGAATGGTACACTAAAGAAAAACAAAACAGCTTTCTTGTCCACGTTGACGGTGTTCTAGACACCAGTTGAGAAAAGCAATATGTAAAACTGTGTAAAATATGACCGTGTTAAAAGCAGCTGTAAGTGAAGGTCACCGGTTCATGTTTGTGTGGAAAGTTACAATCAATTTGGAAAGTTCGGTCCCTCAAAGCTTTCTGATAGGAAATGATTACTTCTGTATTTTAACACAAATTGAATATATATCAAAAATAAAGATTTTTAATTTTAAACCTTTTATAATTATAGGTGCTGTAAAGGAAATACTTATGCAGCATACTAGTGATAAGGCTGAAGGAATAACTGTTATCTGTTTAAACTATGTTCAAGATAAAACATAGTATTTTTGGACGTTCTGGGCAGATTTTAACCCGAAAACGTTTTTTTAAAACATTTCCTCATTAATTGCTTAAGCCCTAGACCAAACATGATCAACAATTCAATCAATATAAGGTCTCCTTGTCTGACATGAAAGTTCGGAAGGCGGATTTTCAAAAGGATGACATGTAAAATAGCTCGTGATGACCGTTTAAGAAATGAGAGAAATATATATCACTTGTCAGTGTTTATAAAGGAAGACAAATGTTATGTCATAACTTTTGATCCTGTCAAGTCTTTCAGGCAGAAAACATCAACACCAAAAGTGAAGGTCATTTTATAGTCTTGCAACGCTACGCAAACCGGGAATCTACGGATTAACACTCTTTCATTTTTCATTGAACTAGTTTTGGTTATTACAGGCTTTTATGGGGGAGAGATGAGCAGACCACGCTTTGCGCGAGGTTTTTGCGCTGTCCTCAGGTAATTGCATGTTTGACTACGTAGACGATCCTGAGAGGGTGTGGGTGATGGAAATAATTCCTTGCCCTTCCACGTTCCGCCTTACTAAGTCGTTCCTTCGAAGTACTTCTGGAGCTTTAACTTTAGCCCAGCTTTTGACTGGTTAGAGGAAAGATAAAACTGGATACCTTTTCCAGAATCGAATGTCCTCTCATGACAGCTTAACCAAAACTCCTCTTTACGAGAACTTCTAAATCAGACATAATTGAAAAAAAAAACCATGTCTCCAAACTTGACATAATAGTTACAGAGAAAATTGTCTCAAAAACTCATAGTACAACTTATTTAAACTTGTCCACCTTTGTGGAGATAGCCTATGGCAAGCAAGTACACGATCAAGGTCAGAAGCTTCAAAGGTAAACAAAACAATCAAAAAAAAAATCAATCATGAATAGGCCTCGGCGGATAGAATTACTAGAATTTCGCTTGTCAACAGTCTGCAAGATTCGGAAGTTTCGGTTCCATCATCGCTTCAAGAAATACAGAAAACATTCAGTTATGCTAATGTTTGTGGTCCATTTACATCTTATTTGAATCCGTTGGTAACCCTCGTAACTAGATGGAAACACCAATATGACAAAAGAAAAATAAGTGAAAACGCCCACATGAATAATTAATCGTTTACCTATTTATTTCTAATTTTACCACTGCATTAACGTCGGCGGCGGAGTGATTGTTGACGAATTTTAGACTGTATTTCATTTAGCCTATGTTGCAGAGGATCTACATATAACTTCGCGGTGACTTTCGAAAGCTCGATAATCCAACCTCAACAAATACTCTTAAACGATAAAATAATTTTTTCGTTGGAGATGACGGTCTAAATGACAGAACTTAAAAAGGGCGATATGTAAATTGTAAATAATGAACTTTCCTTAGTAACCGATGGTGTGGGCCACCTGTTAATGTTTTTAAAGGAAAGCGACGGCGTCGGAAATTAAAGTTGTTTCCATGCTTTCCATCTCGGAAGACTCACGGGGAAAAATCGAGCAAGAAGGAGAAAGAACTTTTACTAACGCTTGACATCCCTTTAAATACTTGTGGGCGATTTCACGGAAATAGGCATAGAGCATACCAAAGAGGTAACCGGTCAAGTCGCCCGAAACTCATCTCGCTCGAAGTCATGTCGCCCAGAACCAGAGTCATGTTGCCCGAAATTCATAGTCATGTCGCCCGAGATCTGAGTCATGTTGCCCGAAATTTTATCGAGTGTTTAATCTTGAAGAAAAGTAACGATGGCAAGGAATGAACTCGTAAAATACTGACTCGTAAAATGTTTTCGTCCGCTAACCTATGCAAATATGAAGTAAAACAAAGACTCAAATATCACTGTTCATTTCAGCGTTGTTCGTTGCTACGAACTAAACTGCTCATTCTACAGTACAGATTCTAGTAATTATAAGCGGAACTTTCAGTTATCAGAATTTTTCACACATATCAGAAAAATACATCGTTCTCTTAGTTTTATTTATCGTATAAAAAACAACTTGAAACTTTTACAGCGTTTTTTTTTTTTTTTTCTGGTTATTGTTAGCCACGCGAACAAAGCGAGTTAGCATCAATCCCCTTGGGATCAGACGCAGCTTAAATTATCGCGACTTGTTCAAATGCTCCTTGTTTCCTCGGTCGGTCGAATGTAAATTTTGTTCCGGCTAATTATACATAAAGAGGGTAAATTAATAACAGCCACCTTATTCCGAGATAATCATCAAGCTGAAACACGAGATCGTTATACGTTCGCAAAAAAATTATACAGTGAGCTTTCATCCCTGTAACGAGTGCGGAAATGAAGTTCGACCACGCCATCAAGCCCTTCAGTGCGACAATTGCGGCTTTTGGCAGCATCGTATCTGCGGGACTGGTATCGACCAAGCCATCTACCGTTTGGCAATAATCAGAGGAAGAACAGATTGGTTGTGCGTTGCATGTTCTCTTGCGGCATCGAACCCAGGTGACCAGGTCCCCGCTGCTGAGAGCACAAGAACCGACTTCGCCCAAGGTACGGAAATTTTAAGTCCACTGTTTGTCCCTGAAATAAATTTATTCTTAACCAAGAACTTGACCTTTCTAGCCTAAGTCTTATCTTGAACGTTTTTTCCCATAAACGAGTTTACGATAAAAATGCGGTTTTATTTTTGCTGTGCAGATCTTTCTCCAGTGTATCTGCCTTTCTACCTACTGATTCAGCTGCTCCACCGAGAGTCCTCTGTGTGCACCGTCCAAGTTCGACTTGTCAACGCCAGAAAACTGCAAAGGATCCAGCGTAAAAAATATCGCGCACTTCAAGCAAGAGTCTTTGGCTACTAGGAGGATAACACTGCGAGTAAAATTTCAAGTAGGCGACTCCTTAAAGCATGCTCTCACTTAGCACATGGACCAGTTCGTGCAGATCAGTTTTCTTAAGTTTTTGCTCGCGTTTAGGAAAGTAATGATATTATTATTATTATTACTATTATTATTATTACTATTATTATCATTATTTTTTTAAACAACAATAAAACTTTATTCATAGATTAAAAAAAAATAGACTATTTACAGATTCAAGAATATGAATATTAAAATATATACCCTATTGTACATTCTTCTTGTGTACGAAAGAGAATTGTCGTAAAATGACTATTTAAAGACTACTAATAACAATTACAAAAAGCATCAAAAAGTTAATAAAGAAATAAAAATTATCTAAAAATAATAGTTCAAACTGATAAAGAGTTACTACTTAAATTCTGGCTTACGCACTTTCCGATGTAATGTCAATGTCAGTTATTATTATTATTATTATTATTATTATTATTATTATTATTATAGTTTAAAAGGAATAGTTTATTTTCTCACGATAAAAAAAAAATCAGATATGTAATAAGTATTTTTTTATAACGAACTTACCTTAAGTTAGCATTTGAATTTGTTTTCAAAGGCCGGGTGTCACTTGGACAACCCACACGTCCTCGCGTGTAATTAGGTTTAGTTGCTAGCAATAAATATGTTTGTATTAATGCGTGTCTGAATTTACCGCAAGGTCACAATCTTGCTTGGCAACCATGTGATGATTCTTGCTGTATTCAAGATGGCGGCGTTTTCCAATGTTCCAATCGTGGTGATGTGAACCTTCGTTCGAAACAGAATGCTTCCACATAAAACAACAACAGATAACTGATATTATTTTTTTTTCGTGTTCTATTTTAGGATTACTATCTCTGATATCAAACGACAGCGAAATGAACGACCAGTTTCACGAGTCAACATTATGCGAGTTTCTTCCTTTCGATTTACTTAAGACGTTACTTTTCTTCAAGTTTAAACACTCGATAAAATTTCGGGCTACATGACTTAGGATTTCGGGCGACATGACTATGAATTACGGGCAACATGACTCTGGTTTCGGGCGACATGACTTCGGGCGGGATGACTTTCGAGCGACTTGACCGTAAACCTACCAAAGAGAGTGTGAGTACCTTGATCACGATAAGCTCCGTTCTTCATTCTCATAGAAGGAGCATATTCCAATAGCCAATCCAGACTCCATGGTAAAACTTTTGATATCAGATGGCCACTAAAAAGAGATTCCGAAGTTGAAATTTCGAGCGTAAGCCCTTCGTCAAGGGCACAATTACTCTGGAAAACAAGCAGTTGCCCCAATATGCAACTCATCTCTGGGAAAATAAAAATTCCAGTAAACTTAGAAAACTTGAATGCCTTCAGTTTCTCAAAAAGAGTAATATTCAGATTTATTGTCAGAACCATAGAACAGAACAGAACATTCGTCTTGGTATCTACCTGTCCTCCCCGCTATCGTTATAATGATTATGATTACAATTTTGTTTAGGCATAGTTCTACTCTCCTTGTTTGTCTTATTTAAGCAACTTAACTGGACTAGAGGCTGACTCGGAAACTTAATAGTTCTTTTACCCCAAAGCTCTTCTTTTATTTCTCGGTGTGTATTTTCTATCCTCTATGATAAAAATCTGTAAATGCACAAAAGTGAATAAAATATTATTGTTATTAAATGGATATGGAACTCAGTCTTCAAATTACCAAAATGCAAAGGTAACTCCATAATTTGTTTTAATGAATTTCTTGACAAGATATCACAGGAGAGCGCCATCATTACCATGAAAAGCCGCCAGTACAATTAATCGGTGATTTCGATTCGACCACATCGCAATAATCAAGGATCTACAATACGAGGCAGGTGTTTTGTAGTGGTCTTGCCCAAAAAAATAATTTAGATATCTTTGTCAATTTCTGAAACGTTTCATTAAGTGACCAGTAAAACATATCTCGATCGTAGAGATAGCAACATCATCAGTATTCCGAGTGCAGCTAAAACGAAAAACGAAAAAAAGGGTAAAAAATATATATATATATATATATATATATATATTATGATTGTTAATTGTTACACTTTTATCAGGCCCTCAGGTGTTTTCCTCGGCATTTCATTAGCCTATAGAACCGGGGGAAATAAGAACATTTCAACAAAATAAAAAAGGAAACAATTGAAAAGAAAGGCTTTACACAATGAAACAGCTTTAGCAATTGTGATGGCCCATAACTTAAACTCACTACACATCTGCAGCACACGACCACCAACATAACGATAAAGATCTTGTCATGCTGCCTTTGTAATGTTTTCTCAAACCCACTAATCCTAAATCAACTCCAACTGTTTTTCCTCCCGTTATCATCATTGATCTTTTTAATATTTTTTTCCAGCTTGAAAACGACAAATTTAAGATCTCTTGGTAACATTTGCATGGTAATGCAAACCTTTACTTCGTCTATCACAGATCATTTCGGTCTCTGTACATTATTTTTACTTATTTTCGTATCATTGAATTTTAAAATTTTTTTGCGAAATCTAGCTCCTTTCAAAGTAAATAATTTTGCCAAATGAGTTTCGAAACTAGTCCTGCGAAATACGCCCGTTCCATTTTCGCAAATTAAGTTCGCGCGAAAATAAGTGACTAAAAGGTAGTTTCGTCGTCCAGTGAGAAGAAGGAAGAAGAAGGACCAATATCATAAACATGTACATCTTTTTTTGGATCTATTAATCTTGGCAATGGAAGTCTTTCCCGCGCTGTGCTAATTTTTCCTTAAAATCCGGCTTTCAAAGTTATTTTATATTTTTTTTCTAATTTTTTTTAATTCTTACTTTTTTCCGTTTCTTCGCTGTGCCGTCAGTTCTACCATCATAGAATTAAAATTGTCCTTGCAGAAAGTTGATTTTGTGGTTAAAAAAGCACAGCATTTACCAGTTGTGAAAACGATAATTAAACTTCTTGCTTGGTTTCTCCTTTTATTTCAATCGAGTCGGTTTTATTGTATTCTCTAATACATAAAACATCTTAGTTTCCTGAAGTCCCGTTTCACACAATATTGAAAACCCGGGTGTTATATTTTTCATACAAACTTTTATTCATAACAACTTCTCTGACTATACACCTCAGCTCTCTGTAAATAATTGGATCAGAAAAATGGTTATATAACAATTTCGTCTTATCATACAAACGCTTGTTGTGCAATAGCGTACACACACAAGTCACAATTTCGTTTTCCGTTTAAAATCAAAGTAAACGAAAACTGCGTCCTCGTTTTGAAACGAATCTAATGTGAACTAACATTAAGCCAGGTTAAACCCCAGATGATGACTCGTTTAAGCATGATTTTGGAATTGTGGAAAGAAACTTCTGCATGCTGATATGCAAATTTATTTTAAAAATCGTCAGTCGCACTCGGGCACATCCATAATCTGCATCCTAGGAAAGTTCTTATTAAAATTACATTCGCGATTAGTTCAAGGCGACAGCCAGATTTGATGAGATCTTGGCGTCCAAATACACACTGTGGCCAACTTCTATCCATGTTCTCCGACCATATCTTTCTTTACGTGGAACTCGTTAACATAGATCACCACAACCAGAAACAAAGAGATTACAATTCAAATAAAAATAAAAACAACAAAAAACCATCCACTTCAACATCTAAAATGGCCTTTGAAAGGCGGAACGGAAGCTTCTAAGGAAAAGCACAGGTCAATCTTACCACTGTATATCACCTCTTTTCCTCTGCGGTTTAAGAGAAAAAAACGCGTCCTCTATCGTTCAGTTCAATTTGGACTACAAAAACACAGCATCAATTAAAAAAAAACACTTTGCAGGAAATTAACTGGGCTCTCAGTTAAATACAATGGGCGAAATTAACACTCACGAGAAATTGCATTAAATAAGGAATGATTTTTTAATAACGCAACCACCGTAAAAATAATACAAACAAAAAAAGAAGAAAATAATCTTAAAGAAGACAAGAAAAAAGAAGCTTGATCGGAAAACTGGGACAATATTAGTCCAGCACTGCATGCAACGTCAAAAGTAAATAAATCTTCCTCAAAATTATCGTTCTATTGCGCCAAACCTTCTGATTAAATATTTATCAAACTACCCAAATATTTATCACAGCGTCCATCATAGCATTACTGTCGGATGAAAGATTAGACAGAGGCAAGACTGCGAAAAAAAAAAGAGTAAACGAAGTGGAAATTAACGAACAAAGAAGCAATTTGGTCCCACTAACAAAAGTTAAAGCGACCACGGAACTTGAAAAAATTTGACCTCATTTCATGAAGTGTTAATTTCCTCAAATAAGAAAGCCCTTACCACTCCGTTTAATATGCGCCTCGCTGATTATTCAAGGATAAACATAAGCGATGTGTGTGAAGGTAAATGACGGTCTAAAGTACACCCTGCAAGCTATCACGAGAAATGAACCTAACGAACTAGAAAATCTGAAACGAGCGTATCAGACCCTGGTTTTTCCTTATACGAGCAACACGACAGGGTAGTCCTGACAACCCATTTTGTTTTCAACATTGCAAAGACTCAATATCATCGTAAATAATGGCCTCAATTTAGAGAAAATGAGCCTTTTCAACTCCTTGTCCACCTTCAGACAATACAAGCTCGAATACAATGTAATCTTGATTGACGCTTTCAATAACAGCACTACGGTTTAATTCTATAATTTGACGAAAATTTCATGAAAAGAAAAAAGAGCTTAAAGCCCCCCTTGTACTTTCCCATTGTAATCGATCTCTTTGAAGTAAAATCAGAAGAAAAGTTCCGAACGGATGAGGTTCAGCAAGCAATACCATACAATTTACGTATTTGTGTATTCGCATAGGCGTCATTGCGGTCCAGCGATACCAGAGAGTGAAAAACGGCTACACTGGATCATGACGAAATCGGTAGAAAAGTAGCTCGACAAGACACACAAAAGACGATGCTTCAAAGTCTGAATTCTCCAAATTGTGCTCACTCAACGACGAAAGCATAGTAACAATCTGGCACCTCAGTCTTAATGAGTCACTTTTGAAAATTATGCATCCCAATATTTCAATAGTATCATAATCAAATGAGTTTATCGTTTGTGAATAACATTATACTCCCCGAAATGGCCGAACATCTATAAGTCTATGTTTATTCCACATGCGTAAATTACACGAGATGATACCAACAGAAACAGAAGTACAAATCTAACACTGAACTCAGGATTTATTCTTCGAGCATGATAAACAACGCGTGCGCTTAAACGATCCGTTCGGAATAATATTACAAGGAATGGATTATCATTTCCTGTATAATATGGGTAGTTTTCTTTGTAGGCAGCACAGTCCAGCGTTGCATTGAAGATGCAGGTTGAGGATTACCGTATTAATACTCTCCCTGTTCGATTGCCAGTTGAATAGATGAGATTTGGTTTTTTATTGAAAGAAAAACAACTCCAGTTTAAGGGATTTAGTTACTGGTGGCAGAACAACCTGCGTCCTAAAGTTTAACACTGTATGTCGAAAGCCTGAAAACGTGTCGAACGAAGAACTCCTTGCATGGTCACAAATTACATTTTGCAAAGCCAAAGGAGCAACGCGACATCATTCATAATTCAACTGAATTTCCAAATGGAAGTGACTACAGAGTCACCGGCAGTGAAAAGTAATTCATTTTGGAGCATAAATGACTCCATTACCACGGATACATCAGATGGCTTCAGCTGTCAGTCGAATCAAAGCGATGGCTCCATAACAAAAGGATTGAAAATATTCTCCTACTGTGTCATCCTGCTTCTCTCAGTCTTTGGGAACTCTCTACTGATCGCCATTATCAAGAGAAACAAGCGGATGCAAACCATTACCAATTATCTCATCGCTAACATGGCGGTCTCAGATATATTAATAACAGTTTCAGCCGTCCCTCGACAAATCACAGAAATATTACTTGGTCCTGAGATTTGGTTGATTAAGGGAGATTTTGGCTCTTTTCTCTGTAAAAGTGTGTCTTTCTTTCAAGATATTTCAACGGCAGTGTCAATTTTAAGTCTCGTCGTCATAGCCATCGACAGATACAGAGGAATTGTGTTCCCTTGGCGAAGACCACTCATAAAGCCGGCTAAACTCTGCAAAGTTATCATACCGTTAATATGGCTTGTTTCCATGAGTCTACACGCCGTTTATTTCTATACTTTTCGCGTGATAACAATCAATGAAAAATCGTACTGCAGGTTGAGCTGGGCTCCCAAGTTTGATCAGAAGAACTCTCAGGAAATTTATTATGTCATATTACTGGTGTTCCTAACCGCTATTCCAACATGCGTACTTACGTCGCTCTACTCCGTTATAATCCTGAATCTCAAAAGGGGAGGAATTAAAAGATGCAAAAGTCTTTCTAATTGCATAACGTCCCAGAGGCTTAAAGAGGACACAAAGGTGGTGAGGAACATCCTTGCAATTCTGTTTGCTTTTATGGTTTGCATTATCCCAATTAACGTTTTTGCTATCCTAATGTACTTCGTTTGGGACTGGAAATTGCCCTGTGGTATGGAAGGTTTTGTTTTTGCCGTATATTTCATCCTATATCTAAATGCTTCGGTGAATCCGTGTATTTATTTCACTTTCAATGAAAAATATCGTCAAGGTTTGTTAAACATCCTAAAGGCCTTCATTAGGCGATCAAAGCCCAAGGCAGCTGTCGAGAGACAATCAACTGAATCGATGACGTTAGTAACACCACGGAAAACATCTTAATCCGGTGTAACATGGAAACTTGAAATTTATTTCTATTGTAATAATTGCCTTCAAAAATCTTATTGAAAATTTCATGTTTCCATGTTTTCCTTTCAGGGACAATACCAGAAACGATACGCTATATCACTTCCTATGAATTCGTATCATTACTACTTTTTCCTTTCAGTGTTTCGTGCTCAGAAGTAGAGACACCACCTGAACCATCGATAAACGTGAGTTCAGCGCAAGAAACCTCGAGCTACGAAAAGATTTTTTATCTATTTTTCGAGACAAAGTATCTCTCAGGGGTAAATGTTATGACAAGAGTCTCAATCCATAGCTCAATATCTAAAGAACGTAAACACTTTCAAATTATCAATTAGATGACTCTGGGAAAAAACCAACTTATGACAGTGCTATTTATTCAACTTCGACGTGTTTCTAAGAGTCATAATTTTCCCAAAGAACGAAAATATTGAGATTAGTCATCGCATAGATAATTTATTTAAATTCAATAGTTATTTAATTGACACGATTACCTGATTCGCACATGAAGAATCGAACCTCAATTTCGAATTTGTTAGGATTCTCCAGCACAAAAAAACCGAATTTGGCAAGCTTGGCGTTAATATAATTCATATGCGACAGTTTCCAGCAAACAGCTAAACCAACTTCGACAGAACATATTATGTAAATACATTGAGCTCAGTTGTCAAATAAAGGTGTTATCCATTACTGTTTGATGAGCGTGGGAAACGAACAAGCGTTGAAAGGTCTGACGTTTAAATTTTCGGAGAAACCAATACTTTTTGTGTTCCTTGTTTCACTCACACGAGAAACTAATGTCATTGTACTTAATATTGCTGCAGTCTACTACAACATCGCTTCTAAAGGCTGATCACGAGCTTTATGTCTCGGAAAAGAAATCGATAGATATTGACAATGTGACTGTCAGGTTATTTGTGGCTTGACTTATGCGATGGGATGTTCTTTAAAGATAAGATAAGAATTTCGTTGGCCCATGTAGTAATTACTGTTGATTGAATTGACTGTCGAAATACATTATAATGATATATGTAGACTTAATATCAGTTTGGCAAAATTATATAGCTGCAAGATACTGGCTTGCACTGATTTGAATATCTTAATTTGTTTTAAGACTTTCGACGGCGTTCCAAAAATCAAGTTGGTATTCCAAAGCCAGAAAACGGCGATTTCGTTGGAATACCAGGTTAATTCTTACAGATTTTCGCTCTTCCCTAATCAAAACACCTTTTCAGTTGTTCCAGTACGTTCATTAAGCTGCTTGTCACGTTATTACAAACGCTCAATAGGCCTTTCGCAGTTACCGACCATACGGTACAAGAAACACCTTGTCGGTGAGCAAATGCGCACTTTGACATCCAAAACAAATAGTTTCTTTGTTATGGATCAGATATGAATGTTCAAGGTACAAGTTTGCCCGCCAGCTAGCGTATTCTTCTGTTATGTCATCGCTAGGGGGCCAATGGCATACTTTTCGATGTTGAGAACGCATAATGTTGTCGCACAATATAAGCACAGAATATAGGCACAGAATATAGGCACAGAATATAGTCACAGAATATCTCCATGTAGGGTTACTAACGGCTGAGGTGCACGAGCATAACTAACCGAATTAGCAGAAGAAAACATGCGCGACAATAAATATAGCATAACCAGAAAAGAAAGGAATATTTTTTCTTCTTGAAATGCTGCTTATGGTTGTGCGCTATTCAGATTATTGAAAGTAACTAACTTCAGTTCATGGCAAATCGTGAATCATGCAGGGAAAAAAATGTAATTTCTTAACAGAATAATGTAGATTGATACTTCACATTACAATTGTAAACAGCTGGTCACTTATTTCACTTATTTCATTAGTATCTTGAACTGAAAAGTTTGAAAATTGCACGCCAGCCTTGGAAAAAAAATTGATTGTTTCATCAAATGCGTATGCGGAAAATTGTCTAACTTGTACAATATAACTGTAACTCATGGGCAATTAAGAGTCAATCGTAAATTATCCTCATTGCGAAGTAAACAGCTTGTAAAAAAAATTGTAATTTCTTAACAGATAATGTAGATAAATACTTCACATTACCAATGTAAACAGCTGCTGACTTATTTCACTTTTCTCATTAGTATCTTGAACTGAAAAGTTTGAAAACTGCATGCCAGCCTTGGAAAAACATTGATTGTTACATCTTCAAAGGCCTCTATATGCGGAAAATTGTCTAACTTGAACAATATAAACCGTAACTTATTGGAAATTCAGAGTCAGCCGTAAATTCTACGCTTTGCGAAGTAAACAGCTTTTAACTTGTTCGACCTTACTGATTAAACTATGAAGATATAAAGATCTTTAGAGGCAAACTCCACGTGCGGATAAACCGAGATTTTTTTAACTCAAAATAAAGCACAATGGAACATCCAGCTCTTTGGTGTATGGGTCTTGACATTTCATTAGACAATATTGGAGTTGGTAATTTCAATGTCATAATTTGTTATCCATTATCGATGTAACTTAATACGGAACTAAAATTGGAGAGCGTAATTGATTTGATGAGATACAATATTTTCAATACACGCTAAATATATACTCATATGTACCAAGGTCAACCTACACAAACTACGAACTACGCATTCAAGTACAACGCTTAGTTTATGACTAACCTTCGACCTCCATAATAACCTCGACCAAACGGCAGAAATTTAGAGGTACATACTGAATTGCGGAACTTAGGAAATTTTTGTGATTCATGGTAGACTTGTATTGCGTACGAAATGTTTGCAAGTTTCCCAGTTTAAATACAGCAACCAGTATATCGAGAGTGACAGCAGAGTGCCTCTCACTTAACTAAGCGTTTTCTAGAGTTAGACTGAACAGTTTGCCTCTAATTTTAGCAGTTAATGCGTTTTTCTGTGCGCAATATCTCACTCCAGTAAGGAGCTCCTTCACTTACTTTTGCGCCTGGCACCTTTCGGTCTGAGAAGCTACTTTAAAACTTAAACCTTACGTATAGCCTTCATGATTCTTGTGTAACGGTAACAGAAATGGTAGATAAAATCTTACTGAGTACAACTTGTTGCCGTCTTAATACATACATCCCTGGTCACACTTGATGCTTTACTTCGGTCGTTTTCATAAATGTCGAGGACGCATTATCCGCACATAGACGGATAATGCTTACAACATTTTGGCCGTCTGGCGTAAAGACGGGTAGAATATCGATAGGACCTAGGAGAAGATGAATTTGTGAAATTGGGTACAGATTCGGTTTCCCAGTTTGATCATTTTTGGTGATCATTTTCCCATTTTCCGTTCATTAGTTTTAGCATCCAGTGCTGTTTTGTGTGTTTTTCAGATTTCTCAGGTCTCATAATAAAACCTCACTCCTGAACAGTGCATAATCATGACCTTTAAATCACAACTTGCCAAATTACTTCAAATAAGAGTACAGGAACACATCATGTAACTTAATGAGACGAAAGCAAACTGGTATTCATGTGATTTCAGAAATGATCCAATCTAGGTTAGTTTTTTTCGCAGAATTTCTCACTACGTTAGAAGGAAACTCTGCACACGCTGGTTCTACAGACTTGGACTGTATACTTTCGGTTAACTTGACTTTATTCTTCACAATCCAACATTACACGTCCTGTTTTTCGACCTAACTTAATCCCATCTTTTTTGAGTTATAAAAATGCTATGTTTTATTAGCTACGGATACACACACCCAGATACGTAAGTCCGGAGTGGTAAGGTAATTTAAGCTAACTTGACAAAGTTCCAGTTTTGTTTTACACATTCTTGAATGATTCGTGGCCACTAACTTCCTGTTACATCGGCTTGCTCGACAATCATAGTGTTAATCTACGCTTGCGGTTTTACTAGCGGCTATTTGATCAAATACATCATTGTTTAATTTTTCGATCACACGATGCCGGTTAATACTTCCTTTGACATTCTACAAATCAATGTTAGCGACTTAATAAACTACTAAATATACCGAAACAGGAAAACTTTCTTATGAGCACGTGCAAACTTTTCACGACAGTTTTTATTTAAGAATAAATTAATAAACCACATTACACAAACAACACAGATGATGCCCCATGTCAAACCAGGATGTTCACTTTATCACTGACCAAAGCTCCATTCTAACTAGATGGTCGGATAGCTATAACACCCTCGCGTTTCCTCTCTCAGAGAAAACCCCCTACCCTCCACCTAACGTGATAGTTGTTTTTTAAGTCTAGTAATCTTTCAAGTTTAACTTTTACAACATAACGAGCGTAACCATTCTTCATTTTATCAACCTGAGCAAAGTGGATATACAAATATTTTGGTAATGTCGTTATCAAAAAAGGATCAAAACAAAACCATATTTGTTTCTCTATAGCCACGTAGCCACTTTCTCGACCGGGTTTTGTATTAGCCAGGTGTACAGTTCTCTATTTGTCAATTACAGTTTTCATTCGAATCATATCTCATTTGAATTTCTTTCCCTCTCTTTTTTTTTTTCACGATTCTTTCATAGACCTGGACTTGACCTGGCTGGAGTAGATGATTACAAAGCAAAACATCACAGCTCATAACACCCTGTGTAATACACTCGGCCACCCAATAGTTTTACCCGAGACTTATATGTCAAAATGTTTGGCTACTCGTACGTCACAACGTGGAAGATTTAACTCGATAGAGACCAAACAGCTTGCCTTTAATAAGTAAATTCAAACATTAGCGAATATTTTTTTTTTTTTTTTTTTTTTGAATCTTTATTAAGTCATAAGATAAATAATCACATATCCTATGTTACAACATTAAAAGAAGGTATATATATAAATTACAGAGAAAATCAAGATAAAAATTATAAGACTAGATTATGTTTAAAAAATTAAGCGATTAACAAACG